ATCTTGGCACGAGTGCTTTAAGTTAACAAAGTTCTGTCGCTATGGGATGAACGAGTTCTTAGTTAGTAAGAACTAAAATAAGATTTTACAATATATTAGACAGACAATTAACAATTTGTAAGTATACTGACAAATTAATTTTACAGACCAAAGTAACTACGGACAAATCAAAGAAATGTTGTCCCACCCTAAAAATAACACAGTCACAGACATGAGTATAGATACAGATTTCGCCATTAATATTATATGACTTAAACAGACATACATTTGACAACACAAGTTGCTTGATGGCTAAAAAGTTACCAATTCAGAGGATTTTGTACGTAGATAGGCTATTATTTGGTAACCCAACATAACTCTACAATCTACAATCGATTATAGAGACACGTGTAAGTTAACTTAAGTAGAAAATAATTTTAGCCTTAATGATTATTTTAGCTTTAATTAGACTCAAATTAATGACATATACACTCACCAGTAGCGTGAATAATGCATAGATTTAGTATGTTACTGACTAGAACCCCGTGAGCATGTTAACTTTGTTGACCTAATGAAGTTGTTGCTACATTAAAGCACGCTTGTAATGTCATTGACTCACCTAAGTTTAATATCAGTAAGTAGATGGTAATGCTAATTAAATTAATAATAATAAATTGTAGTTATGTATATACTATTTAATAATCACTCATACTACTATACAGATATGTATACACTTATATTTTTACACTCATCAAGATGTAGGTATAATGTTAAAAAAGTTATTGAGATATTTGCTATTTCAAGATATTCTTTCCCTGTTGAACCTAACTGTAAACACATTCCGCCTGGATAGCAGAACCGTACATTTTTAAATTCTGTTAGATCGAGCCGTTGGAGGGTAAAATCGATATAGACTCTATATCAAATATCTTTCAACTAGATAGTCCGAATTATATTTATTTTAAAACAAAGCCATTGGAGGGTAAAATAGATAGACTCTATATCAAATATCTTTCAATTAGATAGTCCGAATTATATTTATTTAAAAAACAATAATTTCTTTATTGCATATATTGTTATATCCCTCTGGATCTACATACTTTAAACAAAATCTGTCACTTTTCTGGGTTACACATTAGAGACATTTAAAATAAACACAATCCGACAGTTGAATTATTTATACAAACTATTTCACTGGCAATTTTTATATTAATTTAGTATTTACAGGGAATTAGTTACAAGTTTAAAGCATCTATATGTGCATCTATCTACATAAGTGTTTTTCCTTTATCTTTTATATAATTGGAATCATAAAAAAACTGATGGACCTGATGATTATTTCTGTGGCCTCATAGCTCCTAAACAGATGGACCTATTTTGTTGTGAGTTATTTTTGTTTGAAATCTAAAGTGATGAAGATGGTTTGTAGCTATAATTCATGAGAGTCTGTTCACGCTTTTTATAATAATCAACTCATTTTCTATACCATAAAAAACTGCTCTAGTCCTGGTCTAGATGTTACACACACCGACTTATTCCCGATGTTCGCGGATTCGATTCCACGCACAGTGCACACATTTGTATTAATGATTATGATTGTTTATACCGGTCTGGATTTTTCTATATATATATATATATATATATAGATTACACAAGTTCTGATTATCTTGTGATTAGATGAATATCACTGTATGAATTGTCCAGGATTATTATATATCTATAGCATCTCTTGGTATTAGTTATTAAATGTAGGATAATAGTCATAGGTAGTATTATGAAATACTAATATTTATCTAAGATTATAAATATGATATATAAGTACAATTGGCAATAGGATATCAGCCGTGTGTGTTCCTAAACCGTAAATATCAATCGGATTTATGTTTTCGATGTATTAGTTACACAGAATTTATCGATTTTTTTATGAAGTTGCGTAGGCCGTTGCGGTCGTTACACTACATATACTAAAAAGTATTGGCTACGTCACAACACAACACCTCTACGTACATGGAGTCATTGTCTGGATGTTAAAATAGTTTCCTATTTTGAATTTTATCTCTCCTTCAAAATTAAACAAAAGATAGTGATGCATATCCCCGATCTATCTCCAAACAAAACGCGTTACTATAAAAAACTTAATAAAAATTTGTCTAGAGGATAGGGAAACTAAAATCAACGTTTCACACGTTTCACAGATATTTAATTATAATATTTATAATAATATTTAATCGTACTTGAAAATATCGATTTTCACCAAAGAAGGACCTTTCTTTAGCACATTAGTAGATATGAACAATATATAGTACAGTAAAAATGTGCAAGTCATTTAAATTATAATGAATATTCCGAATAATGAAAAAAATACCAATATATTTACTGTAATAGTTGGATAAACCGAATAGAGCGGAATGTAAATATTTACGCCAAAATTTCGATTTAATATATTGCCTCACATTTGAGCGAGGGGAGACGCAAGGTCTCTGAATAGAGATAGAATGAATACTAAAGAATACCTACATCGTAATTTTATTACCTGGACATACTGCTCTTTAATGTAACTAGCTGTTAGCAATGGCTTCGTCTGCTTTTTCTTAAGATAAAAGGTATCCGTCATCTGAATAGGTACTATCAATCCACGTCAAACATGAATATTAATTTATTTATTTACCTAGTCATGAAGAGGTAATAAATAGATTAATAGATCTTAAAGAAATTCGTCTCGAAAAGGTAAAAAACAGACACACAGACAAACATATGCACATTCGGATTTATAATATCTGTTATATTAGTAACGATACATTACTTGGGTACAATACTAAGTTATATTTGTAGTAGATATAATATATCTAGAAATTTAATTGTGTATATATTCCGCTAACAACTTACCTCTGCACCAACCATAACGGACTAGTAGAAAATCCCACTAGGTGTTAAAAGAGATATTCAAACAATAGGTACTTACTTCCGTACTCCATATATTAGTATACTCGTACATATTCATAAATGATCATTCGTACTTTATCTACATTAATAATGGTTTCTTACCGTAACAATTTATTATTATTATAATTTACTTGAAAATGTCTATTTTTTATTCCGTTTCATTTATTCAAAGTCATGATGAAATTGCGGGTAGGTGCATATTTATTAGCGCATCTGTTTCTTCTATAATGAAGTTATATGTATAATATTAATTGAATTATCATTTATAAATAATTATGAAAATTAATATTTTTATTTCATTTCCATGTCTCATAAAGCCATATTAATTTACAAAAATAATTCTTCCTTTAATTTTTGTTCAATTAATTAAAAAGAGTCGTGAAGACGTATTAACATTTGCATAAAACTAAAAAAAAGGATGTAAGGATTAATAATTTAATCATATTAATGTGTAAGTACGAAGGTATAAGGTAGGTTAAATATTTTTTTTATTTAGGATTAAAAATATTATTCTCCCGTCCCGTTTGCACATTATCCGAAGTTTTAGAATTAAGAGTTAGGAATATTATTATTGTATTAGTTTAACTTGTATTATTCAGTTGCGTTACCTCTGAATGTGTAACTGGCGCGATATAAATAGATGTTAGGTTCGGGCCGTTCCATCCGTTCTCATGCACAGAACAGATCATTCCATTATCTTACCGCAACTAATAAAAACTGAAAGGAATTTCAGAGCTACAGTCTATAGACGTGTATTTATTTTTAGTTGTATGTATACGTATTTCGTATTGTTAACGTTTTGTGTGCCGTCATTAGTGATACAATTTAAACAGCGCAAATGTTTAGGCTAATAATGCGTTTAAGTATCGGTATAATGTTAAAGTGGCATTTAAAATATTGAATAGTACGTATTCAATATAATTACATTAAATACATTAATACCACTTTAACATTATACTATTTATTTGCTATTATTCCATATGTAAAAGTTTGTATAAATGTCTGTATCTGTATGTTTAAATATTTCTTGCTCAATTGGCTTCAACGCCGGAACTAATTGTAATGAAATTTGGTACAATGATAAATCATGTCTCATATTAACATGGAGCATTGGTAATTACTTGTCATCTTATTCAGATGGACAAAATCAGAGTATATGGTTAGACAACAAAAAAGCAAGATTTCATATATATCGTAATATTATTTTTTAAATCATTAGGTATATCTAATTCTGATTGTTCTAGAAAATTTAAATTTAGTATAAGTTAATACTAATATTTTGTTACGCAAATAAAAGCAAAATCAATATACAGTACAGATTTATGCTGTGTACTTAATTACATAGTAGGTATATGAGCCTTTTTCTTTACATATAATAAAATCGTGATTAGGTGAAAACAGTCTGTCTGCCTGCCTCCGTGTAGCAATCTTTTACATACAATTTTAGGACAGTTTTCTTTTTTTTGTATACCTAGGTCAATCAATTTATTTTGAACACACATATGAATTTACGAGTAAAACTGAATATATGTTAAATAAATAAAATATAAAATATTTAATGATTTGGATGATAGGAATATTATTGAAGTTAACGAAGGTAATGTTTATTAATGGGCTACTAATAATTTACTTGGATGTGGGAATATTCAGTATACATAGGTATTGGTTAACATCAGATTGTTTCATGTAGCATTCAATTAATTAACGGTAAGCGATATTATGTTATGGTTTAATTTAAAGGGTTTTGTGTTGATTGATGATTGGATTTGGGTGTTCTATTAAAAACAAAACTTACAATTATTTTAATAGAACACCCAGAATTCAATTATGTATGACTTTAGTTAAACCGCTCTGTAGTAACTATTATATGAATTTAGTATATTACCACAGATAAGGTAATAAATCTCCTTAACATTTCACTTAAAATTCACACCGAACATTGTTATCTGTTTTGTATAACTGTGAACAGTCATTACCGAATTAAGGGAAAATATTAATTCTAAGACCAAGTTGTGTGTGTTTTATTTTACTTGATAGGTACTTAAAATATATCTAATAGGTGTTGTTTAATATTACAGTGGAAGCTCATACGAGGGTCAATGGCAAAACGGCAAGCGTCACGGACTGGGCGTGGAAACACGGGACCGATGGCTGTACCGGGGCGAGTGGACACAGGGCTACAAAGGCCGGTACGGTGTCCGGCAGAGTACTACAAGCAACGCCAAGTACGAGGGCACATGGGCCAATGGACTCCAAGATGGATACGGCTCGGAAACTTATGCGGATGGCGGTCAGTATTATCTAACTTCTTTCGTTGCCAACTGTTGAAATTCAGACGAAAATACATACGTTTACATGGCCATGGCATTCTTACATTGAATCACTTCGAGAGAATGCGTTATTATTTTTATTCAAGTTAATTAAACGATTTTGATTATCAACTATAGTAGTAGTAGATAGGTAGGTATATCCGTAACTTAGTTTAAAAAAAGCAAAATGGTTTTACTGAAGGTCATAAATATGTTTAACAGTATCTGGAAGAAATACGTACTATATTTAAAAGTAATTTAAGCCTTTTTTAAAATTCTGTATTCGCAGTAATTTATTACTAAAATCGAGCAGTAAAATTACTTGGCAATACGTGTACAGCAAACATCTAAACAATAACTCTTTTATTTACAAAAATATCTAAGTTTTATTAACCAATTAGTTCATAATTTATTCTTCAAAATTTTCAAATTACAATTACTATTTTGAAAATTTTACTCATATGTAATAATGCTGATTGGTATCTTTTAATATTTTCTCTCAAAATCTGTCCTCTGAAGTCACCTAGAATTACCTACTGCCGTAATCGGTAAAAGCGGGCTAATTTGAACAAATCATACTCGCTATAAAGTCCAAAGTGTCGGTGTATTAGAACGGGTCTTTGTATTCCCCATCTGAAGACTGGCTTATCTCTCAAACCCGTGAACGGTACTGTACAAACTCTATTGGTCTGTACGGATTATTACAGCTAGCTTATATAATGAATGTCATTTTAATCATATTAGGATGAATACCTACTTAAATTTAAATTTATAGAACATTATAATTAATACAATTAGAATATTTACATATTATTTGTTTTTAAAAGAGTCACAGTTTATTTAAGTTTCATGTCAGTTTTCTTAGTTATAATACATATAATACAGTTATAATACATTCCTAAATAAAGACTATCGTTTTATATAAACTTATACTTTGGACATAAATACAAGTACTTTGATTTTATTATTTGAATATTATCCTTATAGTCTTTTGTTTTATTTAATGACATCTGGGACTGCAAACTAATTATGCTATTTTGTTATATATTTATTAATTGTGTACAGTTAGTAGTTAGTAAACTCACCTAATGACCCAGTTAACAGTTGCGTGAAGTAGGAAAGAAAAGCATTCGCTTGTGCAATGTTTGCTGTCAGAAAATAATGTGTGTAAACAAGACACACGGTCACTACGTAGGTATGTAACTAAAATAAAAAAATAAATACGTGGGTATGCAAAGCATTAATAAAGATCGTTCCCAATAACTTATCTGTCTGTTACATGGGTTTTTGTAGTGTATCATTAATAATTATATAAATAACTAAATACATTAATATTATTATACTACGGATTTGGGAATAGCAAACAAACTAAAGGCACTCCAAATATTTTTGAATTTTGTGTATGACTAGTTTGGTTGCCATTGGTAAATCTCGCTTACAGAACATGTGCCACACAATATACTTAAGTAAAATATGAAAGCAGATATGTAGTAACTTTGTCACCTAATTACAAATACAACATTAATAATAATTATAAAGAGGTACAGTACTATATGTACCTCAGGTGTCCATTACGCTACGGTTACCGTTTACCATAAGATAAGCCGTATGTGACAATCAAGATATAATAAAACTGTTTATACTCATATTATTATGTTCTTTTAGTCATTAATACTTGTAATAGTAACTAATTGAAAAGGCATCCTCCATGGTGTTATTGTACTGTTAGGAACTAGCTGTCGCGACTTCGCTTGACAATCTTTTAGCCCCTATTTCACCCCCTTCTACAAATAGCCTATGTCCGACCTCGTGATACAATGGTGCTTGTTGTAAAATTTCATTCAAATTCAAAAATCATTTATTAATGTGGGACACTTTAGCCGCTTATGAATATAAAATTTCTTTGTATTCAATTTTTTTCCCTACCGTTTTAAAATTCGTTTAATCGTAAAAATGTAAACAGACACACAGACAGACAGATACACTTTTACTTTTATAACATTAGTGTGGGATTTCACTAATTCCATTAATATCGTTTCGGTCATTTCGCTTCGTGCCAAATGACAATGTGCCCAGGGACCAATTAGGATTTTATATGACCTTGAAAGTACAACGAAAATCAGTTCTACGTAATAGAAAGCTCCGTACAATAAATATCATGAAACAACGTCATACAAATCTCAACACCACTATGTAGGTACGTTGACTCATAACCCCATTTAACATTAGTCATTAACTGAATTACAGATCCGAATGCAGTAATTTGTTTCTCATGAAAATATTTTTGAAAATTAGTCACGGTCATATAGTTCGTTGTAGATTTACTAGTTATATCGATTATAGTGATTCGTCAGTTCGCATCCGGTTTGCGTGTAACCATATATATATCTACTGAGCATTCCTCGGTTCATTCATCGCGTGTTGCCTTCACGGTTCTATGTCATTTAACGGATTTTAACGTCATTTATAATTTAGTAGAGTATTGTAAGGTTATAAATGATTATAGTATATATGTATATCATGATATATGCGTGACACCTATTATTATTACTTGTGTAATTGCGTGATCACGAAATAACCCCTGTCTACAAAAAATATTATACCGATACACAGAAACGTGTAATAAAATCTTGTACAAAACAGGCGGTTTAACTAAACTTGTACCATATACATCATTGTTCCAAATATAAATTTTTATTTTCGAGAATACCGGATTCGTAATTTAAATGTATATTTTTTGGATATTTGGTTCTGAATGGGTTTAGTAAGGTGGCCCTGCACACACCCCGCACCACCCGCTGCCGCACGCCGCGGCCCTCGCTAGTTAAATATAGCGCAGGCACGCCCGCCACACCGCCGCACCGCACGCCGCGCCGCGCCGCGTCGACACACTAACATGTCGACCACTGCCTAAACTACTACTAAAAAATATAATGTACTTTCATTATTATGACCAATTACATTACAATTTGTAATTATAATGAGTGTTCGAGCAGTAATTAAATTGGTTATTGCCCTACCACATTGGCTTGACGGAGATCTCTACATATCATGAAATTGAAAGTAGCATATTTTCGAACTGAAAAGTATACATAACAGCCTTTCCAATTGCCATAAAAGCTGAAATATCTGAATGAATTTCGAATTCTAGAGGACTAGCGGTTCAGCACACAGCTTTTCGCGGTCTTAATTCTCGCAGGTTGCATACAAACATTTGTATTCATGAGTATGATTATTTCTACTATATATATTACGTATACGTATATTATTATTATTATTATAATGTACAAAAATATATTGTTGTATTTCTATAACTTGTTTAGTACATAAAACGTACATAGTTCTAATAAGCTCTATGTAGTTTATAGGACAATAGCGTTAAATATATTATTATGTCAAGAAATGTTACAATAAATAATTATAATTAATTTAATTTAAGTATTCACACAGTCCCATCTAATCCAAAGCTCCGCAAAGCTTGTGTTATGGGTACTGTAAAACTGATATAAATACATACATACATTTGTTTTTGGAAATACAGACATTATATACATAGAAAACATCCAGACCAATATAAACAAGCACACTCACGAATACAAATGTTTGTATTGTGCGAGGAATCGAACTCGCAACCATCAGAAGTAAACCGCTAGACCGCCGAGGCCGCCAAAATATACTACATATGCTGAAGCTTTCCAGGTTGAACGGATCCTAATGATATTTGACGTAAAGATACGAACTTACATAGGATATGCACATATTGTCTAAGCAGAATATAGAAATAGAAATAGAAATAATCATTATTCAAATAAACTTAACATAAGCACTTTTGAATAGTCAAGTTTTTTGATTAGAATAAAGTTAAACTTTGTTCAACTTTTAATTATATATGTGTAACAATAATGGTTATTACATGGAATTCTAAACTCTGAATCAACTTTTTAGTGGTTGTAGAGTCCTATTCCTACATATACACTACACTTTTAAGTTAGTCTTATGGGAGTCATCTCTATATAGTTTGTGGGAAGTAGGTATTTACTTACCTACGTTACTTACCAATTCAAAATCTGTTTCTCATATTTAATTTCTAATCTAGAATTCAATCCTTTTCTGCTGTTTTTGTATAACGCTACCTTAAAATTTACCCTGGAATATAATTCCAATCCATTGACATTGAAAGAAAACATTCACAGAATTCATTACAAAACGGGTTTCGTAATGAATCGCTTAAATTTTACATACAGTAACAAAGAAACAACCCTATTTTTATATTTGGTTAACAAAAGAACTGACTAACATTGTAAATGATTTCTACGATTTAGTCTTGTTTTTCAAAAGGACGATGAAAAATTAATTGAATCGAAATCGTTACTGACTACTGACATTAGACTGGAGAGTAAACCAAATAGTGTAGCAGTTTAATATATTACTGTTTCATCACTCAATGGTGGCGAGGTCGATCTTCTCACAAAACAAATATCTATATTCATGTGTATAATTGTTTAGTCTGGAATTTTAGTACATGTTAACGAAATAATGCAGCTGCTGAAATAAATATGAATTCTACCCTAATAGCTCATCGTGGCAAATTCATAACGAACATAATTACAATGGTTTTCATGTAAAATTATAAACTAACAGGACTGAGTAGGTACATTGTCAATGGGACCATAAGACCCCATTAGTGATAAGCATACAGAAATAGTGTATGGACATTTACACCAATACAGAATACAGGTCACCGGTTGTGAAATCCCATATTAATATTATGAATGCAACATTACCGCTGTTTATCTGTTTATTATATTTTGTCTCAATGGCTAAACGGATCCTAATGAAATTTTATGTGGAAATAATATGATATACATGGATCCCTATAGGTCATCTTTTATTTTACAAAGCACAGACGAAGGTGCAGATAAGCTATGTGGCATAGTTTTAAAAGTCCAAACATATAGCAATAATATGTAAAAACGTATATACATTTTCAGGAACATACCAAGGACAATGGATGCGAGGACTGCGGCACGGGTACGGTGTTCGCACGTCTGCACCATTCGGACTCGCGTCGCGCTACCGCGGTGGAGCGCGACATGGTCACCGTGGCTCGCTGTCGTCGCTCACGGAAGCGGCCGGCACGCCCGACCCCTCCGAGAGGCGGACCACGCGGATGGACGACGCTAGAGGCGGCTTTGTCCTCAAGGCAAGCTCTGACGAGCCGGGGAGACGAGGTTCTCTTGTTGAGAAGACTAAGAAGGGATTGCTTTCTGTAAGTTAAATTAACATATTCGGTTCCTTCCAGTGCCATGATCATAGCAATTAACAGCCTCGATAGTCCAGCAGTTTATGATACCACCTTGCCTCCGATAGTCGCGGGTTCTATTCCTAGCACAGTACAAATATTTGTATTCATGAGTATGATTGTTTGTATTGGTCTGGGTGTTAAAAAAGTATAATATGAATGCATTTACAAAAAAAACTATGTATTTATATCAGTTGTCTAGTATCCATAACACAAGCTCTGTTTAGATTGAGACTAGATGGCACTACCCCATGAACTCTCCATGTGATAAAGACAACACTGGACATCCTCATATTTCCATTATATTTCGCTTGGCATATTTGAATCCAAAGTGACAGGACTACCTTCATGTCTTGGTGTAATATTGTTTATTATTGGTATTTCCATCCCCACAGAGTTTGTCACAATATATATGGACTCTCCGGACGATAGACACTCACAAACATTGGGAGGTGGGACAGACTCTCCGGTGATCGAAATACTGATAACACAAAGTTTTTATATCGGCCAGATTAGATAGTTTCATGCGATATTTTTATATAAATCAGTATGCTTTACAATGATATTCAAATTCCAATATAGAATACATCGCTGGCTAATTCAGTATTATAATAAGTATTTGTTGTTAAATTAAAGTATTATCCAGTCTGTATTCATTAATTTTCATCTGTCTCCTCTTTGGTTCTGACTGGTCAATTGCCATTTTCTTCTGTACTTCTGTATTGAATCTAACACTATAACACATATCTAGTTATCTTTAAATATCCATAGTGACCTTTACCGGATGTATACTCTAAAATGGGGTAATGAGTCTAAAATGTAATTTAGCTAATTGACTAAGAATCAGATGCTTATCTAGATATTAAAATTGCTTGAATATTTTTTCGTATTTTAAATTCGAAATACTTAAACAGCACTTTCTGTCCAATGCCTAATGTAATGTAACTCCATTTGGAATCACTTTTGTTGTGACTCAATGCTGGTACTTGTGTAAGCAAAAGTACTTAAATTATTATTTAGTTAATTTGTTTATTTAATGACATATTCGTGTAAATTTCACCTTAATTCCTTCAGCCGATTTTACTTACAGCTTAACACAAACAGTTTTCATTTTATTATATGTAAACAAAAGATAATGATTTTTTCATATTGGTTCATATATAAATTTTAAATTGTTTCCTGTAAAAGAACAACTGCACGAAAAGTCCGCGCGTAAATTCGCAGCGTCGATACATAAGTACGAGTAACTTTCACGTTACTCACGCAAGTTAGATGTATTTTACGTACCTATTCCATATCACGATATGAATAAATAATTTAGATACTCAAATTATGCTTACCTAATTGTACATAATACATTAATTATTACTCAAATTATGCTTACCTATGGGCACACAATACTTTTACATACCAGACATCAAATTTAACTAATTATTATTTTGAACCGACTTGAAAAAATGCGTCTCAAATCGCTAGAATTTAATCATTCTTTTTTTAGTTTTTATTGCCTCAGAACTTATTATGTTATTATTATATACAGACAAGCTATTATGCCATAGCCCGAGTCTAGTTTCACTATGTGTGTATTTTGTTTTATTTTACCTTTATTACGTATATTATTCAATTTCTTCTATTTGTGTTTAATTTTATTCAAATACACATTTACGTACTTTTTTATTGTCTTCTGAAAATCTCAGAGCCCATTTTATCATTCTGACATAGAGATGTTACAAGGGCAACATTTAGTTAGAAGGTGGTAGTAAGCCATATAGCTTCCGCTATTTGTTTACTTTGAGTTAGACATGTAATATAAAAAAATACAATCGAATGAGTACCAAATTTTGTTAGTTGTCGTTTGAAAATATAAGCACGTATGCAGTTAAAACCATTTTTTTTTATCTAATTGCAACCTATGGTTACCTAGGCTATAGGTAACCCAATGGTCACACCGAACTATTCATATGCATTTAAATTAATGTTTTATTATTGATATAAAACTACTAAATCACATAAACTACATATTTGAGAAAGTTACATTTATAGAAATGTAAATATAGCAAAATAAATAATACTTGACTTGGATATATTCCGGCGTCATCTGAGTACATTTAGGTCCCTTCCCTTTAATTATATTCTTCTATATTACTTCATATTAAAAATTATAATAGGTAACTATATCTTCTTTGATTTTTTACGTATTATGACAATTTATAAATATTTTTTACTAATATTTAATAGTATATCACTTTAAACATATAGTTATTGCACCATCTTTTTCGTTTTGGTTATTATACATAAACAAGAGGAGTCTGAACCAAAGTCTTGCACGCTGGTTTTATATCACTTTATTAAAGTACAGTATTTAGGCGATGATAGTCATATTAATAATCCAATGCGCAATGCAATTTGATATTTGACGTGGGGTTATCAACATATTTAGCCAATTTATCTGGTATTGCAGAAGTTACGTAAGCAGCGCAGCGCCGGCGAACTGGACAAGCGTGGCACAGGTTCCGTTCGCTCAGGAGGCTCCGGGGGCTCAGGCTCCTCTTGGGTCTCTTCGGTAGAAAGCTCTCACTCTGCTATGACCCATGCCTCTCTACAGACAAACTCAAATGCTAGCTTCGTTGTAGAGGTAAGCACTTTACCCTGCCATCATTTACCACGTACAACGCATAAGTGATCAAAAGCAAAATTGTTTTATTTCAATATACCAATCATAAAAAAATCAAAGTGAGCAATACCTAGATATCTATTGTAGGTACTCATCGAGAGAACATAATGTATGATATAATATTTAAGACTTAATCCTAAAAATTATCTACCTATGAAGCTCTTACAAACTAAATCTTCTATTTTCATAATATTAATATATATTTTAAAATTATTAATAGTAGAAAAACGAAAGTATCTATATAAATTTATATTAAGTTAGTTAAAATAAAATATAAATTTATTATAATATTTATATCAATATCTAAGAACATAGACAACATATCATATATATGTTGTCTATGTTCTTAGAAATGCATTCAATCTGTCATCATCATTATCATGATCGACTAAATATTTTTATTTTGTGTAGGATGAACATTTAGATGAAAGCGTAACGGAAACTTATATGGGCGAATGGAAAAACGATAAACGTACAGGATTCGGAGTTAGTGAACGTAGCGACGGACTCCGATATGAAGGTGAATGGCTTGGAAACAGAAAATATGGATACGGTGTAACCACTTTTCGGGATGGCACGAGGGAAGAAGGCAAATACAAGAACAATGTACTCATCACAAGCCAGAAGCGGAAACACATGTTCCTTATGCGATCCGTTAAGTTCAGAGAACGGGTGGATTCAGCAGTTAACGCAGCCCAACGTGCATCAAAAATAGCATTACAAAAAGGAGATATAGCTATTTCTAGGTTAGTATTTCTAATTTCTTTAAAATAAAAACAAGAAATAATGAAATGGTATTATAATACCTTATTAGGTATAATATATTTTTTCATATCCATTTTTATTGCAGAACTGCTACGGCCCGAGGTAAAGCTGAACAAGCTGACGAAGCAGCGGACCAAGCAAAAGATGACTGTGATAATGCACAAGCGACTGCAAAACAGTTCGCACCAGATTTTAAGCACCCTGGCTTTGACCGAATAGGATTAAGAGAAAAGTATAGACAAAAGGCCTACGATACACAAATTACGTCACCGGTATCACAAGAATCTGAAAAGATCTTGGATGGAAAGAGCATTCCAAATCATATCCCTCCGATGCATTCACAAATTCAACATACTAATAAAATTCCCAATGCTATGCCTTCAAGACGACCATCGACGCAGCTTCCGAATACACAATATGCTAAACCTGTAGATCCAAGACTTGTAAATAATTCTAATTATAACACAGACAATCGGGCACTAGGACCTCCATATGACCAATATTATAACCCAAATCAAGATAATTGGGCATCAGCGAACACACAATCACAAATTTCAGATAATCAAAAGTCTTATTTGCAAAATGAAGTTAACACGTACGGACCTACTGCAAGTGGTGGTCAGCAAGCACCACCATCAGCATACCGTCTAAACAGACAGGACGCTTTACAGGGTCAACAAGGTATGGATCAAAGTAGTCAACAATATATAAATCAAGGACGAAGACTTTCTTCGGCTATCAGACAGACTCCTAATCAAAGACCGCAACAAGAGTGGAACGCTACTCAAATTGGTCCTAGACGACAGAGCGTTCTTGCTCAGCCAACTAACCATCCACAAGAAACATATATTGATGGAGGACCAGCAACATACGGACGAAATGAGTTTCGTACCGGGATTGTTCATTCTGAAGGACCACTCGACCGTCAAATGATGGCATCAGATCCACAAGCTTATCGACAACCTACAGATCCTCAAGCTTATAGAGAAGCACTGGATCAACACGGATATAGACAAGCTCCCGATCAACAATTATATCGGCAAGCCACAGTGGACAACCAATCTTATAGACAAGGTCCACCCATGGAACAAGAGAGCAACGGAATACGTGATCCTCGACAGACGACGACTGGACAGCGACCAACTATCGATTATTTCGATCACTATAAAAGGCCTCCTAGTAGAGATTCAAGTGTAGATCGATATGGACGACGGTCGCGACAGCCTTCGGTAGAACCGACGACTGGCACTGGGTCACGAGCTGGCTCCGTAGCGCCGCAACCAGCACCTATGACAACAGCGGCATCGCGGCCTGCCTCCCGCGCTGCGACACCTGCTGGAAATGGACATTTAACCTCAGGTCGAGGTTCAATATCACGCGCAGGATCCCGAGAACATTCTATACCTTTTGAGGAATCTCTTTTACGAAAACGAACTTTGGGCCAAGAAATATCGCCGTCGCCGTATCAACCAAAACGTACAGAGAGTCTATATGTGGCACAGAATCCAGCACCACCGCCACCAGCCCCTATGATAGGAGGTGGTGGAGGAGGAGGAGGAGGAGGACGTAAGGTATGTATTATTTAATTATAATGTAAGTTTATATTAGAAAAGCATAGTACACTATATATGCATTATTATTTAAATAGCATTAGCAATTAATCGTATTATATTTTATCGTAATATTTCGTAGGTATAAATAATATATTATTTATATACTTAAAATACATTTATATGTTAGTTTTATATATATATATATAAAATAGCTTTAATATATCTTGTTTAATAGATTTCATTTTTGCCACGGGAGTGTGCTCTGAATAACTACTTCTCTACTTAATTCAATCGTTTCACAATCACTTTCTTACTCTTTTCCCAATTAATTCAAAAACGCAATTCATAATCACAAGTAGCTTCTTTCCATGTTGTAGCATGACTCGAGATGCTTTTTTCATATATAATTGAATCGTCTTCTGTATATATAGCTGGTAAATATAATTATGCAAACACGGGTTTTAGGAAGGAATAATATAATATTATGTACAAAAGTATTATTACCTATGTATTTATTTACTTTATAGTAGATATTATTAGTCATTTCTGTGTTATTAAGTACAATTCCTTGTGTAGCTGGGTTTTTGTCAAGATAAAGAGTTTTTTTGTTAAAGGGTTCAGTGTATATTTACATTGCCACACATCCACATGCCATTTCTTTGCAATTTTCATACTTTACAGCTCTTAAAATAGTGATTTTTCTATCTCAGATTTCTAAAATCCATATTCATATATGACTGTAACGTACCAGTTCCAGTTTCTTTTATTTTTAGTAAAAACAATCTAAACTCTCCTCCAAAATGACTTAATCATCATCGGTTAAATATTTTTTTAAATTATTACTATTGTTACCTTTTAATTATATTTTTTATAAAATTATAATGAAATGACATGGCTTCTCTCCTTCGGTAAGTTAAGTACTGTTTTTAAAATATTGATCATTCTCTCGCTAAATAATTCTAAATGAAAATTCCTGTTATACACCTGTTTTACTATTGTTATAATTTAATTATCTATAATTTTTTTTTTTCTATTGGTAGTCATTTTTAGTGTATTTCATTAGTAAGTAATTCTTCAAATGCAATATGCTTGTAACGACTACAGAAAAACTACAACTACAAAAAAAACTGACTTTGTGCTTATAGACAAGTTACTGTATATCTACAGTTTTCATCATATTGTTCTTATTTTTGGAATAGGTAGGTACGGAACAAAGTACTTTTGGTCCTGAAAATTACTGAATGACATCATTGATTGTGGTTCTCATTCATATTAAATATTTCTTGATGTTCATTTATCCCTTATCATATTTCATAATTGCTTATTTCTTCTTTCCTTCGACATGTTTTATCATTTTCTTCTAAATGTTTGTTAGTATTTAAGAGATACTGACCACTGGATATTCCAAAATATTTACCTAATAGTGTTGTTGTTTTCGTATTTACTCGAATGATGGCTAGTAAGCAGACAACCTGATTTTAAGCGGTGACCATTGCCTATATACATACATGCACTAAGCTCTAAACTATGTACGTCAAGTGACGCTCATAGTACGTCCCCACACTCAATGTTATTTCGGACAACTACGGCGCCATGCCTGTCTGATATTCACCTACCAAATACTGACTGGTACCTTATATGAAATAGCTGAACCTGTTACCTTAATTGAAATAGCTGAACATTTTTATACTATTTCATAATTTGTCCCTATCGATAAGACTTCTTCCCCACTGGCCACACTGGGCACGTGCTCAGGGGCCCCACGATGGATTGGGGTGCCCTAGTCTAGTCTAGTCCCTACTCCATTACCAAACGATAACCGATAGCTACACTACTCTCGCCTGAAAATCAGTTTTACTTTTAACAAATACTTACCGACTGTAGTCAATTTGTTCATTTTTATTATTTTTTTATAAATGTCTATCAAGAACTTCAACCCCTCATCATATAACGACTTTTTAAAATTATTTTTGCCTGTTTGTTTTGAAGGTAGGGCATCCCGATATACATTTCTAAAGAGTCATGTTAAAAAATGACTGTCTATTCTAACATAATATGTTATCTGTGATTTTAACAAAATAGTCCTTTAATACTATAATCATATCCATACCCCATTATCCTAATGTGCCCAGGGCCTCTAATAGGTGAAAGACGGCCCTGCATGTGCAATGTATACCTAACAGCATCTCCAGCATACTTAATATACTTACCACATAAAAAAAAATTGTAAAATACCATTAAGTACTTTGTGTTAACTCCCTATGTGTACGTGGAAAGCATTTTAGAATGGCAAAGAAGTCGGCCCATCTGAAGGTAAGTGATAACTAACGTAATATTGGATGTCAGTATATCAATTTATCATGTAACTCATGCCTTGCTATTCTGGAGAACTAAGATGTCATTCTTCGTATACAGTAAAATCACTGCCTTATTCAACAACCAAAAACAAACACTAAGGATAGACAGAGATACCCACGCAGACAGCTTTTTATAAGTGTAATGATGTAAACTGGTCAGGTCAGGGCATGGCCAACTGGCAATTATAGAAGAGTGTAAGATTATAGAAACAGGATAATAACGAAGATAAACCATTTTGCCCAGTTCACTAGGAATTAACTATAATGGTTTCCGGGGCTAAAATATCGAGCCGACATGATTCTAGCAATGTATATCTCTTAGGTCACCTTTAGTAACAATGCGCTCCCTTTAATGATTTATTAACATAATTCAAGTTAGAATTTAATTTTATTGGTAACGATATTTACTATCATCATAAAGATAAGCTAGTAACTTAATATAATTTTATATAAAGAATATAAACCATCATACAATATTTATTCGGTACCATCAGTTTGCGATAGATACTAGCTCGCTAAAGCTCGACTATGTCTGTGTCTGTGTTTATTTATTCACTATGTAGGGTCTATTGAATAAAATATCATGTATCGCTAGTTTGTCGAACTCACGAATAAGTAAAGTAATAAAGAAAGTATTTTACGTTGCACTATACAGAGCCGCAGATCACTATACATACTATTTTTTCCTTACTAATATTATAAATGCGATATGTTAATGAAACTTTACTATAATATTACATATAAATCAGAATGTAATTATATATAATCTATGTGAGATTACAATTTATAAAAATATTTAGTGATTTGTCCAAAATATAACGTGCCAATAAAAAGTGCCATCTGCCATTCTGACGTCCGTCTGTTACGTCCTCACGACTGAACCGTAGAATTGATTTTAATGAATTTTGTTATAAAAATAGTAGTACCCTGTAAAAAAATAAGCTGCTCGAAGTACTGTCCTGCAAATAGTCCCCTATTTCACAACGCACAACCCGCTAAGAATGCAGTTAAAATCAAAACCAATAATATTCACGTTATTACACATTTTCAAAAAAATGAAATACATATGTCGTACTTAAATTTGTATTTATTATACTTACAAATACTAAACACCTGAGAATAACTCAACACCCTAAATAAACAAATAGAAATATTGTATTTCAATAAATATGTACATGTATCATTTCATAGTTTGTTTATCTACAGACTTAATTTACTTAAGAAGTTCCTATGATATTTACCCATAAAATATCGTAATGGTAATCAGATCACCAATCATAGTTTATAAACCGTAAAGTTAGAGTATCGTACTTATGATATTGTAGTGAGGCTAATTAAACATTACGTAGTGTAGGCGTTCGGTCGCATCCAACAAGAATGGATACCGCGGTTGGCCGCGGGTCGGCGGGACGGGAGCTCGTCTCGACAGCTCAGCCCGTTCTATTTCTAAATTGAGACAGTCACTCGCTGCCGCTTTCCGCGAATCGCCTCCTTGCTATATATAACTGAAAATATTCAATTATTTTGATAAACATAGCTAATATTCTATTCGAATTAAAAGACCCAGTTAATTCCGGTCTATAATGATTAAGGACAGTGCGCGATCCAATCGAAAGAGTTGTGTTCACAATTACCATAATGATGTAATGAAATAAACTGTGGACTGTGACTGAGATTTCGAACGCTCCGTTCATTTAGCTACCTAATCTGTAGCTAGTCAAATACCTCGATCACCATGTGGTACCAGGGGGATGAAGAAGAAGATGATGATCTTATGTGCTCTCCAGCTATACTTGCTCGGAGAGCCTCTGAAAGTTGGATTAATGTGCCTCCAGTAGAGGTAAAATGTAGGCTACGATATAGAGAAAAATAATAACTTTTACGTTTATTTATATTTATTTCTAACATTCACTATATTCACAGAGTCTACAAAATATTTCCCATACTTCTATTAAACATTTTCTATGCTTTTTTTATAATCTATCAGAATTTGCTGTTACAAAATAAAATATATTTACAGATGCTAAGTACACCACAGACATTGCAGCGAAAGAAGTCCTTACCGGATGTAGCGGGTATGCCTCGCGCCATGGACGGTAGCGGCATGTCCCGTGAAGAGGTATCAGCACTGGGATCCGCGCGCCGCGAAGAAGTGCGGCGTATGCACGAGGAAACCGAAAAACTTCGCGCAAACCCATTACTGTACTTAGTCAGTCCGCAAGTTAAGGTATAAGTGAATTCTATCAATGACAATTAAAATTAAAATATTAATTAAATGAATCTAAGTGATGCATTGTGCATCGTATACTAATTGCACTGTAAAAAACCAATTTACTAGGGTTTGATCAGGTTAACTGCCCAAATTCTTAGTTTGCAATATCAGTTTATAATAATTTATTTGATTATTTATTGTGCATAACAATAAGTATTAAATTCTTCAATACCTGATAGAGACTACAACAGTCAACACAAGATTGTTAATTTAAAATCTAGTTTTTATATATTATATAATATATAACCTATTATTTTATATATATATTTTTATTTAAAGTCGGTCAAGTTCTAAAGTGTTAAAACGTTAATTTAATTTAAAAAGAAATTCTAGATTCGATCCGTTTGAAAAAGAAACCAAGTTTAATTATTCATTAAGACTACTGTATTTTATACTACATGTATTGAATATTGTTTGGATTTATTTTTATGTTTTTTTTATTCCGTTTGTATATTATTAATAATATAAGTATCGTTGACTGATTTGTAGGATCACAAATCAGTACCTATTTAATCATAGTTGTAATTGAAGATATTCATATTATAATATTTATATGAGAAAGTCGTCGAAGTATCTCCCATTTATTATACATGAAAAAGCGTAGATACGTAGCTACGAGATTGTCACCTGTAGGCAATGTTTGAACGATGCTACGAACGTGGCTATATGTACAATAGTTACGTAGCAGAGTGGACGCTAAACTGTAGTAGTCAGTCAATACCGTTATATTGAATTTACTGGAACATGAATATTACTGTAACACAAATATTAATAAATAATAATATTTAATTCTTTTCCAGGACTGGTTCTCACGGCAGCAGCTGATAATTTTAGTGCTGTTCATCAATATTTCCCTTGGCATCATGTTCTTCAAGCTGCTCACGTAGCGTCGGCGAGTGGCGCACGCGCGTCGCGCGCCGCCTAGATCTTGCCATGCATTCGTGACATATTAAATTAATAATATTTACTTGTAAATATCTATAAAACTTTTGAACCAAAATAGCCAAAACTGTAATGTGACATTAAAAAATGGCAGTTACCAAATATCCATTTTGAGTTACTGTTTTAAAATTATAATAATAAAAATGACTCAACTATATTTTATTCGTCAATAACTACTTCGATTTTGCTAGTGTACCTTTATTTGACATTGTTGAAAAGTTTTAATAATTTTGCAGTGCATTACATTCTCGAATTCAAATAAATTATTTCAACTTCTAAGTGCGTGTGCGATTATTTGTGACTACTATGGGTCAAAACTTCGAGTGTAAGGAGCACGAGTTGTTTTAATAACCTGCATATTGTAGGTTTGTGTCTTCTATGATGATGCTAATGCCTTAATGTTTCAAATTTGAAGACTTTTGGATATTCCAATTTAGGAGGTAAAACTTAAGTACTTAAATAATGTGTTACATAAATCCACATGGCTTTCGTAATTCTGTTACACGGAGATTTTGACATACATATAAATATAAATCGATTTGTCGATTGCATTAATAGTACTATTTGCCTTTTAAATTTAGTGGTAGGTAAATGAAAGTATGTAAAAATACTTGTGAATAGCTATTTTCAAAAATATTATTATAATTGAACAGTATATATTAATGCAAATTTTAAAGCACTTGTACAATATTTCATGCGGAAGTCATTCTCCATCCAATCAGCAAGCGCTACTTACCCTGGTGTGATATTAAAAGCACAAACTATGATAGGGTAATAAAGAGTATTTTAAACATGTAAATAAGTAGCGACTAAATTTATGAATCTTTATGAAAATTAATAATCTATTTGTACTTACAGTAATGTAGATACGTGCATCTACGTTATTTGTTTGCTAAATGAAAAAGTTGAATATTTAAATAATTTATGCTTTACTATATTTTCCTATACTGTAAAATAATATTATAAATATACCCTAATTCAGAAATAAAGTTTAAATTATCTATTAAATTAAATTGTTAAATATTTCAATACGTCAGCTTGTATACAAATTTAAACTTCGTTGTACCTATACATATGGAGTCAATTCTATAGTAATCGAAGTTTTTGGTATAGATATACATATATATGTATATATATATATTAGATAGTGCATTATTATATCTATATAAAGTTATTGACCATTTTAAAGAATATTGGCATGGAAAGCGTGCGTATGAGACTGTTGATACGTTCTGTACAACGAAAGTTGTAGTAGAAAAGCATTCGTTGAATGGTTCAAATGTTATATAAAGTTTGTAAGACAATTTTCACACTTTCATTATATTATGTAAAAAATATAAGTTACTTATTATCTGTAAGAATTTTAATTACTTGTATCGATTTTATCTACGTTTCACAAATAAAATATTTTAACAAAACTAAATTCTTTTTTTATTTATTTTATAACTTATTCTTCTCCAATACGAAAGTTGTTGTATGATTAGAATCTATAGAAGTCGTTTGTCAGTTTAAAATAAAATATAATAGTAAAAACGAAATAGAAAAAACATATTCTGTGTTATAGAGGAGTGATGATGAATGAATCACGTCTAGCCCCAAGACAAGTTAAGGAACGAAAATACAAATGTTGTGTATAAGAATTGATAAGGATGGAAGACAATACTAGGTTTTTGTTGTCTCTGCCTCCTATTTTAAGAGACCTGAGATATATATATATAAATGTGTATTTTTTTAAATATGTGAATTCTATTAAAATTCTATTCTTTCGTGTTACCCAACCGCTGTGAGTAGTTAATAATAGTAAAAGGCTTAACTCAAAATAACTCAAAAATTGTCAATGCTGGTACTACGTTTTAGTAGAAAATTCACGTGTGTCTCACTGCACCAGACCGCAGGAATGCAACATATTGATTTATGACCGAATAACCTCAGGTTTGAGTCTCAAAAAGCAGATGAACACGGTGTCCGCCTACCTGCTACAAAAATTAGGTTTATGGACACCAACTAACAACTATATAACTTTACAGTAATTATCAAGACAAATCAACCTACGACAGGTAGTGCAAATAGTAAACTACAGGCAAAATCACGTTTTGAGATTGGAGTTTTATGACTGAATTGTGTATCTTTTAATATTTTTAAGCTTAATATTTTACAGGTTATGTGTGTTAGGAATAGCTATATCAATCAGGTATCCAGTAATATAAATTTTGTTTATTAGTGTAATGCCTGATCTATTACAATGAGTTGTTCGATCTGTAAAAATGGCATGATCAAAGTAGGGTTTTGGCTTTAGAGTTGCAGGCTTTCAGAATTGTATTTATGGCACAAATAACATAATTTATTGTATATTGCATAATTTATAGTATATCTGTAGGGAAGGTATTTTGTTCGGAAAGTTTTTAATTAATGACGTTAGCTATATGTGAACGTTTGAATATGTAGATGTGATATGATGTAGTACGCCTATATTTGTACAGGTTTAACTTATGTTTGGCACGCATCAGTAAATAGATATGTTGGATAGTTTCTGGACACGTATTAGGCATTTTTATTATGGTTTTTATAATATGTTCTTATAATTCCGGGTATTACGGTACTCTCTTAATTTGATGTTGTATTGCCATCAAGAAGGCTTCAGTCTCTGGGAAGAGTTCTCCTTGACTGACCCACGCATTAAATGCCCCTTTGTCGACATTAAGTTGGCATAAGTCTAGTTAGGCGATGTCTTCCGTATTTTCACCTTGTCGTCTGCTATTTTTTTCTTATTTATTTTACAGATTAATATTGTAAATTTATGGTGTGTATAGTATTGTCTTATGTATTAAAGAAGTTACAGCTTTATTGAAGAAATATCGTCTAATTTGTTTATTATATAAGTTGGTAACTGCGTCTTCTTCTACCGCTTTTCTTCCTAGGTGTCAGTCTGTACATGTATGATCTGGGGTGGTGCTTGTGTGCTATGGTCATTAATATGTTTACAATGCATTGTAGAGATATGAGGATAATATGTTACACCTATGATAATACAAACAAACGGACCCCTGTTATATAATATATAATATAATACAAACAAACAGGGGTCTATTTGTTTGTATTATCTGTTTGTTTGTATGTATGTTAAAAATGTATACATATACATGTATACATTTTTTTATAATTTCCTGAATATCATTAAAAAAGAGAAGCGGTCGAGTTTAGCTGTCCTCTCTAATATATCAAAGGTATGTGTAGTATAGGTATGTTGATTAATTAGATTAATACTGTAAGGTTTCCCGGAACAAGAAAGCGGCTTAATAACGTCTATACTCGACAAACGCTAACAGTTCACTTAATTCGAAATAAAAATAGTGGTTAATTTAAAAAATAATATTAAAAACCAAATTACTTAATGACGAAAGTTTCCAAAAATACAAACAACTATGGCACGCAACAAAATGATTCGGTAATACAATATAAATAAACAAACAATTGATTTCATAATTTATAAAATAAATAAGTGGTTATATTTAGGGTGTGAGAAATTAGGTTTTCAAATTATTTTATTTGTTATATTTTAGGATAATGAAACAAAAAACGACACAATCGACTTGGACGATTTACTACCAAAAATTGGTGAATTTGGACTTTATCAGAAATTTCTGCTTTGGTTGGTATGTTTACCGGCATGTCTACCCTGTGGATTTTGTGCATTCAATCAACTATTTATGACCGATGTACCTGATCATTGGTGTTTGGTTCCTGCACTACGAAATCTAACAACAAAGGATCGGAAAATGTTATCTATCCCGCATAAGGTTTTTAATTTTAACAAATTTAAACTTAATAATTTATATAATTTAAATTTAACTTTAATTAATTTAAACAATGCATTCATGTTGTTATTATATCATCTGGGATTTGATTTCATAGTTACAAAAACTACAAGCCCATGTAAAAAATTAACCTATGAAATGAACCAACGTGAATAACGTTTAGAAGGCTGTTACTGACGCTTAATCAAAGTCCTGGGCTGAACATTTTATATTAAGTACCTCTATTTTACTCAAATGACTACGATTTTTAAATAATCGAATATTAATCGATATAAGTGAATCTTATAATCTCATAATAAATGTAATATATTTTAAGGTCGATAGGAATAGTTTTGAAAAATGTACTCGTTATTCAGTAAATTGGTCCGATTTAATCAAGACGAGTTTACCACTTGAAGCCAACATCAACTGGTCCCGTGAGCCCTGTTTAGATGGGTACGAATATGATACCTCTGAAGTGACATCGTCTGTTGTAATTGACGTAAGTGTTCTTAATGATATCTTTATTATCTTTAAATAATTGAAATTCAATGAAAAGATACTTTGTAAAATAACCAATCTTACTTTATACTTAGGGAGAATAAGAATAGGCTAGCATAACTTGATCACCTTGAGTTATATTGTATATATAATTATATTACATATTATAAACATTATGTATATAGGTTGACTGACACCAGTAATACCAAAGAGTTAATCAGACATCAACTTTTACGCATACTTAACTAACTCTCTGTTGATGGAAAACGAAAATATTCTAAATAAATCCGAGAGACAGCGATAGGTTTGGTTTGCCTCTGACACGTTAGATTCAAATATACTATGGCTATGTCAAGTGTTACTTTCTCCACGATGTGGACAGTTAACAATTCCTGTTTATCCATCTAAAATAACAGTCGTTAATCTACTGGAGCTAGATTTAAATAAAATTAGTATTTGTTTGGTTAAAAATAAGCGTGGTTATAAATTAGACGAAATAACATATTTTGTAGAGGGTCTTGGTTAATTTTTAAAAGTGTTGCTACTTGACTTGGATCTATTTTTTGACCATTTTTTTTTAGGTATATATTAATATTAATTATAATTTTTATATTATATTATTCTATTTTTATATTGTTATTATAATTTTTAAGTATATGTTTTACATTTTCCATCACAAATATAAAACTCTTGTTTTACTTACGCACCTAAAGAATATAAAAAATAATTTCGGAATGTAGGTACATATAGGTACTCGTACATTTTAGATGAAATCCCTTTCATATGACAACTATGAAAGAGGTCAGAAAGAAAATATATTTTCTAAAATATTCTGAAATATAACCCTGTTCTAGGCAGACAACAAAGACGCATACGTTCTACGGTTTCCATAATGCCATAACTAATAATTCCACTTTCTTAAATTGGTTTACATACATAGAATTGTCAGGAATTGCATTATGTAATGTAAATGTAATGTAAAGATGTTATACTCTTAACTGAACAGGTAACAGGAATTTTGGTTTGATTCCAAATTGATATGGTTACACATTATTTATCTCTGCTTATTAGTTGTTTCTGTGATACTTTATATCGTACTATCAGCCGTTAACTATAAGTCGTTTGTTATTAACAAGACATTTATTTTCCATTTCAGTTTAATTTAGTTTGTGATTACGATGTTTATCCCACTCTTGGATTAGTCGCCTTAAATGTTGGTGGGCCTATAGGTGTATATACATTTGGCCTTTTAAATGATAGAATAGGCCGTAAAAAGTCTTTCTTCATCTGTCTTACTACATTATTAATCGGAAGTATTTTAACAGCATTAGCATATGAATACTGGATCTGGGTATTAGCAAGAATAATTGTTGGCTTAACTATTCCAGCGATTTACCAAATACCTTTCATAATTTGTGAGTTATTCATCATTTTGTATCAATTTTATATAGCATAGTTTATTATACATACATATCATAATTTAAATACGATACATTATATCTCATAGTTATATGAATTGACCAGATTTTTTATTTTTCAGCTCTCGAACTTGCGGGCCCTAATTACAGGTCCTTCGTAACCGTTATGACATGTATATTTTATACACTTGGCCTAATATTACTGTCAGGCATATCATATTTACTAAGAGACTGGAGATCTCTGGCGTTGGCCACATCCGTACCATTTTTCTTTTATTACCTGTACTGGTTCGTATTACCAGAGTCTCCGCGATGGTTACTAATGAAAGAACGACTTAACGAAGCTAACAGTGTTTTGAAAAACATAGCCGAAGTAAATGGAGAAGTATTACCTGAAGAATTTACATTAAAATTGGAAAAATTACTTATAGCACAGAAAAAGAAGGAATTTAAAGAAACCAAGAATATTAGTGTATTTGCATTATGCAGAACTCCGAATATGAGGTTAAAAACATGTTTGATTACACTTAATTGGTGTGCCTCGGAAATGGTATACGTAGGACTAAGTTACTATGGTCCAGCGATGGGAAATAATCAATATATGAGTTTTTTTCTATCATCCGCTGTCGAAATACCAAGCTACATTGTATGTTGGATACTAATGGATCGAGTGGGACGACGGTGGCCTCTTTGCTTATCTATGATTTTAAGTGGAATATTTTGCATTGTCACTGTATTGTTACCTCAGGGTTAGTGTAACACACCTACACATTTCTTCACTCACAAAATGAACACATAACATTATGACATTTGCTCACCAAAAGGCACTGTATTTCATTTTCTCCTAATAGATATATCTAATATAATACATAGCTGTGAAAAAGGTATGGCCTCATTATTTCGGATAGACATATACATACCTGTAATATTTTATCCCACTCGAAATAAAAACTAAAATAATATTTCACACTTTCTTTGTTTTTTTACGAATATAGTAGGTAATTTATCTATGTCCTTCAACTTAAGCTATATCATTTAACAAAACGTAACATTAATTCCCGGGCTTTTATAACAATTAATTCTACCGTATTGACAATGTTATACCTATAGTCAAATTTACTCTTTCCAGATGCTCAGATGGAAACTCTAATCTTGTATTTGATATCCAAATGCTTTATATCTGCATCTTTCCTAATAATATATCCTTATGCTGGAGAATTGTATCCGACAGAATTGAGAGGTATTGGTATTGGCACATCTGCATACATAGGAGGCCTAGGATTGATTATAATACCTTTTATAAATTACTTGGTAAGAATGGAAATAAACAATTATTGCATTTTTAAACAGCTTTACACTAATACGCATAATAATGTCTTATCAAAATTAGAACTCTATATAAATAGATAGAATTTGCTAATGGATAAAGAAGAAGCAGATGACGATTGCTATTTCGAAAAAATAATTATCTACAGTTTTTAATACAAAAGGGACTCATATTGTTATATGATATACATATATATGTAAGAAAATTATTAAATTACATCATTTTTAGGGCGCCAATAATTTGGTTTTGCCTCTCGTAGTGATGGGAGTCGTATCTGTAATTGGTGGATTAACTGCACTCCGTTTACCGGAAACTCTACACTGTCCATTGCCTCAAACTGCTGAAGAAGGAGAAGAATTTGGTAAGAATTGGACTTACAAAGATTGCTTGCTGTGTGGCGAAAAAAGGTAATATTTCAAAGTTAATAATAAAGTACTTAGTTTCCAAATATAGAAAAAGGCCCTTATTTTGACCCTCCTAAAATAAAGTATAGCGCCAAAAACATATCTATAATGAAAATAAAACCAGTGAAAAAAATATTATGGACATATTACAGGAAGCAATTGGCGAATAGGTTATTAGTTTACTATATTATACTTATACTGTTGTTATATTGTTGCGCAAAGTAACTGCACCAAAAGACTGTACAGCTAATAGAGTTATGAATCTAATAATGTCATTATGTCAACTAACTTGAACTAAATAAACACATTAAAAACAGGTACTTAACGTTTAACACGTGTCATCAAATAATCCTCATCTTCTTACAGACAAACGGCAAACGTCGAATCATATGAAAATTTAGACCAGTTAGAATTAATACAAGCACCACTAGGCGATGAAGTTGCTAGTGCATCAGCTTTACGACGACCTTCCATGCATAAATTAGTACGGCAAGTCAGTACATTAGAAACCCAACGAGATCTTGACGGGACTATGAAAATGACATATTGGTTTTAAAAGTGTCTATGTCTATCACAGAAGTCAATCAATATCAATATCAGTCTACAGTGTCTCGACGTACATATTTTCTTATTATACCATAGATAGGCAAGGAGTAACAAATACATAACTAGTATACTCAATGACCTTTGTGTATTAATTACAAGTACCCCAAGTAAGTAACTAACCCTAAGTAGACGTAGAAACCTACGTCTACTTAGGGTTAGTTAACGATTAGGGTTTCAATAATACAACAACAGGATAAGAGAACATCTTAGTCCTAATAAAAATGGGATAATAAAAACAGTAGAGAAACAAATAATTTATATTTAATAAAAAAAAAAAAAATACATCTTGGTCCTTTGGAATAAAACCACATGAGTGGTATTGCAGTTGTCACATGATAGTAATGTATCATGATTCATGTCAGATTAGCCTCCAAGCGGTTCTCTCTGGAAATCTTTGTGGTAAATCCCTGGAGAACTTGCCACGATGAGCTAACTGAAGTGACCTCATCTTATCATCCTTCACTGCCCAAACAGCGTAAACCATTAAGGTAGGCGAGGGCACCATTCCGTTAACACCCATTTAAAAAAACGTGACGTTAATGTACATGTATATAGGCAACGGTTACCGCTTGAACCATCAGTCATCTACTTGGTTTTATATTCGATTTTTTAAAAAAAAATATTTTATAAACGTGGACACCCGTCTCATTCCCTGAGGATACATAATTATCCCGATCACCGCGCGATATTTAGCGAGTTGCTACAGGTTTCGGCCCTTATATAGATGTTAATAACTACGGATTGATTGTGGCCCTTCGCAGCCCCTTACGGGACACTGGGTACGGGCCTTGAGCATGGGTTTCTTACCCGGGAGTACTGCCGGGGTGAACCAACCCAGCGTCGTTTGTTTTCACCTTAAGTGGGTCAGCTACAGTCATGTAGCCGGCTAAAAGAATAGTGGCACAAGAGGAGTACTAGAGTCGCTTGCCGGACCGGCTTTGGTTGCCGCCCTGTCGCGAATGACGTGTTTCCATGATGGAGAGTAGGTCGCGCGGGAGCGCATGAGTTACGACGGTTCGCGGTCGTGTAGCGCGACTGGTTGTATAGTAATAAAAAAGGTGAAAAATAAAAAGACGTGGCATACACGGCATTACCGATAAGCATTCATATCGGTAATGCCGTATATGCCACGTCTTTTTATTTTTCACTCACATTCAGTTTAAATTCAGTGTTTGTTTCCAAAACACATAAAGTTACGATCTATTTTGTAGGCATATCACGTGTACGAAGTCACGCACTCGGCTAGTATAAAATATATAAGTTCTTGAACATTAAGTTATTACAATTTCCACGTAAAAGAAATGTAAGCAGATAGAGATAGATTTTAAGCTTCACATCAATCACTGTGGTGATGAAAGAAGGTTAAAATATTCATAGTAGTGTAAAATAATGTCAAATGGTTTATGAATTATTAGTAGTAAACGATTTTAGTCATGAGTGTATTTTTGTCACAAAATCCCCCAAATATATGGGAGCCGCTTCCTTTCTGGCATCACACATCATTGTCAATGGTCATTTTAATGTTTACGTCATGTACCAATAAACACGACGTGTCATCATCGTGTTACCGAAACTATGGTAGAAATATAAATTTTTAGTTTTTTAGCTATTTTTGTAAATTAAAAAAAAAACAATGACAGTGGACCGACGATCCTGGTCAAGATCGCTGGAAGGCATTGGATGCGAGCAGCGCAGGACCGATCGTCGTGGAGATCTTTGGGGGAGGCCTATGTCCAGCAGTGGACGTCTTCCGGGCTGCGATGATGATGATGATGATACAAAACATTTTTTCATAATCATAATGTAAATACAAGGAAAATATATTAAAATTAATGAGCATGTGTACCGTTTCAAAATTGTAGGCAAAGCACAATCTATGTAGAGATGCGACACATTCTCTGCCTCATCATTATATCTATGAAATATTGACCTGGGAAAACAAAATCAAAATTTATTTGGAATCAGTATGACGGTGGTATGAAGCAATCGATCCTTAAAATTGGTAATTTCTTTATTTGTTTACTTCACTGCCTTTTGTGTTACAATCCGTTTTATTTAGGCTTTGTACTTCCTAAATTCTAACTGCTTGTACTTCCTAAATTTAAGTAAAAAATATAGGACATTGACGTCGACGCGAAATGCCAACGGCTACGGTATTGATAAAAAGTACTATAATTTTTGGCCCCTTTATAAGTGGTATAAAAATTTTAAGGTGTCAACCCTGATTCTTATTTCTTATCTGTCATTCTTGTCATCTTGAATAGCAATTAAAAAATAATTTTTAAATTAATTATATATTTTTAAAATGTTTCACACGAATAAAATATTTTATAAGTGTATAGTTATAGCTTGTTTTGTAGTTATCAGTTTGGGACATTCACATTCACATTCACATGGTGAGGAACCGCCAGTATTTAAATATTCTAAGGGTGCCAACGAACAATACAAAACAACAAAGGAAGAAATTATATCAGAATCAAAATACGATATCTACGTGAAAGCCCTATGTTCCACACTCTTTATCAGTGTGGTGCCCTTTTTTATACTTTTTTTTATTCCCATTGATGGAAGTATTGAGAAACAGCCTTTACTAAAAATTTTATTATCATTTGCTTCCGGCGGTCTTCTCGGCGATGCATTTCTGCATCTGATACCGCATGCTCTTATCCCTAGCACAAGTGAAGGAGGGCACAGTCACTCACATTCTCACTCACATGAATCAGGAGGTCATGAACCCCATGATTTATCAGTGGGGCTGGGTGTACTTGGTGGAATTATTACTTTTTTAGTAGTGGAAAAAGCTGTGCGTTTATTTAGTGGAGGTCATGGACATTCCCATACAACTGAGAAAAAGAAAAACGATGACAAGTCCAAAAAAAAGAGTAAAGATAAAAAGGAGGAAATTAAAATTGCTGGATACCTGAATCTTGCTGCAGACTTCACACACAATTTTACAGATGGATTAGCCATTGGAGCATCATATATTGCAGGGAACAGTATTGGATATATAACTACTATAACAATACTGTTACATGAAATTCCTCATGAAATTGGTGACTTTGCTATATTAGTACAATCAGGTTGTTCACGTAAGAAGGCTATGTTGTTGCAACTGTTAACTGCATTTGGTGCTGTATCAGGAACATTTTTGTCCATTTACCTTCAGGGTTCAAGTGAAGGACTGGTATCATCCCTCATTCTACCGTTCACTGCTGGTGGCTTCATTTATATTGCTACTGTGTCAGTAATACCAGAGTTATTGGAAAGTTCTAACAAATTATCACAAACTATCAAAGAAATCCTAGCTCTATTAGCTGGTGTGTATATGATGGTAATTATAGCTCAATATGAATGAAATTAAAATATTAAAAGAAAAATAGCAACATTTAATTGTTTATAGATATAATAATATTATAAGTAAATAATGTTTAGTAAATTAATTATATTTTAATATGTAGTGTTATTTTCTTATTTACACTGCCTAAGAAACTACTCATAAGTAATCTAAGAGTGCTCAAAAATTGTAAGAAATTTTCTAATGATTGGATCCCAAATACTATTATTGTTTTTTTGAAATATTATTTTTTAATTTACTGATAACATTTACTTTGTTCATTGTAATTTAAACCATTAAAACATCACATTAAACAATATACATAATATAAAATATTTTTATATTAATTTTATTTGTTTTCCAAATGATAACTAAGTACTGTAGTATATGTAAAAGGTTGAGTGACATCGATTTGCTAACAATATTCACAGTCACATATACATCCTCGTTCCTGGCAGTTTGTGGACCATTTTTTTTTAATTGTTGTATTATTTTGATACCTCTTTTTTTATATGTCACATTTGACTATGTTAAGAGCCCTATTACAATACACATACATTTAGGGCTTTATTTTTATGGCAGAAATAATTAACATATCTATGTTTATATTTCACAAAAGGGCTCATGCAAGTCAAAAGGGTATCAAAATAATAGATGTTTTCTAACTAATACTCTACTAATAAAAATAGTGGACCAACTGCCAGCAACAATCCTCAATCCCTTAAATCCATCATAAGTAATGCATGTGGTTATCTACAGCATGTATGATACTAGTTATAAAAGTGAATGAAGGAAGAAGGTTGTTCATACTATCATGGTAAATTCTCCAGGAATTTATTACAATTGTTTCCATTCCCCATGTAATGTGGGTCCACATGGAGGTCAATCTAACATAGTACATTGCTAGCAATGGGATTGTTAGTCCACATTACGTTTGACTTATATCCTTGGAGTAGGATCCCATCAGAATACACAATACACACTGCAACTAAGCATGTAATAGACGAGTATGACGGTGGTCTATCAGTTCAGTATATCAAGTTACTTCCGATGGTCGCGGGTTCGATTCCACGTACGGTGCAAATATTTGTATTCATAAGTATGGTTGTTTGTATTGGTCTAGGTGTTTTCTATGTATATTATGTACTAGCTGTTCCCGCGACTTCATCCGCGTAGAATTTAACTTTATTTTTCTAAAATCAGCTACCTCCCAAGAAAAGACCCGTCAAAATCAGTCCAACCATTTCAGAAATTAGCCGGAACAAACCATGATGTATGTACCTTATTCATATTTATATGCATGTAGTTAAAAATAGTTATTTCAATATTACAGACTTGGAGGGTCTATTTATGATGGTTTCATTTATATGTAGATTTACAAAAAAAATTAAGTCTTTATATCACTTGTCGAGTACCCGTAACATGAGCTCTGCTTAGCTTGGGAATTGACAAAGCTGTTAATTGTCCAGGGCTATTAAAGCAAATAACTACAAAATTATGGAATACTCACATCATTTCATAACTTTCAGCACTAATATAAATATAATAGATAAATAACTAAACAGTGAGTGTGTAAACTGTTAGAATAGCACATTTGATCTATATTCTCTTAAAATAAGTAGTTTCGAAATTAAGTTTCTAATTATAAATATCTAATAACTTCTGTCATTTATTTGTTCAAGCTATATCATATAAGGGTAACTATGGGAAATAACAAACAATAAATTATGAATAATTTTTATTTTGTTTTCAATTACTTCTTCTTAGAGACACCAACAGTTCGTCCTCTCCTGCCAGTAGTCTTAGTGTGCTGACCACGCACACGTAGACCCCAGTAGTGACGCATTCCCCTGTGTGCACGGATCTTCTTGAGTCGCTCCAAATCCTCACGAAGTTTGGAATCCAAATTTGAAGAGGTCAATTGACTGTATTTACCATCTACAATATCCTTTTGTCTATTAAGAAACCAGTCAGGGATTTTATATTGTCTTGGATTTGACATAATAGTAATGATCTTTTCTACCTGGAAACAACAAATTATACTTTGTAAGATATCTTAGGAAATGAAACAAATTCAATTATCTAGTGCACTATAGCAAAATATTAGCAATCTCAAATCATGGAATTTGAAATCAAATGCAAGTCACTTGAGTAGGGTTGTCAATATTAAATAATAAAACAGGATTTGAAGTTGGAAAAACCAGGATGCAGCAATAGTTAAATTAATATGTAATAAAACTATGTGAAATAGAATTTACACTATTTTATTTTAAATTAAAAACAGAATTTTCAAGTTTAAAAACTCAGTTTACTATTAAGGACATCCCAGGATACTATAAAAACCATGACATATCCTGGGAAAACAGTATGGTTGGCAGCTCTAGTTCAGAGTACCAGAAATTTTATCATCAGGCCTAGCCCAGTCTGCACTTTAAAATTATTTTGCAATCTACTACAAATACACTATAGGGTTTTTTATATATTCCTATATACTTCAGCATTATGATAACTGTATCGAAAAAATTCAAAGTGATAATGTAGACGCAGAGGTAATGCATAAGCAATTGTTTTTTTTTAATACGATTTAGTGTCTAATAAATATTGCGACAGACAACATTATTAGTATAATTATTTCAACTATACATACATATACTCTGTAAGTACATATACATAGAATTGAAAATATTGAAAGTAATATTAAATTATATTTGCACAGTACCTCTTCTTCAGTGCATTCACCAGCACGTTTATCCAGATCAATGTCGGCCTTTTTCAAAACAATGTTCGAATATCTCCGTCCAACACCTTTAATAGCAGTCATAGCAAACATAACTTTACGTTTGCCATCAATATTCGTATTCATGATACGAAGAATATGTTGAAATTTATCCGGAATTACCAACGACTGAAATTAAAAAACATTTGTTTTAATGACAAATAAAGTAAGTAGATATATAATTCAAAAAGATAAACACCGTTAAACAACTTATATTCATTTTATGTTATAAGATTAAGAAGAAATTTCGAGATTTAGATACCATTTTAGTTTATTTCAGAGGAAAATGTCCCACAACAATCAAACTCATGACATGAAAAGGACTAGTGCTGTAGCTGTAGGGAGTAATGCAAATATCGATAACATGTCTACGATTTCTATCAAACACATCGATATTTATCGATCTATTATGGTACTTTCAAGTATCGATAATGAATACGAATAAAAATGCTTTTACGTTACTTTTGACATAATACGAAATAACTTGTAAAAGAATTAAGTTTTTTACTAATAAGATTTTATTACTGGATTGTTTATGATCTCTTTATTAGTTATACAATTAGTATAACCAGTGTTAATAGTTTTCTTAAACTCAAATGTACACAAATTTAGTTCATACAGATCATAAGGAATCCGATATATGATTACTGTAACACATAGTAATGTATTCGGATTTTACATAATTGGAGGTATCCTATGACAAAGTGCGTTATATTAATGATATCTTAAAAAGTGTTTACTATAATGTTTAGAAAGACAACAGAAGGGCTGTGATACAACGGTTTCTTAAATATTATTGAATACAAAAATGACATACTGTTAAGTTGTACTCCTGAGCAAATACTATATACGGATCTAGTATAGTCATCTATCTAAACTTTTTTAGGTTGTAGCTTAGGTACTCTAATTTATCTTGATATTATACTATTGTTAGTTTCATGAGTAGTAGACACGATATCATATAGTTTTAAGTTTCTTATAGGATTTTCTCGCCTATTCATTTCAACTGATATTATGTATCCATGGAGGATTCGTAAACGACTTATAAAATCAATATTGTAAGAAACTTTTGTCATAAAGCGTAAAAAGTTTTATAACTCTACGATTTTTCTTAGCCCAACTAACAGATTATAAAAGTGTAATCAATTTAATATAAGAATTTCTTATTAAAATAAAACCAAATAGTACAGCACCAACATTTTGTGTAAAATAATTATAATTTGATTGAAAACTAAAATCTAAAATGAATATCATCTCTTAAATTATATCCGATACAATCGCACCTATGACTTACGAATGAGCTGTACTCAAATGACGCAAAACGATAGATATTACGAATAGAATTTATAAATAAGTAATCTATTACTAAATTTTACTTTATTTTATTCGATATATCGATACATACATAGTTATTAAAAGTCCATATCAATAAGAATAATATTATGCACGCTGTCGCAACCCTAATAAGGTTTTTTTATATTTGGCTTTACGGCTTTGGATAATCCTTAATAGCCACCTAAAAAAACTTGAGTAAAACATTTCGTTGTTTTGTTAAATTCTATAGTACATTCTACAAATATTCTACAAAGATGCATTTTATTTTACTATTACTTTCGAACTCTCAACCAAAAACGTGAAAATGAGTTATCAAGTTATGCAACACAATTAAAATCTATGGTTCATTTGGCTGTAGGCTTCCCGCCAAAGCGTTATAAATTAAAAAAAGCATGTCTGTGGTAAATTGTGGTTCAAATACAGAGGAAAAAAAATTTATGGTTCCTTCCTTCATCGTGTGCCGGTACTTATTACCGATTATACATTCTCATAATTGTCTAATATATTGTGAATTTAACTAGGAAAACTAAACCACAATGCATACAGAAACTACGTTAACCCTTATACAAATATTGGAAAAGACTATATCCCCAGGTAAGATAATTTTCTTTCATTACAATGAGCATGGCGTTCCATATAGTTGTCAACCGACTTTATCGCGCAATGTCACCAATGTTCAGTCTGATTATCGGTCTCATGTTTATTTCCAACCGTTTCTTAGTTATTGACTACTTACATTAAACATAACCAATCCTACTATATTTAATAATTAAAACGGACCATCTTTTTCTCATGTAAAGAAACGTCTAGTTGTTATCATCAACGTATTTTCTCATTAGGTATTTGCAGTTTTATCTTTTCGTTAAATTTTACAAATTTCTCATGAATAGCGACATTGAACATGATACTGTATCAGTTTATCAAATATGAATCACCTACTATTTGAAGGTTATGAGAGCGACACGAGAATGTTTCTGTATAGGAGCTCATTAGGAAACTCAGCTTGTTACCTTTATATAATTGAATTGTCATCACAGATCGAAATGAGTTGGAAGCAGCGGAAAAGTATCTGGACCAGGCAGCAGCCACCAACTTCACCACATTTATCAAAATGCTATCAGATGTCTTGGTCCAGGGGGGCAACAGTCAGGTGGCTAGGATGGCTGCTGGTTTACAACTGAAAAACCATCTCACTTCTAAGGACCAATCAACAAGACAGAACTATCAACAGAGATGGCTTGCTTTGCCTGAAGACATCAGATTATATATAAAGAAAAATGTAGGTATAAAGAAATCAAAACAACCATTTGTCAGTTATTACACTTCAAAATGTAGGTAGAAAATTATTTAAAAATTTTACAGTCATCATCTACTGTGTTAATTTTCATATTTTACAACACTGCTGGTTCACCTTTTTATTTTTAATTTAATACTCCTTTTATATATCTTAATATCATGTAATACAGCACAAACATAGCTGTTTCTATTTACACTGTTGCTTGCTGATTATGTTAATTGCATTTATCGGACACAAATAATATTGTTTTATATAAATTAAAAACCATAACAATTGCCACACTAATGTCCTGAAAAGCATATACCAATTTGGTCTAAAATGAACAAAAATTATCAGCCCCACAGATGTTATTACCAAAGTTTTTAAATTTGTGTATTGCTGTTGATTTCTGTAGACAATAGTTAACCCATTTCCATCAGGTAGACCATGAGCTAGCTTGCAATTCCAATACATAACATAGTAAAAAGAACCATAATCACCACTAGTCCACTGATAGAACACAAACTTATTGAATTCATTTAATTCAATAATAGTTTCAGAAATAAATTATTACAGCACTTATTACAACACACAAGAACAGAATTGTTATACATGATAAAGAAATCATGTGAATATATATATATAGGAAAGAAATCAGAAAAATGTATTGTTACTTGTTAATAATGTATATTTCAATAGGATATTGTCCCAAAAGTTAATGTCAAGCCAGAAACAAGGTAAGTCATAATAGTTTTCAGAAAAAAAATCTGTTACCTATTTTACAGATGTTAAAAAAAACAACAAAATCTACACCCTGTGAATGTCTTTTCTCTCCGGACTACAGATACAGATCTGTAGTCCGTACCTTTAAATATATTGTTTTGTAATCCCGAATACAGTAATCCCATAACACATTATATTGGTTCTGGATTGTAGGAAAATACCTTATAATGCATTTTTATGATCCATTATAACCAGTGATCCGAGTAGATAGAACTATTTTATGTACTTGCCATATGATAGAATATTATGGATATAGATTTGTTTTTTAAGTAGAAAAATAATACAATGCTTTTTACAGAAAGAGGAAATATATACTTCCTATAACTATAAGGATAGTAGAATAAATAGATAAAGACTTGATACATTAAACCACATATATTTTTTAATGTAGTAATTATTAAACAATTTCATTCTGAAGTTGTACAAGAACATACCATAAAAATTATTTGTGTCTCAAATATTAAAACTTGATTGAAAAGAATAAACAATTTTGTTTAACTAAAATAAAATCTTAATTAAAATTACCAACTATAATTTACTTAAACAATAATTTACTTATTGAAACAAAAGTCTATTAATGGTTATCCATATTAACATCAATGTTTGAGGTCAATGAACCTAAATAGCTCTACCTACTCCAATCAGTCTTTATGACAAATTACATATATCCCTGTTTAACTTTTCTCCCTAAAGGTGGTTTAAATATAATATATAAAAAAAATATTATGAATGAAATATGTATGTTTTATTAAAATAAAAGTAAACTAAGAACATTAAAACAAAATAACTTATGCATTTAAATTAAGAAACTAATTTTGACAAAATTTTGAACAGTAATATAAGGCGGGTAATCCCTACGTTATATGGCGAATGTTATACCGGGAATTGAAATCCTGTAATATGAAAATATGTTATAAGAATACCCTGATATAGGGGTATTACTGTACTTTTTGATTACTACTCTTTTTTTATTATTATTATTTTCTTTTCTATCTGCAATAAGATCTTCCAGCGGTTTGGCACACCATCTTATTACATTATTATTACTAATAATAAAGACTGTTTCCTTACTAGCCAGTATGTCTTTCTATCGTCTTGATCTTTTTTTTTGTTTCATTGAGTATAAATAATACTTTGAGATACATTGCAAATAATACAGCTTTATCAAAAGGTTTTCTAGCCCGGCTTCCATTTGGTTTTAAAATGGAGGTATATGTCTTCTGCTTAATGTCATCCATTTATCTTGTATTGTATTATTTTCCTTTTATATTATCATTATTGTTAATACTTTTTGAGCTTTATTGAGTGCTCTTTTATCTTGAGGGTTTCTGCTTGTATGCCACTGTCTCCTCAGTTTCCTTTTTTTTCATATCATAATTCTTCCTTCTATTATTGTATATTAGCTTTTTATTTTAGATTTGGCATAAGGTGTCGATGACTGTGCTGCTTTTTAAATCGGCTTATTGACATACCAGGCTGCTTCTTTGGCATCTTCTTCAGTTTTCAGAGTTATATGTAGATTTGTATTTTCATGGATATAATCTCTAAAGGATTCCCAATGTATTTTTTGATTATACAAGCTTGCAAATAAACGTAATTTTTCACTGACTAAAAATTCTAAATAAGTTATTCGAGGTGATTTGACAAGTAACTAAATTATCACATTTAATAAGGTTCAAGAATTATTGCTAATTGCACTTCTTTCTTAAATTTCTTTTGCTTCTTTTAATGGAAACAATTGCTTGCTTGAGATTTGGTTCAGCTTCACTGACCACCATTTCTTCGTCTTGGATGAACAATAAAAGTAATATAAAAAGTACATATCTGTAATACCAGAAGTGAAAAGACTCACAGCCTTATACATTTTCTCAATTATGTATTTTTGTCTATAGTTTTTAAAATACCTAATATACATTTATTTTCTACTTATTAGATACATTAGATTAAATATAAACATTAATAACATAACTATTATTACTTCGCTTGTTACCTGGTTGCGGCTTGGCATCAACTTCTGGGACACCCTCTAGTAACTATGTCAAGTTAAAGAATATAAATTATAAATACCTCTCCATTCAAAAACTACCTTTCCAATTGCAAACTGAAACAAATATTGGATGATACAAAAATTTGTATTCATGACCTTGTTTGGGTCTAATTTAATACTTACTTCATCTGTAATTTAGTTAATGTTTTGGTGAAACATAAAAAAATTAAACATAATAATCAAAATGTTCAATAAGATAATTAATAATCTCTTTCATGGGCATATATTGACTGACTATGATTGAATTAATGATTTCTTGGTTGAAATAGTTATTAAATCTATTGGAATAGAGTAAATTACTAAGCAGTTACAAACTTGTCTCTTCTGTCATTACAATGTTGTTATAGATTTTACTTTTTGTTTTTTTATTGTGGATATAATGAAAACAAATTTCTAAAATTGTATTTTTAAGTATGTTTATAAAAATATAACTTTATTGTCAAAAATATTAACTGTGTTGGGTTTTTTTGTGTGATCTGTGACTAATTTATATTTTTTTTTTTCAGATATTAACAGCAATAGGCACAGAAAATAGTAGACCTAGTTCTGCTGCACAATGTGTAGCATATGTGGCAGTTGCTGAACTTGCAGTTGGACAATGGAATGATCTAATTCCTGTTTTGGTAGAAAATGTTGTCAATACCCAATCCACAGAATTGAAAAAGGAAGCTACTTTGGAAGCTATTGGTTAGTGTAATCTGTCGAACAAATATACCATGTCAGAACTTACACGCGGAAATGGCAAAACCATCTGGAAATCATCGTTATCAATTTGTTATAGTGAATTTGTCACAATAGGCTAACTGACCTAACCTCATACTCATACTATTATCCTCCACTGGTGCGCCGTTTGCGTAAACCGTTAGACGAGCACTATTTGAATATCATCCATTAAAAAAAAAAGTTGAAAATGTTGTTAGGCCATAAGAATTACATTCTATGTTGTGTACTTGTTGGTCCTTATTGTACATGATATACCATAATGTAAGACAAACTGACAGCAACCAACTACTTAGATGACCATAAAAAGTAGATATATTAACTAGATGGATATAAGCCCAGAAAAAATGTCATCTTCATCTAACTATAGTGCTGAATTGGAGAGATGACTTAGGGATAGTGTGATCCTAAACTAGGTACTTGGAGGTCCCATCTATGAAATACTGGTTTTCAAATATTAAAAGTTTACATTACTGCAAATAATGGTGCATTTCAGAATGTCTTCCAAAGAATGGAAATCTCAGCTTGACTCTCATTATTAATCCAAAAAAAAATATTTTATAAAATATTAAAAATAATGTCTCATTTTGTATTTACAAAAAAATTTATTTATGTAATCTCTTTATGTATTTAAATACCCAAAGTATAAGCTTTGCCTAGTTTCGGACTAGATAGAAATATGTGAGATGTCCAGGGCTATTATCTGTTTATTCAAATAGTTCCTGCTTAAGTATAATGGCATAACAAACACAAATTTACACTTTTTCAATATTTTGCCAGTTTTATTATTAGCCATGTTTAATAATTTCTAATCTTAAAATAATGTTTTAGGTTACATCTGTCAAGAAATAGATGCAGAAGTATTAACAGAACAAAGCAATCCAATACTAACTGCCATTATCCATGGTATGAGGTCAACTGAACCCAGTAATCATGTTCGACTAGCGGCTACACAAGCTCTCCTCAACTCTCTTGAATTCACAAAGGCTAACTTTGACAAAGAGAATGAGAGAAACTTTATTATGGAAGTCGTTTGTGAAGCAACACAGTCAAGTGACATGAGGATAAGTGTGGCCGCTCTACAGTGCTTAGTAAGTGAAAAAGAAATTATAGTTAGATGTATATTCTTATATTACATAGATGTGTGCAAAAAAAAATATGCAAAAGAGCTGCACACAAGATTGCTCCTTCTTCTTGTGATGAGCATTCATGAGTGATAGAAAAAAAAAATATGTTTTCGTACTAGTATTTCTATAATTGGATACCTATATTTTTTAAATAAGTGAATTCCGTTTTTGTGGATGCCATATAATATTTGTATGTATATTGTATTTCTTAATTTTATTTATCTGGTAAAATAATATACCTTATTGCTATTAAATCTTTTATATTAATCAAATTATTTTGATGTAGGTAAAAATATTGTCTCTCTATTACCAATATATGGAGCCGTATATGGGACAAGCCCTATTCCCTATCACTTTAGAGGCTATGAAATCAGACATAGATGAGATTTCACTACAGGGTATTGAATTTTGGTCCAATGTTAGTGATGAAGAAATCGATCTTGCTATTGAAGAAGTCGAAGCAGGAGAAGCAGGTATTATAAAAATATATTTAATGTACAATAAATTATTAATTTATTATTTAAAAAGCTGACATTATTATGAAAAATAACATAAATATTGCGACTTTAGGTTTTTTATTAATGATGAATTATTGAAGCTACTAATAATATCGATTATTATTTAAACTTTACATCAGTTAACGATTAGTACTTAAACTTTACATCTTTATAATAAAAAACAATATTGTATAGATTTTAATAATGATTTTATCAATTTACATTCAGGCCGCCCACCCATAAGGACTTCAAAATTCTATGCCCGAGGTGCGCTTCAGTATCTAGCTCCTGTGCTTATGCAAAAATTAACCAAACAAGATGACTCTGACGATGAATTAGAATGGAATCCATCTAAAGCAGCATCTGTGTGTCTTATGCTTCTTTCAAATTGTTGTGAAGACGAGATTGTACCGCATGTGTTGCCTTTTATACATTCAAATATCAAAAGCGAAAACTGGCGATACAGAGAAGCTGCCCTGATGGCTTTTGGATCTATATTAGGAGGACTCGAAGCTACTATTCTTAAGCCCTTGGTAGAAAATGCAATGACAACTTTAATTGAAGCTATGTACGACACAAGTGTGGCCGTAAGAGATACTGCGGCATGGACATTTGGGAGAATTTGTGAAATTGTTCCTGAAGCAGCAATAAATGAGAATTACCTAAAACCACTTTTAGAAAGTCTTGTTAATGGTCTGAAAGCAGAACCACGTGTTGCCGCAAATGTATGTTGGGCGTTCACTGGTCTGGCAGAGGCTGCATACGAAGCTGCTGATTGTGAAGAAGAGTCTAATCAACCTCAAACATACTGCATGTCCAATTACTTCGATTTTATTGTAGAGAGGCTTTTAGAAACTACTGATCGTCAAGATGCAGCACAACATAACTTAAGGTCTGCTGCTTATGAAGCTCTCATGGAAATGGTAAAGAACTCACCCACTGACTGCTATGTTACAGTACAAAAAACCACAATGGTCATTTTGGAAAGATTGCAGCAGGTACTTCAAATGGAAAATCATATTGCCAGCCAGGCAGACCGCTCACAGTTTAATGATCTCCAAAGTCTTCTTTGTGCGACACTTCAATCTGTTCTTCGTAAGGTTACACCTGAAGATGCACCTCACATATCTGATGCTATAATGACTGCTCTATTAACAATGTTTGCTGGCAATGCTGGAAAAGCTGGCGGGGTTCAGGAAGATGCACTCATGGCTGTGTCTACATTAGTTGAAGTTTTAGGAGAAGGTTTTCTAAAATATATGGATGCCTTCAAAAGATATCTCTATGTTGGTCTTAAAAACCATCAAGAACATCAAGTATGCATTGCAGCGGTTGGTCTTACTGGCGATATTTGTCGGGCGCTGAAAAGTAAGGTAAGAAAATTAAAATAATTAATACTAATTGCGGCCCGCCTCCGGCTTCGCACGTATATTTAATAAAAATATTAAAAATTATAAATTTCAACCCACATGAGTGTGGGTTGTCTTCATCAATAATATAGGATTCGAATGGTAAAAGAATTTTTCCAATTTGTCCCGAGGTTTCGGAATCTATTCAATGCAAACCAACAAATCCTTCCGCTTTATAATATTATTATGATAAGAAACCTTTAAAATTTATAGTTGTTTAATATTATTTTACAGGTGCTACCATATTGTGATGAAATTATACTTTTACTCTTAGAGAATCTTGGTGATCCATCTATACATCGTTCAGTAAAACCACAAATATTATCTGTGTTTGGTGATATTGCTCTAAGCATCGGACCTGATTTTGCTAAATATTTCGATATTGTGATGCAGATGCTACTGCAGGTATTTCTTTTAAACTATGAAAAATAATTTGTTTAAAAAGTTTTCATTTTGTAGAAATTATTGCTAACCAATATTAAATATTGTTTTAGGCCAGTAATGCACAAGTGGATCGTAATGATTATGACATGGTGGAATATTTAGGTGAACTTCGTGAAAGTGTACTTGAAGCTTATACTGGTATCATCCAAGGACTGAAAGGCGCTACCGGAGAGGTGAACTATGTTTCTATAACACCAGAATTATTTCTCATTGATCCCAACAACCCCATAACGGCAGGAAACCGCCTCACGGGCCCACCCGCTCTGTCCCGACCACACTTTTACACACAAACACGACACCGTCCTCGCCGGAGAAGACGACGACCTCAAATACACAATATCGCGCATTCAACCGGGTGCCTGTGCGCGCCCGGGCGCCCCTCCGATCGATCCCCCGTCCAATTCAAACGGGGATCGATATTACGACGGCATGAGCCGAGGTTCGAACCCCTAGTGGTGCCCTCATACTAAAGTCGTATCCGTCCGGCAGGCAGGAGTTGGCCTTCAGCCGCTCCATAAGTCCTTCCGCGGGTTTAGAGTGCCATCTGCACTCGCCCCCTATCGTCCGGTCAAGCTGTAAAGACCAGCTGCGGCCATGCTAACAGCATTAGAGTAGACCGAAAGAAAAAAAAAACAGAATTAAATTTCTTTACTCCATATACTATTAGCTACTATCAAACATTACGCCCTTTCTCCCAACAGTTATCTAATATTTTGTACTTTATTTTATGAAACTATAGCAAAGCAAAGATGAAGTTTATGATTTCTATGTTCATAAATAGCCTACATGGATATTTCTATATAAAATGTAGATAAAATCGCGTCCCTTTAATTTGAAAGGTTTCATCCTCATGTGCTGAGTAACATTTGTTCTTGTAATGTTTGTAGGAATAAGAAATTTGAAAGGATTAAAATTTATCAAATTTATTATATAAACAATGTTGATTGAGAACCGCACAGTGAATGAAATATATTTTTTAAATCACATGATAAGGGATCGTTATAAAATATCGATTTTTAATTTTATACGGATTTGAATAGTTTTAAATAGAACAGTATTTTCAATTAAATTACTCATTTAAAAATATTTTTTGTATAGACATCCAACTAGCCGAGAAAATCAAATCCTAATTAGTATAGTAGCTTACATCATTCAACACTCGTCGATATGCGAAAGAACAATTCTTATATGAGTATTGTTGGTGCTACAGGTGCGGTCGGACGTGACGTTGGTGGAGCCGCACGTGCCGGCGATCGTCAACTTCATGATCCAGGTGGCGTGCGAGCCGGAGCGCACGGACGGGCACATGTCGGTGATCGCGGGGCTGGCGGGCGACCTGTGCACGGTGTTCGGGCAGCGCGTGCTGCCGCTGCTGGAGGCGCGCCCGCTGCTCGATCTCCTGCAGGCTGCGCGCCGGTCGCGTACTCCGCGCACCAAAACACTCGCCAATTGGGCCACCAAGGAGATCCGCAAACTCAAGCAGCTGCCCAATCTTGCTAGCTGGTATGTATACGAACTATATGTTCGAGTAGGACCCGTCCCGACTTCGGTCGGGCCCAATATTTGTTAACGTATTTAGTTAGATGAGGATTGATGTTATGTTATAAAAACACGTTCATAAATAATACATTATTTTAGAAGAAATTTTTGTACATACATAAAAAAGGTTATAAGCGAGTTAACCTTCTATTGGCCGTAGCGTGATGTTTGTTATATTCGCGGATAATATACCTTTCGAACAATAAAATAATTTTTAAAATTGCATCAGCAGAATCGAAATGATGAAGATAAAAGCCTTCTAAATGTAATCATGTTTGTGTCACTGACTTTCACATATTGTAATTATAAATGTTGTTAGTTGTGATGTGATCGAATTTATCGACGGCTTTTTTTAATAAAAATTTCGGTCTACTCTAATTCTGTTGGCCGCAGCTGGCCTTCACCGCACCAACAGGGTCTTTGTGTATTTTGAATATTAAACTCTTGTTTCAAAGGTGCACATTTATAAAATAATATTATCCTTATAGAAAACTGTACCGAGTTTCAAGTTTTGGTTAAATTGTTTTTTATATCTTTCAACCTATTTTACAATACTAGACATTATATATATCTACTAGACTATATTTTTTCTTTACAGATTTGAATCATCACAGTGCAGCGCTAATGTAATGCAGTTTCAGACAACTTATTGCTGGTAAACTCAATTATATTGGCAGGTCATATCATATTATTATTCAGACGCTAGGTGCATTTGTATTGCAGCTGTTACGTCTTGTTGTAATAGAACAATGTATATGTTTATAAATTGTTTTAATTTTTAGGTTATTCAGTTCATGAATAACGACTCTTTATTGTTTAGCTAAATAAATGTGTGAACTATTAATAAATTAATTCCAAACTTTGTTTCTGTTATTTATCATAATCGGGAATTATTTATTGATCGTTTTACAAAGTAATTAAACTACGGCCGCATGTAATGCACCTATCGCTAGATTATTCAAATTATTTAAGTATGCCTGGCCATTATATTTCCATAATGATCTTAATAAAGGTTGAAGCATTTTTCCTATTTGGTATTATAAATACAGACAGTGGCTGTGGTATCTTTACTTATGTGAGTTAAAGTGATATTTTGAAAGAAAGTTGAATGAAAGATGACGTATGTTATTATAGGCATGCACAAGTGCAAGGGATTGTGAATTTTATAAATTATGTTTTGTAAGACATATGAAAGGGAGTGTGAATGGTAAAGTATGTATGAGGTGATGCATGTATGTTTATCACAGATGTTTGTAACTTAGGCATGTGTCGAACTTTATATGAAGTCGGTATAATATAAGATTCCGTCATCGTAATTTGAGACTGAAGGACACCATATTGGTGATAAGCACTTTTTATTCATCACAGTACAGTACTAAAACAAATCATCTGTAATATAAAAAAATATGCCCTTAATCTTCATTTATATAATGCTAAAGTTTATACTCGATTTTGACACACAATGTGCCATATATATTATTTCGGAGCCGGCTTTGATATTATTTTAGTTATCTAAATATGTGCATTCCTGAGAGAAAATGCGGTTGTATAAAAACAATTACACTTTCATTATTATATTTTTGTTAATGTCGAATACATCGAATACCGGCGCAATTTTTGTCAGGTGTAGAATTATGTTATTAATAAAGTTACTACTAAAAACATATAACAATTTAAGGAGCTAACTATGTACGGATTTGTATAAATTTGTAAGGGCAATCCATTTTGTATCCCATTCACGACTGTTGTTATATATTGACATAATTTATTATCCAACGAAAACTAAGATATTCTGTGTTTTTGTTGGATACTTAACATTACTTATACCACTTTTACCCACAACTGAAGATCATAATGTTATATACTATACATTGAATTACACGTTATTATACAGCGTTAACCGGAAAGATTATGCTAAGTCGAAAGGATATGAAAGTACCCACGAACAACTTTTATTTTACAACATACTCTTTTGAGTTACAACATACATTTTTTTTTTGAGGTATGGTTTCAAAGATATATATATAAATACAATAATAAAAAAGACGTAACGTAAAAATCATCTTTTTTATTTTAAGGTCAAGAATCCTTTTGATTACGCCAATAAGTAATGTCCGCTTCTTTAATAGATTTACAGGGAGCGCCCTGTAATTTCGCGTTATTCCTGTAACAATGGTTCCAATTAACTACATTTCTTATTCTTTTGTAAACTTGCGCTATGTTTCCTCTCGTAAACTGTATTATTCGTAAAAAGTGCTTCATTTAGATAGACATTCAAGCGTGTAATCAATCATTCAATGAACAACTCTTGGGTGGTATTGAACCAGTATTTATCATACCACGAAATCGTTTCTATCCACACTGCTGTTACATTTAGTCTAACGGCCCAGATGGTATCAAATTTATAGTTTGTTTTATTTTTTAACTTACTTTTTGTTGTGAGTGAAACAACAAAAAGTAATTTAAAAAATAAAAATGGTTAAAAACGTAGGTATTAGGGATATTTTACGATGCTAACGGATTTGCCTTTTTCAACTAACCCTGTATAATTATGTCCAAAATATTATCGAAAGTAACGAAATAAAGTGGTAACCTAAAACAAAATTATACATATGATTATAAATATTTAAAAAAATGTCTTGTGATGAATAGAAAGAGAAATTGCCTCTGGTCTCTCTATTTACATTATTTGTACATATGTAATTAAAAGCTCTTTTGTTACACTTTAATAATATTAGAAAACGACAATGACAGAAATAGTTGCAAAGCAGGAAGATAATTATTTTTAGTTATATTACAAGTCCTTAGGGATCTTTGAAAATTTGATTAAGCAGAATTACGGTTTTAGCAATCAAATTTGAATCTCAAGGTGTTGTAGTGTTTTTTTTTTGCAATAACTTATGAATTTATTGTATGAATTTCCATAATTATATTTTTCCTTAAAGTGTTCGTACTTTTTTTCCTTCGGTTGTATTATCTAATTTAAATACGTCTTTAAATTGATAGTTAGTGCCTTCACCTGATGAGTCGGAAAAAAAATAAAATGTCTGAAAGTAACCGAGTCACAGATATTTCTGTTAACCACTTCTGTTATTAGTAGTATTCGATCCTTTTAAAATACACCTACATTACAGTTTTGGTAGGAGCTTTGTAAGTACATTAATGCCTATTGTATAAATCAAATAGAATTTTGAGTGTCTGCTAGTCTGTGAGCATCACTGACAGGGATGATGTTTGCGCGAGTTATGCAAGATTTATGAGAAGTGTATCTTTACTCATCTAACCATTTTGTGTTATATATAATTATATATGTATATATATAATTTTATTATGCCCTTCTGAGGGCAGTTCATGATTTTGTCTGAATATTTCAAACATCTTAAGTTGTTTTTATTGAAGTATGATAGGAGAATGTGTGAGGACTAGTGCCATGCCATGAAAGGTTCTGAATTAGAATCATAGGCATCGAGTCAATGAATACCACCCACTTTTCCTGCGCGATTTGAAAATAAAATAAAATTATTTTGTTACAACTTTTATTTCTTTTTGATTACAACTACTATTCTTTAAACTGTTCTATAATAAATAAAACATTTAGAAGTTAACTATGTTTTATTATATACCTGCTAAATTACTGTATTCCTACACCATTGTTTTTTTTATATCAAATTATTATATTCACTAAAGTGTTCCCAACTTAAGTTTCAGGAATATACATTTTCTGTAAATATTTATGGTAATTTATGATTTCGAGCAAATAATAGTCAACGGGTTCTCATTTTCATCATTAATTTATATAAGTACGTATAGTATGAAGATGGAATAGCGAAAACATCAAAAGGAAAAGATGGGAGTTAATCTACACTAGTAGCAGAGTTGATTGAATCTTTACTTATTCCAACAGTGTTAGGCATAATGTATACTAACGGGCTACCGCCTTCGCACACCTAATAACACCGTGAAGTTTTAATCAGAGTTTTTTAGTGAGTAGTTTGATAGGAATTAAGTACACCCTTTCATTATCCCTATTAAAAAAACTGTTTTTTTATTCAAATACCTGTGATGGAATCACCTAATAATATAATACTAAAACAGTAAACAAACTAATAATTTATCCAATTAACGGTAGTAAAATCCTATATTTTACTACCGTTACCATGTAAGGCAAACATGGGTTTTGACTAGGGATCGCCGATATATATCACGATATATTATATCAATTGATTTTTATCTTGATAAATATCAATAAATTTTTCCCTGTCTTCTGAACTAAAAATTTAATTAAAGATTAATTGCCAGGCAGCACGTAGCGAAAAACTACAATTCAGAATCATTTAGATTGTTTCCCAAAATGGCAAACTCATTTAAAGTTAGGGACATCCCCTTTAACTTACCAGTACGGCTATCTTTTTATTTAGAATTCAAACCTTAACTTCATTTCGTATAAGGTTTATTTTACGAAGATGATGATGATGATCCCACTCATAGATCTAAGCTTAAGGCCTGACGCTGAACGGTTACTTTTATGATTACAAGTTATTATTAAAATTTGTTGATTTATCTCACAAAGAAATGAAGATTATTATTATAAGAATAGGTACTTGTTTTTTTAATTGTTCATTAAAAAATATTTTTCACATAAACAGCAAGTAATTCTTTTGTTACTTGTTAAAAGTTTTTTTAAATAATAAAAGTAGTAATAATTGGTACATATTTTATTTTACAAATTCCTTTCACATCTTTAAGCGTGTAATCCCTTTACAGAATCAAATTGGCTTTTTCTTATGATAACTGACACCTATGGTGTCAAATACTGCGATGTGTAGTAATGTGTAGCAAATTAGGCCTAACAGTAATAATGATATTTCAGGACAAGACACAGCTAATTTAGTTCCAAGCTAAGCAGGAGCTTGTGTTATAGGTACTGGACAACTGATGTAAATACATTTTTTTTTGTAAATATATACATAGGAAATATCCACACTGATACAATCATATTCATGAATACAAATGTTTGTATAGTCCGAGAAATAGAACCCGCTCGAAATCATCGCAATCAGAGCGGTATGCTAAACCTAATAAAGAAGAACGTCACAATATAGACTGAAAAGATAATTTATTATCTGTAATTACAATAACGTAGTGGTTATTTGCTCAGTTATTACAACTCAATTTATCTATGCTTTGAAATGTCCAACCACCTAGTAGGTATATATCTACTGACATTTGGCTGTTTTTTTTTCTCTTTTGGCTCCGGCGGTTAGTGTTGCCATTAGCCATTTTCTACTTTTTATTATTTTTTTAAAAGTGGGGAACTCGACTGGCTGACTCATGACTGTTACTTTCATAAGTTCATGAAGACTTGTCTTATTTGTAAGGACTGTGACACAGATCTGAATCTGTGGATTATGGAACTAACCTCAAATTATTTTTAATATTTATTAATTATTTTTGGTTAAATATTTAAATATGGGGTCCCGTCAAATAATCGAAAAATCTTTGTCAATGCTGAGATCATTACCAAGAATATCATTGTCCAATATACGTGATAATCCAGGATCAAAAAAAAATGTTAGTAGGATGTAATGTTTAAATTGTTCATATAATTATAATTAAGTGTTTTGACAATTTATGGAAGATGTTTAATGTAACTGCATATTTGCATCTGTTAAGTGTATACTGTCGATAATTAACCTATGCACACTTAATACTTTAAGTATATATAGGTACATTACCTAGTACCTATCTACATTAATACTATTCATATAGTAATATACTTTTTCATTCAGAAATTGTAGTAGACATTATTAAAAGATATATTTAATAATATTATATATGCACAATCTCATATAACATTGTTAAATACATGTTTTTTAAATTTAAGAATGATAACTAAAAGTACAGGTAATTTTAGCCTTTACTATTTTTATGATATACATCAACTTACAATTGCATTGGTTTTTGCTTAAAATTTAATGTAACTAACAGTTAAAATTTATAACAAGAACCATAGTCTGATTTTGGCATCATTGGCCTAAGATGAAGTAATAATAATAACCCAGGACTAGTTACAATGAATCTAGTCCCAAGCTGAGCAGAGCTAGTGTTATAGGTAACTAAATACTTGTTAATTTGATAATACAAACAATCATGTTTAAGAATATAAATGTCAAGGTAAGCGGGTATAGTTTTGTAGAATCCAAAAATGATCTTCAAAAATTTCATTTATTGGCTTCAGACACTGAAAGGAGTAAACTTACTTTAATTCCATGTAGGAACCACACTGTCATTCAATAATGGACTTTCTACCAACTATTTTATTTACTTATAAGAAAAAAAATATTTCAGCCAAAACGTGGCCGAGGACAACATGGGGGTGATAAACATGGAGCAGGCAATAAAGGTTCAGGTCAGAGACAAAATTATATGAGGCTGGGTTATGAAACAGGAAATAACCCATTTTATAAGCGTTTTCCTCAAGAACATTATTATAGGGGGCACCAGTAAGTAATAAATTATATTATATGTAAGAATATAAAAAAATAGACATGTAAACAAAAAAGTAAATATATATTATAATATAATGCTGCAGATACCTTCGCCTCCCTTGCCCTTTCCCTCTGTATATACACATGGTGTCAAGAACTGCAACAAACAAGTCACATTGGCAAGTAGTCAAATTACAATGTTGGTAGAGACATTGTAATTGGCAAATTACAGTTGCAGTGTAGATCACCTCTAGACCACAGAGCCCGTAATTTATTTTTCCCTTTTTGAATACTAATAATTTGCAATATGTTTATTTTAATCAATAATTAAATAATGTAGTTATTACGTTTGTAAATTTGGAAACATAATTTAAATCCTGTTTAATTGGTATTGATTACAGTCACAGAAGGCAATACCCTCCATTGTCATTACAAGCTCTCCAGACAATGGTTGACAGAGATAGATTGGATATTACAAAACCAATTGATATTGCAAGCATTATAAAATCAGGTCTCTACAAAATTTACCCTGATCAAAAACATTTTGGTGTACAATTAACGGATGAAGGAGCTGACATATTTGCTGCAAAATTGAATATTGAAGTCCAGTGGGCAAGTGAACAAGTGATTGCTGCTATAGAACGAAATGGTGGTACCATTACTACAGCATATTATGATCCACATAGCCTGTTTTTACTCAAGAATCCAAAAAAATTTTTTGAATCAGGTCAAGCTATCCCTAGAAGAATGATCCCACCTCCAGATGTAATTGAATACTACACTAAAGCAGAAAATAGAGGATATTTAGCGGACCCTGAAGAAATATCAAATGAAAGGTTAAAATTAGCTCAGAAATATGGATATCAATTATTAAACTTAGAATCTGACCCAGATTATAACATGCTCTGTGAGAGGAAAGATCCAAGACAAATCTTTCATGGTTTAGAACCAGGATGGGTTATTAATTTGAAGGATGAATGTATTCTTAAATTAAAAGATGAAGATTTATTAAGATTTTATGCATCATAAAAACAACAATATGTGTAATATAGTTTATTAAAAATATACTTAGTTATATCAATATAGATGCATTCTAATTGTCTCATTATGTATTATTCAAATATGTATCAAAAACTAACCTAAACCAAAATAAAGAACCGGGCAGAAGATCCGATATCTAACAAAACTAATCTACATAACACTGCGTGGCATATAAGTCAGTTCAATCCATATAATTACATATGACAATTTTTTTATTTCACTCCAATCCTTGGAGATAGTGATAAATAGGACCATCTTAGACATGTTACTCCCCAAACAACAGACATAAAACATATCTTTCATATGTGCTTAATATGCCAATCATAATGATAAAGACTAATATTATACCACCCACAATGATAAAAGGTCCGGGAATCGGTAATCCTCGGTTTCCCCTTGAATGCCTTTTTAAAGCGTTTAATCGTACAAGTCACGAAATTTACACATTCGTTTAGCCTATCTACGGATTATTTCGAGTCACACGTTAGTTCTATTGAAACCCCTTCAGGGCTTTCCGCTTAGGTTTTTTTTAGATAGGATATGATGATGATTATCAGATTGACCTCCGCTTCATAACGCTTTTGTGATGAACCACGATAGCTAGGGGTCGAACTGATATTGTAGATTATTATTATAAATGTGCCTAGAAGGGGTGCGAAATACTGTGACACAGGTGTTCCTAGCACAGGTTCTGTTCGATTCTTTTATTATATTTAAAAAATGTGTACTCCTTAACAAGTTCTGTAAATACTAATAGAATAGAATAAACATTAAAATAAGAAATAAAAAAAATTAAGTCACTATACCATGTGCGCTTTAGCATGGTGCGGGTGTTTTATTAGCGTTTCGTTTTACTCTTAAAAGTTGCAGTAATTTACAAAGTTACTTAGTATTTCAGCTGTACCACCAATATATTAAATCACTAATAACTGTATTAACTTAAATGTAATAATTGTTAAATGTAATATTAGTAATTGTCACCCGCACCATGCTACAGCGCACAGAGTATATATAGTCCATCCATCATTATCATAAATCATTAAAACTACGCAACGGATTTTGAAACTTTTTTTATAGATAGTGATTCTAGAGGAATGTTTATATATATATAACACATGTAGGTACACCCTTGCGAAGCCGGGGCGAGTAGTTGTATATCTATAAATTATGTCACACGTTCAAGGCGCGGGATATATAAAATGTGAGAAGAGCTGATGGTGGTTCCAATGTCTGAAATTTATTAGCATATGTTTTTTGTACCACGCACCTAAGATTACAGTTGGTGAGCTGAATAAATATTAAACTTTTAAACATATTTTTTTATTCTACCACTCATTGGAACGTAGACTTTCAAGAATGAGTAAGAAACTTGGGTATTAAGGTATTACTTTTTTAAATGTTTAGAATTAATTTTTTTTTTATTTGTGTGAATGCAACCTGTTAAATAGTAAACTTAACGTAAGTAATAAATAGTTACTTGAGTAACAAACGGGTCATAGTTATCAGGTAGCACCTGTTTACGAGTATAACGTGTGAGCCAGCCATTTTTTTCATTGTGGGTACTAGACAACTACATCAATAAATAATTACGATTATTTTTTTTATAAATGTAAATACATACACATACATAGTTCAAAACACCCGGATTAATCGAATCAAACCCGCAACCATCAAATAAAGCGGTGTGCTAAATTGAAGGAACTCCAAAGGTGAATGTGGGTAACCTAAATCAGTTGCTAAAAATCTGGATTGAAGTAAAAAAAATGCAGTATGGCTTGTTAGTGGAATCAGTTTAATACTGTACTGTGATAATTTGAATTATGATTTTAAAATGTCTGGTGCCTAATCACAATATAAAAGTATTTAGGATTATAATAAAAAAAATTGAATATTCATCAGTTAATGTTTAATCAATGTGGATTGTACATTATTACTGTTAGTTATTGTTGTTGGTTTTTAATGTTAAAGTTTGGCTTTAAATTCAGAGATTATATATATAACATACATAATATATATATAATTAGAACTGGCATCATAACTTTGCATAAATATATCATATTTTAAGTACAAGTAGAATTACCTTGGTTATTTGCAAATTGTTTTTCACTTTGCATTTTTTGAACGTTTATGTTTTCATTGGCATTACTATAAAACTATTAATTCCCTTTTTTATTATAAGCAATAATTAAACAAAGCAGGAATTTAATCATTAACTTGAAGATACATCTTTTGAGTAAATTCATCTTATTTATTTCAAATAGTACTAATACGGATAATGTGCAGGGTGGGCAAGATTTTTCATTTATTCATTAGGGTTCATCACATTCATTGGGGTAGTTACAATGCTCTAACTGCACATCATCCGTATTTTTTATGCAGATCTGTACTGAGAAGCAAGTTTTTAAAACATTCAACTCTTTGTGCAATGTTTTTACAATAATATTCTTAATAAATTGGCTCGATGTCTGTTTATTATTATTTAATCTTTATTAGACAATTAATCAGTATAAAACAACAATGGGATTAACTATCCATTATGTAAAGATGCTTATTCTTAAAGGTGAGTATGGGCCACGGAAATAGCATGTAACAGTTATTGTTACACATTTATAATTTGTTATGTACTGTAAACATTGTAATGTAATTCACGGATATAAGGCTTTTTTGTCGTTGCTGAGTTTTTCATGACACGAGAAAGATCTTGTTAATATCTCAACTCAATTTAAAAATATTTAATATCTGTAGTGATCTGGCTTGTATGGTCCTTCCACTGACACACCTATATATTTAGCTTGTTTAGGAGTGAGCTTAGTAAGCTTTACACCAAGGTGTTCCAAATGAAGAGAAGCAACTTCCTCATCTAATTTCTTTGGAAGAGTGTGAACACCAATAGGATATATATTATGCTTAGTCCATAACTCAATTTGAGCCAATACTTGATTAGTAAAGGAGTTGGACATAACAAAAGACGAATGTCCTGTGGCACATCCAAGATTGACCAGCCTTCCTGCTGCAAGTACTATTATATGGTTCCCATTTTCTAGTTCATAGCGGTCAACTTGAGGTTTAATATTAAGTTTCTTCGCGTTTTTCTCAAGCCACGCTACATCAACTTCACAGTCAAAGTGACCAATGTTGCACACAATTGCATCATCTTTCATTTTTAGGAAATGGTCCTTATATATTATGTCTATATTACCAGTTGTTGTTACAAAGATTTGACCTAACTCAGCAGCTTCATCCATGGTGGTAACCTGGAAGCCTTCCATTGCAGCTTGAAGAGCATTTATAGGATCTATCTCAGTCACAATTACACGTCCACCGAATCCTTTAAAAGCTTGCGCGCAACCTTTACCTACATCCCCATAACCTGCAACTACACATACTTTTCCTGCAATCATTATATCTGTAGCTCTTTTAATACCATCAAGCAATGATTCTCTGCATCCATACAAATTATCAAATTTGCTTTTAGTGACTGAATCATTAACATTTATAGCTGGGACTTTCAGCGAGCCTTCTTTATACATTTTATACAAATTATGTACTCCAGTTGTAGTTTCTTCTGAAAGACCCTTGACACCCTCCAGAAGCTGTGGATATTTTGTGTGCACTAGGTTAGTTAAGTCTCCTCCATCATCCAAAATCATATTCAGGGGCTGAAATAAATAACAATTATGTCAAAGATCCGATAATAATTTATATTGCACTAGTTGCATTGTTTTTCACATCCTTATATATTATTTTTTAATATAAGTTTGGTTTAAAATATATCTGCTTAGGCCACAAACAATTATTTGAATTTTAATCAATTTACTTATGTATTGTATTACCTTTCCATCAGAGAAAATAAGAGTTTGTTCAATGCACCATACATATTCCTCTTCAGTCTCTCCCTTCCATGCATATATGGGTATCCCTGCTGCTACGAGTGCTGCAGCAGCTTCATCTTGAGTGCTATAAATATTACTACTAGACCATTGCACCTGTAATAATAGAAAAGATACAATCTCGCTATGAAGACTGACTCAGGAATTGGTAGGAACAATAGATTAGACAACACCGGTCACACGACGATAATGACCTGATTGGTAGTACAATGTTTTTCTCAGAAAATATATGCTGATATCTGTTTTCATTCATACAATCAATTTTCGCGTAAAATTTCATTAAAATTCCTTCAGCCGTTTTTCGTGATGAAGGTAACAAACAGATTCAGTTCCCCAATATAGGTACTTAAAGTAAGTATGAATGTCAAGGAATAACAACATAAAAATGTTCTACAAGGTAATAATAAATGCATAAACATAACTTTATTTTTAATACAAAAAACAGATTACATCACATAGTTATACTGATAACCTATAGATCACGGGGTGAGGAGACGATAGTTAAACGTCACGTATAAGAATAAAACTTAAGAGAGCATTGTTTAGGACTGTTCTGTGACTTCATATCGACTTCAATCTGTTAGAGATATAGCAAAACAATACCTACAGTAGTCATAATGATAAAGTTAATACTTATATAATACTGGTTTTACACACTGGATTTATCTCCAAAGGTCGCGGATTCTATTCCCGAAAAATATAGCCACATTTTCTATTCTGTCAGTTGTAAATGTAATGGGTTACAATTATAATTTCGATACAATTGAATCAAAATCAATCAGTCGAATTGTCTCTACGCCATAGAATTACGATGTAGGTAACCTTCAGTATTAATTGTTCTCTATAGCGTCATCAAAGCACGATAGCAATTCTTTCACTCGAAAAGTGTATTTACTATTAGGTCTACTCAGGTTATTCATTATTACACTAAATATAACACTATTTTTGTCGTTATTCTGTTTCTTTATACGAATAAGCTAAAGCTAAAGTTTCTTTTTATGAAGTAATTCTAAAACAAAGTCATTAGTGTGAAACGTTGATATTAGTTGCCTTATCGTATGGACAAATCTTCATCAGTTTAATTAGTTATTGTAGAAAAATATCATAGAGGCACTTTTTGTACGGGGACCTACACGTTTAAAATTGATAATATTTATTCATTATTCGTATTCATATGCAAGAGGATTCGAAATGAGGGCGCGGAATTACAAAACAGTTATCATACCGTATCGCATATAAGAGGTACACTTCTACATAACAACAGCGGTAAAATTGTTTTAAGCTGCCAAGTTCTCAAATTATAATGGACTCTATAAAAACATCATATGTTAATACTAACTATCCGCCCCGGCTTCGCACGGGTGTACATGTATTATACATATAAATCTTCCTCTTCAATTACTCCATCTATAACTAAAAACTGCATTTTTATGCAGCATATTTACGCAACTGCAGATCGTAGTTGCGTAGTTTAAAAGATCTAAGCGAACAGACAGCGGACCCGACTTCATTTTATACTATGTAAAGTTAACAGAAAAAATAGAAACAGTTTTCGAGAATTTATGTTATAGAGACATAAAATCTCTATACACGTTTCAATTTTTCCTGTTATATTAACATACATGTTTTTTTTTAATTTGTCATGATTTGGAAATGTGATGCAGAATATAAAAACATAACATTATGTTAATTTAAGAGGAAATAAAGTATATCTTTCCAGTAGAGTTATCGAGAATTCATCGAAACCTGTATACATATATAGGTACATATTTATGGCGATGTTCATTATTGCATATATCATTATTCTTACTTAATATTATAAATGCGAAAGTAACTCTGTCTGTCTTTCTGTCTGTCTCACTTTCACGCGAAAACTACTGAACTGATTTAAATGAAATTTGGTACACAGATAGTCTAGACCCTGAGAAAGGACATAGGCTACTTTTTAATGCGAATTAAGGGTTGTTAGGGGTTGAAAGGATAGTTTAGGGGATGAAGGGTTCTATGGAAATATCGTCGTTTTTAAAACCAGAATCTTGAACTTTTAAACTGTTCATTGAATATAAATAAATAAGACTAAGTTTGTAAAATTATTATCCTTAAGGGGGTAAAAAATAGGGATGAAAATTTTGTCATTTTTGAAGATATAACGAGGAATCTTTTTTCTTTGCCTTTATTGGGTTACATTATTAAATATTTTTCTAGATTTGATTAAGGTTACTATTCCACGCGGACGAAGTCGCGGGCACAGCTAGTCTACATTATACACATAATAATATACTGATACGGATCAGAATATTCTGGTTGTACAACACTGTGTAGCCGATTAGAAATATAACACTAGAAATGATGTCACACGCTGTTAATGTCATTTTAGAGGATAAATATAGAAAACTGTCTAGTGTACGTTTCTCGTGCATAATAATCTATTTTCACGTTAAATTTTATTAATGTCTGTTCAGGCATTTGGGTGTGAAAAGTTACAACAGAAAAAGACGAACACGCTACCGTATTTTTATATGGATGTACTACTATAAGCATACCTACTTAAAATTGCTTCAAAACTTATCAATAAATGAGAAAAAGTATTTTTTAAAAACATCTACACTAATAGTCCCTGGGTATTTCCAGCAATCTGTATATTCCTACAAGCGCCATAAAAGAATCAACATAGTTTAGCACTACAGATACATACTAGAGATTTGACAAAGCTGTCTCCATTTGTCTGATTCTGCCCTTACTTCTTGTAAACCATGCAACAAATTTTAATACGGTTTTCACTATCATATCGATGAATTTCTTATGAAAAATATATGTATGTATATATAATACATGCATATTTAGAGTTGGCTGTCTGTTGCACTGAAAGGAACTAAACAGTAAATTTTTCTCACATCACAAGGTAGATGGTGACAGTGGGCCATTTTACCACTGGTGTGTTGTCTCTCGGATTCATTTTTTATATCGGTGTTTCCTTCACTGGAGAATCAGTTAGATATATCAAAAGACCCACAAAGTTTTATGTATAAAAAAATATGGCTGAATGTATGCTATTTTTATGATTGTTATATACACATCAATTTGTTTCATTTTAATATTTCTCATGGTAGTCATGATATATTCACGCATGTTTCCTATGTGTATATTTAAAAATGTACCATAACGAACATGCCGTCATATCGAAACTGCTTATATGATACAGTATGCATTAGAATAGTTCATATACATAGGTAGGGAAGTACTTAAACTTCAATTAGGTATCTACATAACAATTCTACTATGGTATTAAAAGCCCCCATTAAATATGACATGCTGAAGTTGAGGAAAGATTATCATTTAACAGTCCCAGTTACACTTTCGATTTCCATTGTGTTTTTGTTATATACAATTGTTGAATATTTTAATTCATATAAAGGATACAAGGATGTAAGAATTGAATTTGTGATTATGATGTGTATATGAAAAGATTGTTGCATGGATAAGTTATTAGATTGCAAACTATCATACATCTACCTGCCTATACTATATGTAACAAATTGTATTAAAACTAACTACTAATAAACAAATGATCTGGCCCTAAAACAACATTTTTGCTCACTAGAAACATATGTATCCTTAATATATTAAACTTATTTTATTAAAGAATCTTTATACTTACTTCTGCTCCAAGTTCTATTAGAGTTTCAATAAGAACAGCAGTTTGCACAGTCATATGCAGACTGCCAGCTATTCTTGCCCCTTTCAAGATTTTACTTGGAGCATATTTGCGACGGCATGCCATTAATCCTGGCATTTCCTTTTCTGCCAACATAATTTCTTTTCTGCCTAGTTCAGCTAACTTCTCATCAGCTACAATCATGGAAACAGAATTTTACATTAGCTTGAAATTTAGCACTTTATCGATTTCACTTACATTGATCACATTAATTGTTTTTTTTTATATTATACACCAGCATGCTGAATTACTATTTAAAATTGTCGATTCATAATAGTTGATTATACAGGTAATAAGGGTAAAATAGATGCAGTCAACTAGTATAGTGCAGTATTAACTATATTTTACAGTATCTGTTACATGTTTATTTAAAAATTTGATGAGATTAACCGAATTTATATAAGACATAAATAGCGTGGTATGCCATGATGAGCATAACCTACAATATTTTAACTTTAAAGCTGAAATAGTACTAAACGTTTTAATTAATAGAATAATATTTAATGTAAAACGGAATGATAATTGACATAAATTACATTCAAATAATTAATTAGTAAAATAAATTACCTATCTTATAAGGCGGCTTCATTGTGGTTATATAGGTTTAAAAGATGATACCAAACAATTCTATAAAAGTATATTTCTTGTTATATGAGATTATATTTATATCTTATTATTTACTACCACATGCCACATGCAGTGGATCTCGTATTAACTGTGCTATGACCTACTGAAAAGTAAATGAAAGCAAAGAATATACTTGCAATCCAATACTACATTAAATAAACAATCAATTACAGACTTGTGTAGTTCACGAACGAACTAGTTCAGAAGAGCACTCCCAAAAACAAACTATTGGAACTAGTTCCTATATCTATCGCGCTTTAATTCATAGTGCGATTGATGAAAGAGCGGGAGCTAGTACAGTCTTTTTTTTCTTTTTTCTTTTTTTTTTTAATAATGCTTTATTCATGACCATGGATACAAGTCCTTCAGTCGAACACATTTTTATAATGAATTTAATTCTTTTTTTTTCACTTGTGTTGTGTTGCCATTAGCCATTTTCTAGTCTTTGGGAAAGCTTTTACAAGCTGTATATATTTGAAAAATTTTAATGTCAGTACATGTCACACAGTGTCAGAACTGTCAGATCTGTCAGATTGTCAGATATAAATACAGATTTAATGAGTGAAGTAGTACATAATGCAGTAATAATAATAAATTAAATTATTTATTTTTAAAAAGTCACATATCAGTGGATAATTAAAGGTTTTCTTATAATTATCAACTTATCTAAACATGGATTCTATGTATGGTAATTCTCTGAGACAAAAAATGAATAAGATTTTTGATACCCATTTATTAACTGATAACAGTGAAGCTCTTAAAAACATTTCTGGACTATGCTCTTCAAATTCGTCTTTTACAAGAAGAGGTCTTTTGAATGAGATCGAAAAAAAAGACGTACTTTTAAACAAGGCAGTCTTAGCTGAATACAATAAGGTCAATGAAAGTTTAAATTTCTTATTGAATTCTATATCGGCACTTAACGTTGCAGTTAAGGATATGTCAACGAGATTAGTGGAAAGTAAAACTAAAACTCATCATTTGATAACACAAACTACCAAGTTAAGAGATGAAAGGAAGAAAACTGAAAAGAAACTTACATGGGTGGATACATTCCTTAAAACATTTCAAATTTCACAAGAACAGAATGAGTATTTGTATAACGTATCCATAAAAATGCCATTAACTATAGAGTTCTTCAGTACTTTATCCCAAATAGAGAAACAACACAACAACTGTAAAACTCTTGTGAAATGTTGGTATCAGACTTCTGCTTTTGATATAATGGAAATGATTGGACTTCAGCAGGAGATGGCCATAGAAAAGTTATACCATTGGACGATTGGGGCTTGTGTCAGTATTGATTCTCCAAATAATGCATTGGTGTCTAAAGCTTTATCAAAATTTCAGAATAGACAAGTTTTGTTTTCAAATATTATTGATGAATATTGTTCTGCTCGTAAAGCGATTACTGTTCAGTCATTCATTGATGCACTAACTAAAGGCACAATTACATCAAAACCAATAGAATTCTATGCTAATGATGCTAAACGTTATATGGAAGATATATTGACTTGGGTTTACCAGATAATACCTATTGAAAAAGAAAATCTCAACACACTTTTCAAACATTGTAATATGCAGGATAAAGTCCAACAAGTAACAGATGCTTTGACTTGCATAATGGAGGCTATTTGTCCATTACTCAAAGTTAGAGCTGAACTCATTCTTAAACCAGACAAAGATCCGTTAGTATTGTTCTCTATCAATAATTTATTAGTCTATTATAAGGATGTCATACAGTCTGTAATACCTAAAGGTCATTTAATAGACACATTTGAAGAATTGCTGAGAAAAAGTGAAGAAGTATTTTCAGTAACACTTGATAGGAAAATTCAAAAAGAATTGAGTCACGGTGTTAAGGCACCTTCTATGGACTTAAATCCATCAGTAGTTGTAACAGATTTGGTTAGCTTCCTGCGAGATTTATTAGGAATAATGAATATTTCTAACAGTATAAATAATGATAACAGAAAAATTATAATAACACATATTCTGGATCCTTTATTACAAGCTGTGAATGAGACAGCATGCCATTTAAGTTCCACTGATATGTCTGTTTATATGCTGAATTGCATTTATCATATTCAATGTACTTTATCATTGTATACTGTCATGGATGATTACAATGAAAGGCTGCAAGCACAATCGGAAGCCCAAGTTGACACATTAACATCTGAACAAGCTAGTTATTTAGTTGCTAACTTGAATTTAGGACCAATTTATACTATTCTACAAGAAAGAACTAGTGGACCTCTCTCAACCATACCTGGCATGGATACAGCAACATTAAAAACATTTCTTAACAAGTTTGATATGTTCCTGGTGACTCCAGATATCTACATATTACCTCAGTTAAACTTACTTCTCAGTCACTCTCATAAATCTTATGTCAAGAAACGAGCTTTTGAAGTTATATTAGCTATATATACTCAACTATATCAAGCTGTACAGGATCCTAATAATGGTTATGCAGAACCCCAAATGATAGTCCGTAGAACACCAGATGAGGTTAATAATTTACTTAAATAAAATTTGAGTGACTCAAATAAACACAGTGTAATCTTGCTCAGGCTGCAAGTAATTATAATCTATCCAGTATGCGTAATACTTGAAAACATTTCTGGTTATAAAAATTGGTTTTCAATTATATTGTATAAAATATTAATTAATATATAGACTTATATACTTATATTAGGTGTTTTTTTTTATACTTTCTATTTTTATGTTCGAAATTATATAACTACATACAATCTATTGTCTGTTCTGTAAAAAGGGTAATCTAGCATTTTGTTTTTCTGAAATAAATGAAAAGAATTACATGTGCAAAGCTCAATTGATAGATACAAATATAATTAGAGCAGGTTACTCCCCACTGAGAGTATTGTTAGTATTGGGGACTAGTGACCTATTACTCACACGACGTATCCATGGTCGTTCACTCCTGATTCATAACTGACCTAATTTTATCTCCATACTAATCATTATACACTGGTAACGTAGTCAGCTTATACTGTTAGCGCAGTTGGGTACACCGTTTCATCATAATCCATAAAAAAATACATGTAATTAACAGACGGCTGATAGCTTAAATCGGCGTAATATCCTAATACTGCACGTGCATACATTCCTACCTTACCTGCCTAATTATCATTTATTACTACTTATAAAATGTCTTTTGCATGGACTATAAATCCGTTACTTAAAAAATTGACGATTCTTAAACAAATTTCATAATACACCCCTTTGTTTTATCTTCGAGACAAAACTCCTATCTGTCTCTATACGAAAATAAATCAAAGTTGATTGAGTTGTTTAGGTAAGAATAGGCTTGTGTGCCGGTTGGACAACCTCCTAGTATGTTACAGCATTGTTAGGTCCCTCATCGCCGTGTTAGTTCCCACTTGGACCCTTCCTATCCATGCGTAGCATTGGTAACCCGCACCTGCCGTGAACCTGTTGTTAGGGACTCAAGTCCACATGAGGTATTTTCTCCTCGGTAAAAAAAAGGTGCAAATAGGTAACAGACGGACATACAGTCGGGTACAGGATATGTGATTAAAAAAAAGTTTCATAGATTTTAGCTTTAGAACATATATTTTAGCATTATTAGTAACCCAGATAAATTGCTTACTTAAGTCTGGCAACATTCGTTGCGTCTGTCTATGGTTGGACTGATCATATGATCAATTTAATTTTCCTTCCATTGTATCTTTCTTATTAGCTATCCAGTTTTTCTTAAAACAAAACGAAGAATCAACATGAAGGGGTGTATTTTTAATATTGATGCTGGATATTTGGAAGGGTTGTGCCGCGGATTCAAATGTGGCATTCTCAAACAATCTGATTATTTGAACTTGGTGCAGTGTGAAACACTAGAAGGTAGGTCTTGTTTAATTAGAATTTTGCTTATTCTTTTAGACTACAGATATATTTATTCTCTTAACCGTCTGATAACTATGTGATACAATTGCTTATGTGCACTTATTTACCAAATTTGCATTTTGCAGACTTGAAACTTCACTTGCAAGGCACTGATTACGGGACCTTCCTCGCCAATGAGCCCAGCCCTCTCTCTGTGTCGACTATCGATGATAAGCTTCGCGAGAAACTTGTTATTGAATTCCAGCATCTCAGAAATCATTCTGTTGAGCCACTGTCTACATTCCTGGATTTCATTACTTACAGTTATATGATTGATAACATCATCCTGCTCATTACGGGCACTTTGCACCAGAGACCAATTTCAGAATTGATCCCTAAATGTCATCCATTGGGTTCATTTGAGCAAATGGAAGCCATTCATGTTGCTGCTACCCCAGCTGAGTTGTACAATGCAGTGCTCGTTGACACACCATTGGCTCCATTCTTTGTGGACTGCATTAGTGAACAAGACTTAGATGAGATGAATATTGAGATCATTCGTAACACTTTGTACAAGGCTTATTTGGAAGCTTTCTATGATTTTTGCAAACAGATTGGAGGAACTACAGCTGATGTCATGTGTGAAATTTTGGCTGTATGTATTGTACTTAATATTATTGCATGCTTACAATGATTTTATCACAGTAATTCTGCATTATCATAACTACAAGGACATAAAGTTTTTATGTTTAGTATAAAATAATATTCTTCTGTTTTAGTTTGAAGCAGATCGCCGTGCCATTATTATCACTATTAACTCCTTTGGAACTGAGTTGTCTAAAGACGATCGTGCTAAGCTTTACCCTCGCTGTGGAAAGCTGAATCCTGATGGACTGGCTGCCCTGGCACGTGCTGATGACTATGAACAGGTTAAGGCAGTGGCAGAGTATTATGCTGAGTACTCTGCTTTATTTGAAGGTGCAGGAAATAATGTTGGTGACAAGACATTGGAAGACAAGTTCTTCGAACATGAGGTGAGATTATGAGGCTTAAAAAAATCAAATCTACTATAGAATAAAATATAATGCATACCTTATAACGTAATTATTTCTATTTTCAGGTAAGCCTTAACGTTCATGCCTTTCTACAACAATTCCACTTTGGAGTATTTTATTCATACTTGAAGTTGAAAGAACAGGAATGCCGTAACATTGTATGGATAAGTGAGTGTGTTGCCCAGAAACACCGCACTAAGATTGACAATTACATTCCTATATTCTAATTTGCTTTCATAGTTGAATATTAATTCACTTTTCTTTGTATATATGATATAGTCAAATATCGGCACATCCATTCTCCTACAAGTAACAGTCAAAGATCAATATAATAGTATATATATAAAATAGTATATATAGCCTTTGACTGTAGAATTTGTGTTTAATCCTAGGAGAGATCAGCATACAGTAAAATGTGTATAACAATATGATCAAATTGGGGTTTGACTAATAAAACCTAAGTTAGGAGTTAAACAAGAATGTGTTAATTTGTTGGTGTTAGATATAAACAACACTTATCAGAATGTTATAGTTTATTGTTACAATATAAATGAATAATTATACAGAATATTTATTTTTAATTTAATGACTTTAATTGACAAGTGGAAAGTTAGTTGCAAATGTTTTACCTTTCTATTTAAATATTTCTGAAACGCATTTTGGATTGCAACAAAATTCGGGCTTTGTCTATTATATGGACAGCTTATTTTGCTTTCAATACGAAAAGTAATATAGATGACAGAAATACAGTTCAATGAGAAAGCTCCATATTGACCTTTGACTATAACATAAACACATATGTGTATAACAAGCACAAATAAGAAGTCTATTACTGATAATTTTAAAACTTAAACATTGTTCTTTTATTTTCCAATATAAATAACGCATTAGAGTAACAGTATTATGTTTTAAATGTACATAGGATTATTTATTCATTATATTACTGTTCAAATTCCGTATTTCATATATTTAATGTTCCACCTATTAAATATATCTTAGGAATTAGAATGTAGGCAAAATTTATCTTATCTGCTTTAAAGGACAAGGATGGGAAGTATTGATAAAATTATTGTAAAATAAACACTTAGATGTTGTCAGTTGTTCCATAATTTACAAATATTAAATTGGCGTCTTTATTTTGTCGGGTTATAGTTACCTGATTATATCATGTGTATATCTATATTAGCTCTGTTATTACTATTGTATTGATGTAATATTATTATATGAAGTAAATAAATAGTACTATAAAAAGTATTTTATTTCTTTACATTACTGGATATGAGAAACAAGCTGATAGTGACCAAAATATTGCTAAATATGTAATTCGATCAAATATATATATTTTTTTTTTATTTAAAGCTTTATTGTCCATATATTACAATTATTCTTTATATATATGGTCCCATGTGGGTAAAAGCCTCCTCCAACTTGTTCCATTTTTCCAGATCAAATATAACCAATAAATATAACATGACACCTCATTACATTAAACATGATGAAACAGTTCAACGATGCTGAAGTGAAATGAAATAAAAAAACATGACAGTTGGCTTGGTATCATTATGATTTTATAAATACTCTCATATTTATAAGTCCTAACTTCAATCTTATTTTTCAGTATCAGGTGTGACCAAGTTCTTTATTGAATTCAGTATGTTGTACATTATTTATATTATTAACCGGGCCTTAACACAAACTATCTTGTTGGTATTTACCTATCTTGATGTTTCAACTAGGTTGCACTAGCTGTGATCATGCATTGACTGAGCAGTATGTTGTAGTTTCTACAGGAGATAGCAAATAAAATGTCTGTTAGCTTATGAAAAGGCTAAAAAATAATAAAACCATAGTAAATAATTATAATAAATATATCCATTATCATGATCCTAGAATAAAATTATAAGATTCATCCTATTTATTGGCTATCAATGTATTGAAACTTTTAAAAGTAAGAAAATAGTTTAAACAATGCTAAAACAGTTGAATACTTAGGTAAAATAAGCATATTACATATTTTAAATGTTATGAATAAGTATTTATATTGTGGTAATTTTTGTAGGTAGTATGATTCCTTTTTGTTTTAACTGTTCATTAATAAGGTCTGTGTTTGGTCCTAAATGTACTAAATTTTGTTTGGATGGTTTAATCGATAATAAGCTTGAATGTTCTTTCCAGAACTTCTCTTTTAGCATGTCATCATGAATATCCACAATTACTGTAGATGATTTTTTGTTATCTTCATTGTTTATAACTTTTCTTAGTAGTATTGTTCCTCTCTTATAAATTTCAGGTTCATTGTTATAGTTTATTTCAAACTCATTGTATAATATTTCATTTTTATCAGCTGACACAGTGCCACATAAACGTTTTTCTGCCTGTAAACAATAGACACTCTGAATGTAATGTATTGGTGATACTGAATTTATTTTAAATAAAATGGTTTAACATAGAGTATACAAATTCATAAATATATTAATGAATTTACAAAGTGGTTTATAAAGTTGTAGCAATAATTCCAATACATGTTACTATGTTTCTTACATACAATCATATTTTCTTTGCCTTGAAAGTTTCATTCAAGATAAACTCTGGAAAATTGTCATTGAAATTAGAATATTTTATTATTGAGAATATTGTTAATAATACACAATTATTTTTATTCTTGGATAAAAAATTTATTTATTAGTAATATTATTTACATATTACTAATATATTAATTAGTTTAGATTTCTCAATAGTGTCACTATGATGAAGTATTATTAATCTGACTGTACTGTACATTTATATACATATTATTAATATTATATGAGATTGCTATATAGTATACTAGGTTTAAAAAATCTTAGGCTTATTATGATCCTGATGAGAAATCTATGAAATACTGTTCAAACTTTTTTATATACTTGTCTATATATATGTATACATAGTTAAACATATTATTATTAGTATAGTCTAACCTGTGTGGGGCTCATATTTCCTTTTAGTACAAGATTCCAAAAAGTAGTATTGTAGAGGTTATTTATATGAACATCAGCTTGTCTCCATTTCAGATAATCTATTAAGTTATCATCAGATGGGTACAAAATAACACGACCGTCAAATGTTGGTGGATATTTTAATTTATCTGTACCAAAAAATTTACTCCAATAATATACATAGGACGAAGAAAATTTACTATTTATGGTAGTGAGCAGTTTGGATGCTCTCCTATTATATAGAGTTGAATGTTTCTTAAAAATGAAAGAATATTCATCACTTTGTCCAAAAGCTATTAATAAATCATGGAATTCTCTAAAAACAGTAAAAGCGGCATAATTCATTAACCTCAACGCTCTTAAATCATTAGGTTTTGAAAAGTTGTGATCTTCAGAAAATTTATGAAAACACTTTCCATCAAGTCTTACTACAATCCATGAATTGGGCAATAAGGTATCATCTAGTTCAAAACTTTTAACGTATTCAAAAGAACTTTTAGCCATTTTAAAAATAGCCAATATTTGGCTGCGTTTTAATATTTTATTTAATAATCCCTCTGTAATTATATTTGACATGACAAAAACATAGACATAGAGTATATTTATATTGTATTATGACACTGGACTGGATTACAGATGACACTGGCTGACAGATGCCGATAAGTTCGAAGAGAGTTCCACATTTAAAGGTGAATTGAACGAACTAGTTCGTAGATCCTTTACACTAGTTAGTTTGATATTAATATTGTAAAATCTTTAGAATATTTAATTATAAAGATCTAAGGATTTAATATTATTAGTCATTTAATTCAAATAAAAGCAGTTGATTTAGTGACGTGCATGGCCTTATTAAATACAACTTATAATAGCTTCAAAAATTCAAGGTTCTTGCGTTCAATATGACCGCCCATTTTCGATGCTTTTCATACTATTTGTAGTTTGTGCAACTCTAAAAAAAAACTGTTAACAGATCTCTTAAACTATATTAGTAAAACTATGAAGTGGTCAAGTGATAAATCTTATTAGTGCTGTTATGCTGTCGCTACAAATTGTAACAGTGTCATTTCTAAGATCTCTGAGGATGTTATTTAAATATTATGCCTTTTTATACGCTTTGGTTTGTGCCATATACCTATTCAGATTAGTCGTCCATACAGCTGGTACAGTACAGTAGCTTTATGTTTATGTATTTCTTTTATAGCTGTATTTCAATATAATTTTGCTATCAATTATATTTTCATGGCCATTCTTCCTTACTAATTTTCTTGTACTATTCTTCATATGCGATATAACTTAAACCATTCTGTACCGTCTTTATTATTATCTTCATCACAAATAATACTGTAAGATTATACTCAGCATTTATTACATTACACAAACCACAAAAGTGTATTTATGTGTTGATTAATTAAGAAAATTTAAAAATATCTTGTGGAAACTTCATCTAACTCTTAGAAGTAGTCTAAAATAAAATAAAATACGTTTCAACTAATCGGTATCGCAGGTACAGCACTGCGCCGCTACAGCTGGTAATATTATTTGACAATAATGTTACATTTACATTTGCCAATTTAGTCTCCGAGATTAAAATTCAGTATGATTGACTACAATTTAGCACTTTTAGAACAAAACTAAAATTGAATTCTAGAAAGAAGGATTTGTGTTTTATTTTTCCGAAGAAGGATATTGTAAGGGAGGTGGATATAAGCTTTAAAGAAATTTTTTGAAATAAGATTAAACTTCAATGTTATTATTTTGAACACGAATGAAAACATAATGAATAAACATATATAAGAATTGGCCTTTGGCCTCATCACTTGTTCAAATATGAAGAAGTATAAACGTAGACTGGGCTGTACGGTCTAAGGATCTTTGCTTGTTCCATCACTGAAAAGGAGATGGACGAATATGGGAAAAAAAAAATATCGATGACTTGACATCGATGTTATTCGGATAGAATGACCATCCGTAATGTTGTTATGTCATTTATGTAAAAATTGTCAAACGAAACAAAAGTTGTCGAACATAATCGGTTGTTTTTATTCTAAAATTTAAATTCAATTAATTTATATTTATATATATATAATGTATTACATACACATTATTGTAGCGTATTATTTTATTTAACGTAAAAATACATTGTTAGATGTCTGTGTAATTGTACGTATTTTATTTCTTATAATTATAAAAATAAAAGATGTTGCATTTGCGTCTCAGTATTCGTCGTAATATCTTTTCGAAAGGTAAATTATTACTATATTTTATAATATTACCAGTCATTACTCTTTCGTAGATATAAAAGACAGCCTAATTCCATCGACGTGATTCCTACCATCTTCATATTATATTTAATTTGTAAAGATAAACAGACACACTTTCACATTTAGGATATTTTTTATGGTGCACTCGCGTACGTTAACATTATACGCTGGCGTGGTACCAGGATAAAATAAGCATGAAGTCAGGCCAGTTAGCACATCTTGGCAAATGGCAATTTAACATGATGGTTTTCAGGCGGAATGGCATGGAGGTCAATCTGACATGGTATATTGCTAGCAATGGGGTTATAGTTCAAATTGCTATAAAGCTGCTTTTTATTCAGAATATTAGTGTGGATATATTACTGTGAGAGAGAAGTATTATGAAATACTATTTTACCTACAAAATAGCTTAACATTGGGATTGCATTTTACATATATCCAAATCCAAATATTTTATGTGCTTACAAATTACGTGAATATTTAAAGTAATAAGCTAAATGTAACTGCAAGTTTTACCTGTTCAGTATTTGAAGAAATATTTATTAAAATTTTATTTTATATGAACATAAAATACCTACAATAATAATGAAATATTTTCAGGATTAGTAAACAGTTTAACATCTCATAGACATTCTACTGATTCAAAATCTAATAAGGATGGTAATGGAACCCCAAAAAAGGAATCACAAAGAATATCTGAATTCCGAAAAAAATTGCGAGAAACTACACCAATTGATGATCTTGGTGAACAGCCATCTATGCATCCACAAACTCAAAAAGATGACCCCTTACCTCCCTTTCCCAATAATACTAATCCAACAACTGGTGAAGTAGGCGGTCCAAGGGGGCCAGAACCAACAAGATATGGTGATTGGGAGAGAAAAGGACGAGTGTCTGACTTTTAGTAATTCTGTTGGAAGATACATGAAATCCTAATCAAAAATGATGTTGTTTCCTTATTTAAATGAGTTTATTTAAAATAAATAGTAATAAATTAAAATGGATAGTTTACTTCTATAAAATAATATATGTTCACATTACATTTGTGTATTTGAAGATTTTCCCATAGTTTTAGGCATTTTTTTATTAGTTGAATCTTCTAATTCCTTGGACTTATAATAATGAGGTGCAACTTCTAGGAGCCATTTACTTTCTATTTCTGTGACTTGTCTCATGAATTCCTTAGAAGTGAAAACTAACTCGTGGTATATTACCCAACGTGGTAATTCTTCAAATAGTGCACTATTTGGATGAATCATTACTGTCTGTAAAAAATATAAAAAAATTTAGTCAAAATGATTGAAAACTGATTATACACATATATGCTAGAATTGACTTAAACCTACAACCATTGGAAGTGAATTGGTGAGCTAAACCGTAAGACTGCAGTCTGTTGAATGCATAGACTGTAATAATAACTTACTTGGTTATGTTTCACAGTTTTATAGTGTCCTCCTTTTGAAAATTTAGCAATATGATAAAAATACCCAGCAGTAATAGCTTTACGTATATTTGAGTCTTCAGCAATACTGGATACCATATCAATTTCTACTCTCTCCATGAGTCCGGCGAGCTGTTCACGAACATCGCGCGCTCTTTTCATAGATCTATATTGGATAAAATTTTCATAGCACCATTGAACTGAGTAATCAGAATCCACCCATTGATTGTAAACATTCATTAATGTCAAATGATCACCATTGCGATGAAAAAAGTTTTTTCTTGCTGTATCTGCATGAATAATTTTATCTTTTGGTCGGTAGAAAACTGAACTGTTTACTGACAACATAGCAGCAATTGTGACAACTTCCTCTGAACATTTGTATCTGTAAATGATTTAAAATAGTTTGAAATGTAAAATTTTAATAGTCTAATAGATTACATACTTAAGATTTAGAATTATATTATAGTCTAATACATTATGTACTTAGATTTAGAATTATATTAAGACTTGCCATTATTTCTCATGGGAATGGAATCATTAATGGATTTAAAATGTGGGTAACTTTCTCAGTTATTTCAGCTACCAAGGTAGAAAACATTGCAAGCTGTGTTTTAATTTAGAGGAAATTGATATGTCTGTGAAATTACAGGATACAGAAGAATGATACTGTCATCTGGAATGCCAATGCATGAAGGATAACTCGATTGCCATTCCAATTACATATAAAAGTATAACTAGTTGTAGTTGTTAGTTATAATAAATTTAAATCATTTAGATTTTGTTCACTTACTTTTCACTAGCTAATAGCATTTTAGCTAACATAGGATCAGTAGGAAATTCTGCCATACGTCTACCAGCTTTAGTTAGTTCACCATGATGATTAAGGGCACCAAGTGCATACAATTGTTCTAGAGCCAAAACTAATGTTTCATGAGGAGGAGGGTCCAAAAAGTCGAAATGAATGAGATCATTAATTCCTAGCGCTTTTAAAGTGAGAACAGCATTTCCTAAATTTATCCTTTGTATTTCTGGTACAGTATTGTCTTCAAGTTCATACTTATATGCCCAAGCAGTGTATAAGCGGAAACATTTTCCTGGTGCTACTCTCCCTGCTCTACCAGCTCTTTGGTTCGCTGAAGCTTTTGAAATGGGTACTACCATTAGGCTCTCCATGCCTGTTTTTGAATTAAAATTATTTTGCTTTGCAAAACCTGGATCAATTACATAAATAATGTTATCAATAGTCAATGATGTCTCCGCAATATTTGTAGCTAACACAACCTTACGAGCCCCTTCTGGTGTTGGTTCAAATATCTTAGCTTGCATATCACTAGGCAAGTTAGCATATACTGGCAATATGACTAATTCTCTTAATTTTTTACCAATTCTTTTTGTTCTTTCTTGTAACATTTCTACACAGGTTTCTATTTCTTCTTGACCTGTAAGAAATACAAGTATATCACCAAGAGGCTGTGTAGCATGTATCTGTAAAACTGATACTACACTGGCATCAACATAATCTGCTTCAGGAGCTTTTGTATAGTAAATATCTACAGGAAATCTTCTTCCAGGTATTCTAAAAATAGGTGCATCATCAAAAAAATTTGAGAATTTTTCTGCATCTAATGTTGCACTGGAAATCAGCAGCTTTAAATCTGGTCTAAACCTGGTTATATCTTTTACAAGGCCAAATAATATATCTGTGTGCAGGGTACGCTCATGAGCTTCATCTATGATCATAACATTGTATGATGCTAGATCAGGCTCTGATAAAAATTCTCTATGCAATGTTCCATCTGTCATATATTTTATAACAGTTCTATCAGATGTACAGTCTTCAAATCGTATACTGTAACCAACTTCATTACCAAGTTTAACATTCATTTCTTGGGCTACTCTAGCTGCTACTGACATAGCAGCCACTCTCCTTGGTTGTGTGCAACCAATTTTTTTTCCATCTTTAGTAAAACCAGCTTCATGAAGATATTGGGGTATTTGAGTTGTTTTACCAGAACCTGTTTCGCCTTCTACAATTAATATTTGATATTTTTTTATTGCTTCTATTAAAGATTCTCTAAAAGGATAGACAGGTAAAGATTTTTTGGTTTCTTCTATGGTCATTCGAATTTTTTGATATTCAGATTTCTCTTTTTCTTCTTTTTGATCTTTATTACCTTCCAGTTGTAAAGCCTGTATAAAATCAATTTGCTCATCCAGTAGTAATTCATACTCATCTTGTGATTTTGCATCTTTTGCCCCAAATTTGAAAAAAGCTGATTTAATTTGTTCTTGTTCCCATTTTCTTTGTTCTGAGTGGGGCAACTTTTCATTTTCATCTACCTCTACATATTCCCCTGTAAACAATAACTTTAAATTGAAATTATACAATTTGTATTATTTCAATTTAAAGACATTCATTGCCTACTGCTGAAAAATAATATTGTTCAGCAGTAGGCAATGAATGTCTGAAATTATGAGGAATTACAAAATGTTATAAACAGTTTAATAGCATTAGGATAACAGGAAGATTTGAATTAGTTGTAGATATTGTTGAATTTAAAAAACAAACTATTATTCTAACATCGAATTTGGCAAATACCATAGAAGGCAAGCTAAAACCAATAGTTGAAGAAAACAAAAAACTGAACAATGAAGTGAGAACTTTAAAGAAGAAAGTTCATAATTTGGAAAAAGATGTAAGGAAAAATAATATAATACTGCACGGTTTAGAAGAAACCGATACAAACAACAGCGAATTGTTGGAACAAGTTTTGAGTATTCTGAATAAAGCCAGAAAGGACAATGAAATGGAAGAATTTGATAAATGAGAAATTAGTAGCGTCCACAGACTAGGGCGTCATGATGAGAAGAAACGACGTCCGGTTCTAGTGAAATTCACCTTAATTTGGAGAAAAATAAAAGTGCTAAAAAACCGAAAAAATTTCCCTGAAGGCATAGACGTCAGCGAAGATTTCCCAAAAGAAATTCTGCAAATCAGGAAAGAATTGAAAATAAAGCAGCAAGAAGAATTACAGAAAGGAAACTTGGCTATAATAAAATATGACAAAATATTTATTACAGAAAATGCAAATCACGATAAAAGGAATGAAAAAAGAAAACGTTCCCCATCTAAAACACCAACTCATATAAAACATGCAGACGAATCAAGGCAAGAGTCCCTAAACAAAGTTAACAAAACTAATGCCTTCAAATACATGAATCGTCCTAGAGCTAATTCGCAACCTGGATCTAGCAAACAATAACAATTAACGCACAGCAGTCCCTGGAAGACTAACAAAGTACAAAACATAAAAACTAACAATAAAAACAAGAAGCCTTATTCTCCAAGCCGGTTGGTCACCGTGGGGGAAAAAGACCACGACCCTCCAGTGTTTCAAAAAGATCAACAACAACCACAAAACCGACTTCAACAAAATAAAAAACAAACTAAAGAAAAAACAAAACAAAAAGATATATACATAGCAACTTTAAACACATTACCTTGCGAACAAATGAGAGACTTCTGGAACTCGAGACGGCATTACAGAACATCAAATGGGATATTCTTGGTCTAAGTGAAGTGAGAAGAATGAGAACCGCAATTACAGAATATGACGATTTCATCTTCTGCTACATAGGGGAAACAAAAGGTCAATATGGTGTAGGTTTTCTAATCAGAAAAGAACTAAAAAGATACATAGTGGACTTCAATGGTATATCGGAGCGAATTGCAGTAATCAAATTAAAGTTACCAGGATATATGGACCCCTGGAATATTATACAAATATATGCACCAATTGAGGCAGCAGCAGAAGCAAAAAAAGAAAATTTCTATATGATGTTGTCTGAGGTGCTCGAGAATTCCGGAAAAAACACCATAGCCATGGGCGATTTTAACGGCAAAATAGGAAAACAAAGACCAGGAGAGGAACTGATTATTGGAAAGTATGGAATAGGAGAAAGAAACGAAAATGGTCAGAGTCCTAAACATGGCTCAAGAAAATAATCTGGTTCTCCTAAATAGCTATTTAAAAAAAAAACCGTCAAAAAAATGGACTTGGAAATCACCAAATAACGATGTAACGAAATAGATCACATAACTAGCAATCAATATAGGGCTTTTAAAGATGTCACAGTTATTAACCAATTCAATTTTTACACTAATCACAGAATGGTGAGAGCAACTTTATACCCCGAAGAAAAGAAAAAAAATAGAAAACATTATAGCCAACACCATTTCCTTTCACCGACATTAGAACAGGGCAATACTACGAATACAAATAAAATACAAGAAATCTACGACCAAGAGATAAACTGTATGTATAACACTGTAGAATCAAAACCGAAAAGAGAAAAGAAAAACGTCATAAGTAATAAAACAAAAGAACTCATAGCAACAAGAAAAATATTAATCCAAAACAAGAAGAATCATAATACTTTAAAAGACATCACAAAAATAAGCAAAGAAATCAGCAGTAGTATAAAAAAAGGATAAACAAATAAGAAAAGTAGACTGTATTAAATACCATATTGCTAAGACAGGAGGAATTAGAAAAGCACTGAAAGAATTACAGTTAGCAAAAACATGGATCTCGAAAATTAAAAATAATAAAAATAAGAACCAAACAACAAACAGAACCTGTATTTTAAATATAGCAACAAACTTCTACAGAAACCTCTACTCAAGTCAAGCCTACAATAAAAAAATCTGTCTAGATGAAGAAAGTGAAGTAAACATCTTACCTATTTTAGAAAGTGAAGTACAATACGCTATTAATACGCTTAAAAATCAAAAAGCAGCGGGATTTGATAACATAAGAAATGAAGCTATAAAAATAACATTGTCTGATACTTTACCAAAACTAACGAGCCTCTTCAACATCATTTTGGCGACAGAGTATATTCCTTCACAATGGATGACAAGCAACATAATACTTATCCACAAAAAAGGAGATAAAGAAGACATAGCTAACTATCGTCCAATTAGCCTTATGTCTTATAAAGTCTTTGCCAAAATCATATTGAATCGTATTACGAAACAACTCGATGAACATCAACCAATCGAACAAGCAGGATTCGGGTCAGGTTTCTCCACTGTAGATCATATGCACACATTAAAACAAATAATTGAAAAATACAAAGAATACGGACTTCCTTTTGTACCTTGCTTTCGTAGACTATAGTAGGGCGTTTGACTCTCTCGAACATAATGCTATATGGCAAGCCCTCAAGAACCAAGGAATAGAGAATAAATACATACGACTCATAAGGAACGTATATAAGAACAGCACAGCACGCGTCAAACTTGAATCTCTAGGGGAAGTCTTTCCAATTAGCAGGGGCGTTAGACAGGGTGATCCTTTATCTCTCAAGATATTCACATGCGTTCTTGAAGAGGTCTTCAGAACGTTTGATTGGAACAATGCAGGTATTGAAATAGACGGAAAAAAAACTCAATCATTTACGATTAGCTGATGATTTGGTACTCATGACAGATAGCCCAGAAACTTTACAAATGATGCTTGAAGAACTTATAAAAGTGAGTAAAGAAGTCGGGTTAACAATAAATAAGACAAAAACTAAAATAATGACCAACAAAAATGAAGTACCAATCAAATTAGAAAAAGAACATATAGATTATGTAACATCATATATTTACCTTGGACAACTCATCTCAATAAAAGACCAAATGGAACAGGAAATAGAAAGAAGAGTTACAAGTGCATGGAAAAGATACTGGTCATTGAAAACTATAATGAAAAGCAAACTACCCCATTAACTTAAAAAAGAAACTTTTTAATACCTGTATCTTACCAATACTAACATACGGATGCCAAACATGGGCAATGACTAAGAAAAATATGCAAAAACTTGTAACATGCCAAAGGAGTATGGAGAGAAGCATGTTGGGTTATAATAGGAGAGATAGAAAGAGAGCGTTGGACATAAGAGTTATCACAGGTTGGGATGAAGTTACAACTAAAATAAAAAGGTTGAAGTGGAAATGGACAGGTCACACACTAAGGGGAAATATGAGATGGACGAAAACTGTAACTGAGTGGATTCCCCGTCATAAAGCTAAACGAAAAAGAGGAAGACAGTACAAGATATGGTCTGATGACCTTAGAAAGATTGCCGCTCCACTGTGGCTCCGATTGGCAAAAGATAGGAACACATGGAAAACACTGGAGGAGGCCTTTGTGTCTAAAGGACACGTTGACTCAGAGACTGATGTGCAGAATTAGAAGTAACATAAAATGTATCTATAACTAATATTTCTTTTATATTTTAAACTTTTAATCAAATATTATGATATATTGTATAATTTTGTGTCAATTAATAAAGGCTTTGAATTTGAATTGTTTGTCCAATGGCAATGGAAATGATATATATGACAAAATGTTTTTTCATATTTTAAGACAGGGATTCACTAAAGCTTTTAAAAGGTCTTAATACTTTCAAATATTTTGTATCAACGAACTTTATCTGGTCTAAGCATGTCTATTTAATATCCCTGGATAAATAATGTATATGTTTTCCATCCAAAAGTTGTAGGTAGTTGCAAAATAGTTAAGAAGTGATAAGATAGAGAAAATAAGTGGTAGAAAAAATAACTTTTCTTATTTAGTTATCTTTATTATTCTTATATTACTAGATACTATATAAAAAGAGCTGATTTTCATACCTTTTTCCCCTTTTCCTAAATCTCGTGGCATATGATATCTCTGTACATTTTCCAGTTCTCTAGCCTTTTCATGTTCTTTAGCTAACTGTAGTATAGTCTTTTTATGTTCCCGTTCTCTCTTCTCTCTTTCTGTTAATCTGACAGATAATAAAATAATAATTACTTTGTCTATTATTATTGAAATTTATATTAAAAAAGTAGTGTGATGTTGCAAATATTTGCATAACTAGAGTTGTTGGTTCTATAAACCAATTAATTAGTGTCCAAATAAGATTAGACTATTCATTTCATTATAATATGTATCTAAGAGAGGCTAATCATGTGAAATATGTAATAATCCATGAGGTTTCTTTCGCAGCAAAGAATGGTACAGTTTTACATCACACTGTAAATAATAATAATAAACTTGGACAATTCACACAGCGTCATCTAGAACCCAGCTAAGTAGACCTTTTGTAAAGGATACTAGACAACTGATAGAAATACTTACATTAAATTAATTTGTAAAACATATGTAATATACAAAGAAAACACAAGCAATAACATTTAATAATAAAAATGTTTCTCTGACATCTGTGATACAAGAAACTGTAACCACTTGCAGTCATCTATGCACTGGATGTCATGATAATCATGGTAAAGCAAACAGTTACTATTAGATACTGCCACAACTATTATCCGGCTTGGGATAAGGTAGAGATTTGAGAGTATTCAAGATGCATCTGTGATTACACATTACTATGTACATTACTGGTGTTTTAAATATAAACATTTCATATGATGTTGTTATATTCACAAAATATATTTTGTGAGTTTTTTTGGATGGAAGGTGCTACCACAACTAGGGCCAATAATGATGGCCCAATGAAAACCAGCAAAAATGAAGTAATTCTTTGCACAACTGATTTGTATTGTATCTTGTATTTGTATATGGTTATTTGATTATTATATAGGGATTATTACCCTATTGTGTAATGTTAACTTGTATATTACTGGTATAATATCAAAAGAATATTGTATAATCAAACAATAGATTAAACAGTATAAATTATAAGTATAAAATAGATTTTCCTTACATGCTCTCATCGAATAAATATTCATCGTCAGCTATATCTGCCTCTAGTTCAATAACCTTATCTTCTTTTCTTTTACCTAAATACTTGCGACGCGACTGGATACGCAATTTTGGTAATATTTTATCTCTGTCTTCGGCTTCAAGTTTCAACCTCTTTGCTGCTTCTTCATATGATCTTTTGCTGGAAGAGTTGTTTACCTTCTTTACCTTTTCTTCATCCCGCTTCTTCAGCCTATTTGCAAATTCATCGCGTTCTTTAATATCTTTTAAACGATTTTCTTCAGCACTTCCAGAATCCGAAGAATAAGACCGTTTCTTAGTTTTATGCATTCTGTAATAATGATTGTTCAGAGGTAATAATATGTGTTAATATATTCATGTAAACATTTTGGACAAAAATATTTTGAACAATTTTCAATGAAAATATTCTATCATAGTAGCTATAGCACAGATCAGTATTTTCTGATCTGTGTTTGTGTCAGACAGACGACCACAAACAAAACATTTCATTCCGTCATTAGGTCCTTCAGAAGTGTAGTGATTATTTGCTTAGTGAAAGTGGGCTTCAAATAACTGGAACCCACAGCCGTCAATAATGTAAGGAAAGTCTACGTTGTTCTCAGTCCAGTCCAAAGAGTAAAGTAAATATACCAATTTAATTCCAGTCCTTGCACTCACAAATCCTATGACTAGTGCAAAGCCATAAAAAAGAACATACTGCGACTTTTAGACTGGATTTTAAAAGCATTAAATAGTAAAGAATTGAAAATACAAATCCTTTTTACACTTCATTAAAAATTGTGAACATTTTTGTTCCTTTAGATAATTATTATAAAGTTTTTAAAATATCTACCGGTTTCGCTCTTGAGACGAAACATGTAATGAGACTAACAATTACCCGTTTATTAGGTACATATAATAATATTTTCACGCCAGTTTTCTTATAGATTTTAAAGAGCGAACTGATGAACAAAATCTTCATAGAGTGCCTTACGATAAAATGGGGACTATTTATGAAAACGAATTCTAAATTGAATTCAGGTTACCGCTGAAGAAAGAAAATTTCACTGTCAGAACCTTTAGAACAAAAAATCATTGAATGTAGATAAGAACAATAACTGTTGTTATTAGGTATAGAGTATTCGTCGGCTTACTGGCAATCGTCGGCCAGTATATATGTCGTTAATATTAATGATATATGAGGTCTATTAATAAAATAGTATAGTGACGTCAACCGTTTATTTTTTATATAAATGTCATTTTAATTATGTTTTTTGCCAAGTTAATACGTGATTATTGATCTGAAAGGAATTTTATACTCACAAATTTAAACTGATTTACCCGTAGAGTGTGTCATTAATTACATCTAAGTTATCTGTATCTATACTACAGTAGGTATAACTTGTATACAGAGTTTGTATTGTTTTAACCAACTACTTCTACATTACGGGAAGCTTGCTTCAATACTTATTATGAGAACATCGCATTCGATCGGTTAAACCGTTATTTTGTTATTAGTGTAGAGACTGTGACAAACGCAGAGACTAAATTTTAAAGTGGTATATTGCAGAATTCAAAAACTATGTTTTTGAATTGTGCAATATACCTATGTACAATGTGAAAAAAATTTTTTTTTTGTTTAGTACTAGCTCTGTATCTGCTACTTCAGTATTTTTATTATAGCTATCTGTGAGTGAAAGTTCAGTCAAATTGGTCAGGGATTAGGAAGAACGTAAAACAGATTTATTTAATGAAAAGCTGTTATTTTAAAATTACAAATAGACTTCAATTTTATTTATTTGATCATGTAATAAGTATTAGTACTTACTTTTAAATAAAATCCAATTTAATAGTGCACCATCACTGCTTCTTGTTCCTTTCAGTCCTTTATTTACAAGCCAAAGCGTTCCACTTCCCTCCACTTCAATTCATCCTCCCCCCTCTCCCCCTAAAAACCCCTCTAACTCCCCTTCTTTCCCCATCGTCACAAAATCTCCGAAATCTTATGGTAGACCCCTGAATCAGACATCACTACAGCTAAACTTACGACATCCTTACTCTACTCAATAAAAAAAAACCTACGACACATTTTTGGATGTCGCAAAGCAAGTGAATAAAAAAAAAGGTTTCGGTGGTAGTTTTTAGTTGAGATTGAACGGGCACTATCACAGAAAACAATATTTTCATTATGAAGAAAAATAAAATAGATAAGCAGTTAATAATATTATTTTTATTTTTAGAATTACAAGTGGCATAAAAAATATTAATAAAAACATGGGCACTTACCTGAAACACATACACGTACTTGAAAGTTGTTGGAAAATTGTAAAAGATAATATAACTTTTGTAAGGATTCATGGATCTACAGTACAAGAGGTTACGATTTTAGTTAAAATTGAATTATTATTTTTAACTTGTAATGTGATTTAGTTATTTTAATTAATAAAATATAATCAAAAATGCTGTCACAAATAATTTGTGTCCTTTTAGTATTTGATTATTAAAATCTTGTAGTTGTAATAACTTCAAGCAGAACTATAATATAAACTCTTACCTATTTAGACCGGTTCAGAGATATCAGTAGTCTCGTTTGTTTAGAACATCTTGGCTAATACAATAATTAAATATAGGAAACAGGTTTTGGTATGGTTACTAGATAAATGATAGACTATTTTTTTGTAAAAACATAAGTACGTCAAGCACATAAATAGAAAGATACCCAGGTCAATATAAATATGTATATATATTCATATTTGTATCGTGCGGGACTGAATTTGCGAGTGATAGAAGTAAGGCGGTGTTCTAAAGCGCTAGACCACTAAATGTGTAATATTAATTATTATTTATTTATTCAGATAGCGCATGATGTAGATCTGACCAATAAGACATGTCTTATCACTGGAGCAAACAGTGGTATAGGGTTGGAGATGACCAAATGTCTAAATTGTAATGGTTGTAACGTGCTAATGGCGTGTCGAAACAGTTATGCAGCAAGCAGTGTCATGAAGTATCTCGTAGAGAAGAATGGCCTGCTGCGATTTTACGAAATCAACCTGGCTTCACTTAAGTCAGTTAAGAATTGCAGTGTTGAAATACTGGAAAATGAAAAGTGAGACAATTTAATATTGTTTACGAATATCTTGTATGTATTGTACCTACATTGTACATCAGTGTACTTATGAGTATATCCGTGTACTCGTGAGGGAATATTACGCATATATTTATATACTGCATCTAAAAAAATCTCACATGCCCGTCTAAGCCAGAGGCTGTTTAGATCTATGGGTAGGTTATGTAGCATTTGTAACTAATGTATATTTACTATGTGCAATGAAACACTTAAACTATCAAATGTATTACATTGTAGTTCTACTTCAATTTTACACTTTATAAATGTCTTTATTATTATTTACTAGCTGTAACCCGGTTTTACCTGCATAAAATTATAGCCTGTGTTTTATTTTGATGTAGGTATACTATATTACCTACTGTAAAGTTAAATGAAAATCCGTTAATATTTTTTGCGTGAAAGTGTAACAACCATTCATATAGATGAATATGGATAGCCATATTCATACCTCACAAACTTTCGTGTTTATAATATTAATAAATTAAGTTTATGAAAATAGGTACCTATCTAAGATGGTGATATTGATATACAAATAAATTAAATAATTACTGGTTTTTCTACAATAAATTAAGTACGTAAGTAACCTAAATAAATTAAGTATCTTTTTCAACCAGGAAAATTGATATCGTACTTTTAAATGCTGGAGTATTCGGTTTGCCGTGGACTCTAACAGAAGACGGACTAGAAACAACATTTCAAGTCAACTACCTCAGTCAGATCTACTTGTTAATGAATATTGAAAAACTGCTTACGTCTGATGCAAGGGTAGTGTTTGTGACATCGGAATCACATCGGTCAGTAAATATAATATTATTGGTACTGAAAACTATAGATACGTAGGTTACATAAGATATAATGCCTTAGTCCTCATGAATAGCAAGTATAGCAATGAATAGCAGCGTACGTGCTGTAGTGTTGGTATTTTGTGAAGTTCGTAATGTATAGGTACATATATCTATGTATACTTATATGTCTATACGTGAAGGTTACTACTTTCCATGGTTCGGTTTGTCAGTAATTTCAAATAAAAAAAGAAAGGTAAACCTTCATATTTTATATTCAGAAAAAAGATGTTTTATCTATGTAATAATTATTATTTAAATTACGCAACGGATTTTATTTTTAATTTCATCCAATGCCAGGAATAATCTGATATTTTTTTATATCCTGATATTGCCTCGACAGCCAATGGTTTTTTTATTTATGTTATTTTACATTTGATCTTTTTTAAATATATCGGTTGCGCTATCGCTGTACACTCGCTAGTATTAGGAGTGAAACGTAATTTATTAATTTTGTTATACTTTTACTGATATGACTGCGGCCAACGGCATGCAGCGCAATTATATTTAGTATAAAAGGCGGCCAGCGGTTTAGCATACCGCTCTAATTCGGTTGTGAGTACGGTTCTCGTGCAAACATTTGTATTTATGAGTGTGATTATGCATATATATATATTTATATGTACATAAAAAACAAAGTGTACTTATCGGTTGTGTATCGCTCAAAATAGCGCTGGTTTGGGACTGAATAACGCTGTGTAAATTGTCCTGGGATATTAATAGTATGATATTGTACAATTTTAGTAATGTAAATTGGACTGTACATAATTCGTTGGCGCCGACTGAAGATCTCATTTCACTTCCGAAAAACCAGTATACTTCTGTAAAAGCGTACAACATATCTAAGCTATGTGGTATTCTGGCAATGCATTATTTGGGCTATCGATGGTTGAACACTGGCAAAGCAGTGTTCTGTGCACATCCTGGCTCTTTTGTTAGGACTAGACTATGTCGCAACTGGTGGACCTATGAAGCGCTTTATATGTTAATGAAGCCCTTTTCCAAATCTGTTGTAAGTATGGATAACACAAACAATGCTATACACAGGGTAAATTTTACTATATTTTATTTACACAGGCGACACTACTATAGGATTGATTACAGATACTGAATATTTATTGCTTTTGTTTTTAATTTATAATACATAAAACTAATTAAGAAATTACAAACTATTACTTAGAGCAATATTTTGGTAGGGGGTCTCCAGATACGTCACTTATTTTCTGATAAACGAAATATGTATGATTGAGTAATATTGTACTACGATTGTAAGCTTATCAGCTAGAATGTCTACTCAGGTATTAGGTAGTGGAGGTGCAAAAACCAGGGCTATGTTAATTTATTTTCTGATTGCTGATATTTATATATTTCATTAACCAGACAATAGTTTTAAAAAGTAACAAACTGCCAGACCGATCTAAAGGTCCAAATTGTTTTTTAAATACAGAATATACCTAGAGAACACCCTGTTTTTCGGCAGTGTTTGAAAAAATATAATGGCTACTTTGCTGAGATTGTTTGTTGTAATAATAATAATTTAGATTTAAATTAAATACTATATGTGGTTTCGAAATAAATAACATATATTTTTGTTCAGAGTCAAGCTGCTAGCACCCCAATTTATTGTGCTACTTCACCAGAACTGAAAGGTTTGTCCGCACTATATTACAAAGACTGTGAACGGTGCGAAGAAAGTGATCTAGCGAAAGATCTCCACCTTTCCTTCAGAATGCATGATCTAACACAGGATATGTTACGAGAACGAGTCAAGTCAATAGATGATTCGTTTAATATGCAACGCAAATCTGCCAACTTTGCAAGAGAATTAAAGGAAGTTGATAATAATGTTATTTCAAACTACACAGGTTAATTGTACCTACTCAATAGATAACTTATATTAGAATGATGTCTCTTTAATCTTGTCAATGTTCTTGATATCTATATTGATTTCTGGAATAAAATGAAACTATTTCACAACATGAAAAACTTAATTTTATTAATCAATAATAATTATTAATCATAAGTAAAATATAATTAAAAATTACAGTTCAATAATTGAATATTTTAAACATACAAATTATTACATATTTAATTATTTGTTTGTGTACTTTACTGCGGAAATATCTAATAATAAATACAACGATCGGACATAAATGCAAAAAAGTTGTTGGCTAATGATATCTACAATGTAGATATGGGTATTAAAAAATAAATAGAAAAGTACATATGTTACGTATATGTTTATCGTACATAATTACTTAATGGTAGGCAAGTTTATAAGTGTGTAATATATATAGTGGTGTTAATAGAACCATCACGGTAAATATATTCACACACACATTCATATTAAAAATTCATGTGATTAGGGTATTATAGGACACAGATATGAAAACTGCGTTATTTGGAACGTTTGTTAAGTGGAATTGACCAGTGCCATTTTATGAATAGGCATTGTCATTTCGCAATGTCATTCATATAATTTCATCATCACTTCAGTTCACACATAAGTTGGTCGTACTTGACCATGTTTCGGAGGATTTCTCTATAAATAGATGATACAAATTAAAAATTATATTTTCTTAAATGTAAATTTATTATAAACATAAATGCAATTTAATTATAATGGTATCACGATCGACAGGCGTTATTCTGATATAAATAAGAATATGTTAAACATGTTTATTGTATTCATACAACTATGACTTTGATTATACAAGATTTGACATTTGTTAATTACTAATACATGATGGTAAAATGTCAGCAATGGCCAACTAAGTAAATTAATATATGTATTTATAGGTTAAAGTTTAAAATTATATATTAATCAGTTCCAATTTTGTCATTGATGACTACTTAATGTGTTCAGATGCAGATGGAGGTTTTAGGATACATTTTAAAAATATAAACACTAATAATGTAACTATGTACATATGGGCCTTATACACGAGGTTCTTTTATACTGATAGCAGACTACGCGAGAAGAGATTTAATTACTTGCTGACATTCGGAGTTGACAACCTCTTCTAGTAGAGCAATATCCTCTTTTCCACTTGTTTGCGACAGATGGGGCACACGGTGATACGATCACCGCACATTTGGCACATGCCGTGGCCGCACAGGAAAATCATGTTTTTCAGACGATCCAAACAGATCGGGCACATAGTCTGGAAAAATGTGATTGGGTAATCAGAAATGTCTTTTTATTCTAAATTTGTATATAAATTTATAGTTATGTTATTGTATAATTTTGTTTATACTTCACTTCTGGACCATCGTTCATATAAATCCTAGTACTTTTCTTGTATTTTTTATTTACTATCTAAAAATATTATTTTCATTAAATGTGTATTAAAAAAAACTATCAAAACTTAAACAAGAATAGATATAAAAACAATTCACATACATATAAAAATAAAGCTACAACAAATTGTGTAGTGAGGTGTGCGCGGTACCTGTTCCTTGATATCTTGGAGCTGTTGCTGCAGTTTCTGCACGTCTGCGGGCTGCGTGGGCGCGGGCCCGGGCCGGGAGCCGTTGTTCATGAGGTGCGCGGCGGCCTGCGTTGGAGCTGGCTGCCCCTTGTTTACCTGCACCTGAGCCAGGTTGCTACCCTCTTTTTCCACTAAAAAAAAATTGACAATTTTTTCAAATTGACAGAAAACAGAAACAAACTGGGACAAAAAGACCTATTTATTCCTATCACCAAGATATTTTATGCAAATACTTGCAAATTGTAAAACAAAGATGTGTTTCGATTGATAGATCAAATTGTGGTATACAGCGTGAGGAGGCATATCAATAATGGCAATTGTTAAAGGGTGGTTATGGTTTATTATATATATTGTATATGCCACGAATATGAGCTACCAAGTGTTGTGTATGTTGCCTACTAGTATCATACCGGGAAAACTGATTGATTGTAAGATAGAAGTGATACTTATTCTTCAAGTGTTATTTAGTTATTTCGGTATTTCAGCGTAATTTAAGTTCTTTCTGTACAAATATGTACATATAGCACACACTTTAAAAAAAAAATAGTTTGTAGTAGGAATAAAGAATGTACACTAATATAATCCTTGTTATAAAACGAAATTTCTAAATAGAGATTCGTCTATCAATTCAAATTATACCTTAACACGCTCACTGCATTATGAGGTCGAACAAACCACATGCGTGGTTTCTCGCAGGTGCGGGAGTCAAAATCGCGTTCCTTCACTCTATGCGGGGGGTGACCACGTTAACATTTTTATGAGTATAACAGTGACAAATATATAAAATAGCTTCTCTTACAAAGCTAAGTCTAAAAGCGAATTTAAAGTAAACTGAGGTTGAAAAGGCCTCAACCGCACTGAGTATTAATTAGTTTCATACAGTGCGGAGTGAGATCTAATCTATCTCAAAAATTGTAGGCCTCACAGCCGCACGGAGTGAGGCGCGGGCGTCGAGGCGCCCGCGCCGCCTAGCTTAGTGCTGAGATAAGTATCGATACGGAAGTACGCTACCGCGACCGGCCGGCGCGCTCGCATTTTTACGATTTATTAGTGTCCTAAACTAGCTAGTTTTGTATTATGGATCTACCAAGCCGTAAACGTTGCAAAAAGAAGCTCGTGTTAAGTGATTCCGATTCGTCAAGTGGAGCGGATGAAAGGAAACAGTTAATATATAGAAAAGTGCTACAAAGAATTAGTCCAACCAGAAATTCTACTGTGAATAAGGTAAACATTTTGAAAAATGTTCAAATTTGCCCGCCCTCTACTGCAAAGTCAGAAAATGAGATCGACAGTGATTCTGAAAATTTTTGTCCATCTTCTAAAAAATACAGGAAATTACAACAAAACAACGAATTTTTCATTAGTCCAAGTACTAGTAAACAATATAGTGTCCTCAAAAGTATAGAAATACAAAGTTCAGAATTAAACCCAATTTTGCTTACACCTACTCAAAAATTTAAACGTAAGAGTTACTGCAACCAGAGCCGGGCGTCGTCCCCTGATTCTTTGAATATTTTTGGTGAAACAAGCAGGTGTTCTTCTTTGAGTAATATTTCATGTTCTAAACTGTTACCTGTACACTTAACTGAAGAAAATATGCAAGAACTACTAAAAACACCTTCGTCAAATCGTACTAAATCAGAAAAACAGGAGATAAAAAATAAAAAATATGAATTCATACACTCATTTGAAGATAAAAATACAGATGATGATAGCATACTAGATTTTCATACCAAGGATATAAACATAAAAATACATTCTCTAGAACAAAAATTACGGGGAGAAAGTCACTTACAAGAACATCTAGAACAAGAACAGGAAGAAGAACGCCAAGAGCAAGAAGAAGAACGCCAAGAGCAGGAAAAAGATCGACAAAAACAAGAGGAAAAACATCAAGACCAGGATGAAGTACATCTAGCGCAGGGAGAGGAACAAGTTAGACAGAGTTACGATGAACAACAAGAAGAAAACTATACTGAATGTGAAAATAAAATACAAGCTAGACGCAATGTTAATGAAGAATATGAAGACACAGACATTTCGATTGAAAGCTTAGAATCAACCGACGTAGAAGTAAATGAAAATGAAGCAAGTGAAAGTGAACTGGAAAGTGACAATCAAATAGCTGAAACAGAAAGTACCGATAACGACGACAGTTGGATTGACATATCTGATGACGTATGTATTAATTTCGAAGAGAGTGCGTTTGATAGTGCTATTATTCCTCGCTTATGTAATAAAACACCTATAGATATATACAGGTTGTTCCTAACTGATGAAATTATTGATAAAATAGTACGAGACACAAACAATTATGCGACAAAGTATTTTGAAGATAATCAAGATAATGTGAAGGCAAAATCTCGTCTTAAAGCATGGAAACCTACGGATGATGAAGAAATAAGAAAATTTTTTGGAGTCATACTTGTAATGGGTCTAAACACAGTACCTCATATTAACGACTATTGGTCTAAAAAATCAATATATAGGAATGAGTACATTTGCTCAACAATATCCAGGGACAGATTCTTGATTATATTCAGATTTTGGCATTTCTGCGACGAATCAATTGATAATACTGGGGATAAGTTATACAAAATTCGCCAAATACATGACATGTTGAATTTTCGATTTCAACAAGTGCTTCGGCCTGGAAAAATTTTAGTCATTGATGAATCTATGATACCGTGGCGTGGACGACTTAAATTCCGCCAATATATCAAAAATAAGTCACATAAGTATGGAGTAAAATTATATAAATTATGTACTCCTGAGGGATACTCGTATAATACAATTATTTATACAGGCAAGGAAGGTAATCGTCGAGAGCAAGATCATGGAAAAATGACAGTTTTGAGACTCATTAAAGGGTTAGAAAATGAGGGTCGTATTGTTATTGCTGACAATTTTTACTCTTCTATTGGGTTGGCTGAAGAACTTTTAAAACAGAAAACTTTTTATTGTGGTACCCTCAGATCGAATCGTAGAGGATTACCTAAGAAAGTAATATCCACTAAATTAAAAAAAGGTCACACTATGGGAAAAATGAATTTAAAGGGTGTAAAAATTATAAAATGGTGTGATAAGCGCCAAGTTTTAATGATCACAACCTGCAAAGGTCACAATGCTGTTTTGATAAACACAGGCAAGAAAACAAGAGCCACTAACGAACATATTAAAAAGCCTTCATGCGTTCTTATGTATAATGAAAACAAAAAAGGTATTGATTACAGTGACCAAATGTCTTCATATTACACAACTTTAAAACGAGGCCTAAAATGGTATAGAAAAGTTATGGCAGAATTTTTATTTGGTACTTCTCTTGTGAACGCATGGATTATTTATAATATGTCCAATGCTGAAAACAAAATGCCGAAGAAAGATTTTACTGAATCAATAATTGAAGCGCTCACTGGGCGAAGCATTTCTGAAAGAGGTATGTTATTATTTCATACATTGACTCATTTTTATTTATTATTGGTGATAATGATTTGCTTTGACGTTTTCTTACCTCTTCTAAGGGCGGGTACAGACTGCTGCAAAACATGCCATGTAACAGTTTACGCTTGCACCGAACATACAATGTATGTTCGGTGCAAGCGTGAACGCGTAGCGTGCTCGGATCGCGCATTCACTACGAACCTCTAGCGAACGTCTGTTTCCGCAATTCTGCCGCGAACACGGGCCGCCAACGCATGTTCTTTTCTCCATTGGAGTTTCGTTGCATGATGTCTTGATTGCCCATAACGACTGTCCACGCTGCTGCGTCGCGCACACTGCGCGTCCCTTTGTATTCGTCCGAAAAACCGACAAATCATGGATCGCTCCGCATGCGGCTTGTAATACCTACTCGTGGCGTGCGCATCACGTCCAGATTATGAGAAATTGTTGCAGAGTGTGTTACCTTGCATGATACATTGCAGCAATAGGCAAATTCTTGCATTGCATGATACATTCCATGTTACATTGTGCCAATATGTACCCGCCTAAATATTGAAGCTACCATTGTATCAATATATTTTCACAGCACTGATACTAATACGCATACATTGCATGCATATATTTACACTAACAAATTATCTACACAAGAAGACGTTTTGATATCACTCGATATGGTGTTGCTTTAAACTGTAAGGTAATTTCAATTCGGTGTTTTCTCTGCAATAGCGATTTTCCAAAATGCTTAAGTGATTTTCTACAGAGAACGTTGTAATCTCTTTGCTAAAACATTCGCACCCGCTTTAATTCAAAACTTGACCGACATATTTTTATACAACGATTTTGCTTTGTTAACTTCTTTGCACTTTTGTTTTTTCAAATGCATTGTGACAAAAATTGGATGTGGTTTTAAACTTAATATACTTACCCGTATTTTTATTTACTGTTTAGTTAATATTTCCGGTCTATAATTTCAGAGTTATGAAGTACGTCTTCATTTTCGGCGAATTCTCGTTCAATGGCTACAGCTGTTATAATTAATGAGTAAGATTACATACACACATTATCTCTCACACATTGCAACCAACTAACACCTACACAAATGCGCACATACAAACACACAAATGAATTTCATATACCCATAAGCACATACTTACAAATCTACCCACTAACACAAAAGCGTATACACACACGCAAACATTCATACAGAAATGTACACTGACTTGGAATAGGTACAACTAACATAAGTATTTATTTCAGGTTTGCCTGGTGGCAGATGTACCGATCATGCACTACAAAAGGGTGGTAAACGAAAGCGCTGCGTAGGTTGTTATGAAAAATTGAGATTAACTTTAAATAGTTCCGAGGCTGCAAAAAAGACTAAAAAAATTGTTACTTTTTGTGTCCAATGTGACAAATCCTTCTGTTTGCCCTGTTTTAACGAAAAACATTTTGATCAATAAATTGTTTTAATATCGATATATGCGTTTCTTTTTTATTCACAACACTACTCATGACTCTAATAGAACTTTCTTTCCATGCGATGTGAGGCAGAACAGGTGTCAAATTTTTTTTCCTTTATTCTATACCTAAATGTCATGATAACTGTTGGCGAAGCTGGATTCAATTTTAACAACTCTTTAAGTTATTAATGGTAAAGTTTCAAGCAATTTCTGTCACAATTGTGTATAATATTAAAGATGTTTTAAGAAACGATTTTGTGCGGCTCAAAAGGTCCCATACGCACTGCAAGATTCGTCAACTTTGTCTTGAAAAGACCTCATACGCACTAGCTGGAAGTCTACGAAAAATCGATCCGCAGCAAACGTGTTAAGTTAATTATTATCAAACTGAATCTGGTCTTTGTTTTTTTACTAGTTCTTCGCAACTGAATTACTATCTATCGAAACTGGACGGTAAGCATAACAATAAAAAAGTTTAGTTCGACCCCTTAAGGTATTTATGGTAAAGCTCGATTAAATGTCACCAATTATCAGATTTTTGGAATAAGACGTTCAAGTGCTCTCTCAGTGGTAGTAGAGAGCATAATTACGGTCGGGCTTGGAGAGCTGCGCTGTGTGCGCGTGCGGTTGGTGCGTGTGGGCGGGCTGCGCTGGTTGCGCGGTCTGCGCGGGTTGCGCGGGTTGCGCGGGTTGCGCGGGTTGCGCGGGTTGCGCGGGCGGTGGCGGCGGTTGCAGCGGGGTGCGGCACTCGACGCACTTGCGCATGAGCGGCGCGCACGCTGCGCACGCGCACACGTCGCCGCACGGACGGAACACGACCGTCGCCGGCGCCTCCGAGCACACCACGCACTCGCCCACGCGCTGCCGTGACGTCACACACGCGCGGCACACCAGGCACTTCTTTACCTGCCGCGGATTATATTACACGCTATAATATCATTTATTATAGAAATAAAGTTCATTCAAATAAACTTAATATAAATACTTTTGAATAGTTTTACTCTTTGAATCTACCTACCCATTCGGAACACATGATGATAAGCAAGAAACTTACGCGTTGTTTTTGTAAATAAATCTTGTTCACAATTACATTATTAAGAATATTGTGTGAATACAAACTCTCCAATAGTAAAGTTGACTCCAATATAAATAGTTACTTGAATTACAAAATAAATTAGTCACATTCATCAGAATAGACTAGCATCTTTGTTTTACGAGTATAACGGGAGAGCCAAACATCGTTGCGCTCAACCATATTTTAAAGAGCCCAATGACCCTTCCCACCTTGCCATCGCCTGTCTGAATATTTAGAGAACATGACTGACTCATGACAGTCGACCACGTCAAAACCAATAATACTAATATATTATCATAATATGTGGAAGCTGTGCTATATATTATATATATAGCAATGTATCCCGTGAAAACTATTGTGGTTATATCCTGACGATGCTTCGGTGATAATATGGCCCACTGACCGGACTTCATTCCCATTCATTATTCTCCACTCTCATTCACCCCAACAGCGCAAAACATCAGCGTCAGATCCGATGACTTTGATAGACGGTTTAAGTAACAATGAATGTGTATAGGTTACGCAGAAATGTATAATATTATTTCCAGTTACAACTGTATTATTTTGTGCTTAAACAATTTTATATCTAAAAAGAAGGTGCACATTTTGATTAGCATTATAAATATATAATATATTTAAAGTCATATAATTACTCTGGCTGCACAGACGTTGCAGCAACAAATGTGACCACAAGGCCGGAACAGAGTATCTCGTTTGGCGTCGGAACAAACGAGACACTCGTCTGCAGTGGGATCCTGAAACTGTGTACTGTCCCCATTGGAGATCTCCATTGGCGTCACTAGCGAGCTGCTTCCACATGCGGCGTTCATTGAGCTGGGTTCTATCTCTGGTGGAATATTACTTCCAAGCGCTGCTCCCTCTTTGCGACACGTTGATAACGTTTTGCAGAGGTTAGGATCGGGACACAGGTCCAAAGGAGTTTGCCCTGTAAAATGAAAATGTATAGAATATTTATTATATGGCTTACCTAATTTTTAATATGAATATTATCTATGAAAATGATCCATACCGTACCGTGACCAAATAATAAATATAAGACAACATATATTACCAACCATATACTTACCTAATTGTATATAGATCCCTATAGTGATATTTCTATATCACTATAGGGATAAACATTCTTATTTATTCTAAGATCTAAATATGGATATAATAAATGCGAAAGTTCATCTCTTTGCTAGTCTGTAGTGTCTCGCTAGTAGTAGTAAAATATAATTTATAGAATACACTTCGATCAAATGAGTAGAATAATTGTGTTGGCAATAAATAATTGAATGAGTCTGACTTTAATTACATGACTGATTTATGTGCGGTATCTTTAAAAGTTGCTGAGACGAAGTATTTCCTGAAACTGATTTTCATGCCCTATTGTGACGTCATGGAATACGCCAACCAAATCTGCAAATTGTTTCCCCACTGACTTTTTGTTTATTTACTGAAAAGCATTATGTTATTCCCAAGTGATTACAATTTCATTTAAAAACACTAAGTAAAGTGTTTACGTTATTCTGTAATAAAGATTATGTCCTAAAAATACATTAACTTTGCATAATTAGCTGAACCAACGAATACCCACTGGCAGCAAATTAATAAGTACTGGAACTAATACATATGTAGTATGTACTTTCTATGGGCATATAATGGTATTTATGTAATTAAGTGCAACAAAAAGTAGTGCAGTATAATGTAATACAACTTGAACTAAGCTCTGAAATTATGTATATTTTAATATCACATTTTTGTATGTTTGTTTGTAGCCCGAGAAATCACCGCCAAGTACCATTAGTTGATGGTAATTGGTAAACCGTTACATACATGGACAGCACTATGGACATCACGTTATCAACTGAGAACCGTGATACCACTCATGAATTCCCATTCCAGAAGACTAAGATGTCATGCATCTTATCCTGTAATTTCACTGTGTAATCTGCACTGTAGCGTTGAATTTAAAAAGTATCACGAAGAAAACTTTTGGTTAAGATACATGATTATTTGTTTACCTTTTTTATTTTTTATAGTAAGATCGGCCCCGTGTGTGGCCAAAAAGCATGCGATAGAGGCGGACGATTTTTTATCGTGCGTGTGCGCAAGCCCGGTAAGTAAGGCAGCGCCACGAGCATCTTGCAGTTGCCGCAGCTGTTGCAGGGTATGGTGTCGGAGGGCCTCGTGCAGAGGCGTGTCGCCGTCCTGGAATCGAAGCATAGAACATGTTGAGTCCCACTTACTAAGAACATACCCCGGTAAAATCCAATAAAAATAAGTTACGTCTGTGTGAAACCCACGAGTGTAAAACAAAAGCGATTGTTTTACAGTACACAAGCTGAAGGCTCACCTGATGGTAAGGCTATATATAGGTATTTGAACAGCACTATGGCCATCACGTTAGCATAGACACCCGCGTACATATCTATTACATATTAAATTGCGTTCGCTTCCACGAAGCCAGTTGGTAATAACCTCTGATTTTTCATCTGGTCGCTTTAACCATACCCACCCTTTCAGGTCGACATCCACGCGGTAGTATAAAACTATCCTGGTTAATTCTTGGTTCGCCACGATGGCTTAATTGATCTCATTTCATGGTTATTTCAATTATCCTCCACTAGTCATGGTAGTAGTGATGATGATAATGGAATAGCGCAAGGGGGTGACGTCTTGACGATGAAATAAAGAAAAGCTAAATTTTAGATTCACATTTAACGTATCATCTATTTTAATTATCGTTATTGCTTTGTATCTAATATTATTTATTTTACCTTATCACAAATGTTAAGGTCCGCACCATGGGCGACTAATAACCGTACTATCTGTGTGTGCTGTCGTTCGACGGCTAAATGAAGAGCCGTTTGCAGATTGGCATTCTGAAGGTCAGGACGAGCGCCACCACGCACCAGCAGCTCGGCGACCTCCGCGTGATTGTTCAGAGCCGCAAGATGAAGTGCCGTGTATCCGTCATCCTTTGCGTCGTCCACAATCCACGGACGGGGCAATTTACCCAGCATTATCTTCATAGCACTGGAAATAGAGAAATGCGTTTTGACAATGTCATCATTCTGGACGTGACTTAGATAAGTATTGATATTAATATTGGTTGTATATATAATATATACTATATATTGGTTGTGTATACAGTATATATAAATAACCTTTGATTTTTAGTTCAATTTTCACGGCTTTGGCAAACAACCATAGGTAAAATACAATTACAATATACAAAGCATTAATAAAAGAGATATAATCATGAATATAAAAATATGTATTGTGTAAGGATCGAACCTATGACCTATGCTACCAGAAAAAATAGGTAAATCGTAATAAATATATAAAACATAAGTGAGTAGGTCATCTTCATTTTTAGAAATAATACTTTCTTTGTATATCGTCAATAATACTCAGCAAAATAATATAAGCAAACACATAGATCTTGTTCGTCAACAAGTAAGCGGTCATTTTGAATTTAAAATAAAACTTTATAACTGTACATTACGTAGAGCAATGTTTTATGCATTGTCCTCTAGATTTATAAAGTGGATCACGTCACTGTTTAAACTAAATGTTTTTATGCGCTCATATATACCAATACCAAGACATGTGTCTTTTTCATGGGATGGTATTATTATTATTGTGCCTACTTAGTTGCTGGGGGAGCTGCGTAGCGAGTTTAGTTGCGACAATTTTTTTTTGTAATTAATTTAACACCCCCCCGCAAATGTCGCCTTGCGACGTGAAATGTGAGGTCTCCCGTTGTGTTCTATAATTAAGTACATGTCGTGACAAAATCACGGAATGAAACATTTTATGAAATGTTTGTATTTGTTCAAATTATGATATATACCACGAATTACCTACTATATATAAATAACACTAGTTCATATAGTCAAACATTGTGTGATATGATTATATCGGAAAATAAAATAATTTCACCGTTAGTGGCGCCAATAACATGTTTACCTGCATGGTGACATTTCAAAATGGCGACAGTAGGCAATAATAACATGTGATTTAGGCAAACGCCGAAGAACATATCAACTTGGGCATATCATGTAGGGGTAGATGAGAGGTAATGCGAAATTATATGTAATTTTATAATTGAATAAAATAAATCATAGAAAAAAATTCAAGAACAACGAACTAAACTACTTGAATAATTACCTATAGTAACAAAAACAACTGGATAGTTTACCATGCAGTAAATCTCTAAATATATTTATAGTGCTTGCTGTACAAGTATTGGAATCTACAATCCGAAATGCTGAAATCGTCGATGCTATCGAGGTGGATGAACTCTACGTGAAAATAGATTCAGAGATCGAGTTTGCAGCATTTACATGGTTTTGATTTCTATAGACTACAAAATAAAACTATTTAAAACTTCTGATATATAATATAATACAGTGGGAGCAAAAAGTAATACTGTACTTAATAACGTAGTATTAAGTACAGTATTACTAGCAAGGTGAAGTTTATTCAAACTCAGTTAAATATACCAATCGTTGACATAAACGTCAGCATACTCGTCCGGACCTAACTGCTACAGTAATCGAGTAGTTGACAACAATAAATTAGACGGTATACATTTTAATATGCTGTGTTACATTTATACAGTAAAAACGAACGAACTAATTAAATAAGGTCAAACGTCGCGAGCAACTACGGGCGCGGCGGCGGCGTCGGCGACACACGCTCCTCCTACGTACAACAACAGTTGGTAGCGCGCAGCGCACGTCGCCACTCCATATATTCCCCACAAACGTTTACCATCATAAAATACGATGCGTTTAGATTAGGTTTACTTACTATACAATAGCTAGTGCACTTTAGTAGTAGTTTAATATACCTAGCGTGAATCGTATCAATAGTCTATCTTTTTGGATGTTACAGACTCCTGTTTGTATTTTGTTTTTCTGGAAATGGTAAGTATAAATACAATATCTAATTAAAACTATTGTATGATACAGAATTAAAGTACTTACTAACCTTTGTCCTAAATTTGTAATGTCAATGGAAAATTTGAATAATGGCTGATACATTTGTACAGTAGACTTAACTAATAAAAATAAGGAAAAATGGTGGTTAAAGACCGATGCCTTAATTGATATGTCTAGTACGAATAATGTAGTACTACTAGTATAATGAACTATACATGTAGATAAGTCGATTTGTTGCACGCACTAGAGCTATATTATATTTATGTGAATATCCATAAATATAATATGTGCCTAACTATAATAATAAAACCGTCAAATCAGATCAGTAAATAACATATGACTTCCAAAAACAACAATTGTAACTTTATTTATATGACGAAAATGTTAATGTTAAAACTTCTTGAAATTTAATCTCGTAATTATATTAGTTAACAAAAGTGGTTTTTAAAAGTTACTTGAAATTTTAAGTATAATAATGAAATACTTAGTAGGTAATTTATATTTTGTACAATCTTTTATTTAACTGTTTCAAGCTTATAGTTTGAATTAGGTAACGTATAGGATTTAGGATTACTACAGTATTAAGCTATGTATAGACTTTAATAAAGTTTGAATACTATGATAGCATCTACTATCTATACATTGCCTAAAAATGAGTAATATATTTTCAGTATTTCTAAGATATAATAATATTTCATTAATACATTACGGAAATTATAAAATTGTACAATGTCATACTTTCAACTATTATTCAAATTAGAAAAATTCTATTACCTATACTTATATTAATGGCCAGCTTCATTCAGTTAAGGCAAGTTGGAAATCTATTTCTAATTTTTAAAACGCAGCTATGAATTATATAGTAAAGAAAGTTAATTAATTAATTGTTTTTAATTCTAATAATATCGGGCCAACAATAATTTTTATGTAGGATCATTTCAAACGTTATACTTTGCAGATGGTAGATTTACATATGTATACTAACTTGTACGCATTATTAATAATGTATAATTATAATTCTAAATAATTTTGAAATCTACTATAATAGAGTATATGTAGTGATAAAGAATATAAGTATTTACATATATAATACTTCTGCTTTGGCAGTTTTTTTGTTTGTAATAACAGTGTTTAATATTTTTGAACTACAAATATTACAACTATTTATATGACCGGCCTGAAGGTTGAAGCGGTTACCGCAGTTTATAGGCATCTGTAACTCCAGTTGTGTCACATTCGTTTTGAAGACCTTTATTGCATCGTTCCAATTAGTCTTGCCGATAATAGTTCGCGACTGCAATCGCTCAATTTAGTTCTCGGCTTTCTTGAGAATTAGTTCGTTCGCTTTTTATCAGACAAACTAAAAAGCGAAAGATCTGCGAACTAGTGAGCGTAATTCTTCTTTGGGAGCGCTCTTCCTAACTAGTATGTTCGTGAACTGCACAAGCCTAGTTCCAATTCACAGGGCATTAAAGTTCAAATCTTAAGTATCTATTACAAAGAAAATATATTTAGAGCACATGTTTTGAACATTCATGAGACCACATAATTTTCCCTTTGAATGACTCATTATATATTCACAGTCATCAGGAGAGCAAGATCAGTGTCACAATGAGTAACACAATAAGAAGAACAAAGTCGGCTAATCGGAATATTAACCGTCAGAACCTTCCAGTAGTGAAGTAGATAATAAAAAGAACAGTGAATTTTTATAGTAATTTGAGATTTTTGTCTAGAAATAGCTATGAGATTTGATGATTTTGAATCTGTTTCAGCCAATTAAAATTTAAACGTTGCTATCTATTATAGTATATTGTAATAGTAAGGTTAAGTTTATTAAAATAATGCTTGATAGTTGTATTAGACCTACGGACTAGACTAATATTAAAGCCTAAAAAATGATTAGATTCTATTCTGTATAATATACAATTCTGTATAGTATACAAACAGTTACACTCACGAATCCATGTTTGTAATATGGGGATTCAATGCGTAATGCCTTGTAATATGGGGACTCAAGACTATTGATGATAATTAAACAATAATAATAAATAAATCATGTAAATCGGGCTATCTATAATATTATTTCATTAATTAATTAAATAATAAAATTATAGGTACGTATTGATTATTATATTAAAAAGTAGCGTATATATTAACTAAAATGATCAACATCTTTAGTGAAATATTCAGTATAATTTCTCCAGCCATTTTTACGTGATATTTTAATACATTAAAAGGATAGTTTTCGCCTCGTCACAATTTTACGATTTCATTATATGCACAGGTATACTAAATATTTATAGTTATGTATTATGTTACCATATTTTACTTACAATGGAAATTTGGTAATTTGACAACATATTTCTGTAGTTATAGCAGTCTATAGTATATATAGTCTATATAAATATACATAAATGATTATTATATATAGTAAGTTTTCTTATAAGAAGTAAATTTAAAATTCTGGATGATAAGAATTAAATGTTGATAACATTGTGCTGGCATAAATACAAATAGGCAGAATCATATTTAAAGATGTTACATTTGGTTACAGAACTATACTAGCAATTGGGTACACCCAATACCAAACAATTTTCATCACATAAATTGGTATTTCATGTAAATGTGAGTAAAATAGAGATACTCGTACATATACAAAAAAGGATATATAGCATACTAGCTGTTAATTTAATCTTCACGCCAAATTTCATTAAGGTCCGTTCAGCCGTATAATCGTTTGTCTGTGTGTCTACACTTTCTCACAATTTATTATGTAGTACGGAAGTATGGTTATGATTACGTAATTAAAGTTCTAAGTAAATATTTACATAATCAAGGTTAGCTAACCACTAACAAATATATACCCACATGATAATTAACGACAAGAAGCAGGCGAGTGACTGCTTGTGCACTCACAAGCCGTGATATTTGAAACAATCAAGTGATGATTCATCATATGATTTTATTGTGCATTTTGCGTATAACTTCTATAGTAACATAAGCATTCGAGAATACGGTTTAAGGTCTCGAGTGTTTACAGACTTTATTAATGAATAATGGAATACGGCGGAGTTTACAGGGCAG